TAGTTGATTTGACTTCGAGTCTAATCTCTCCTTGACTGTCGCGTCTTGTACTTATATTCAATGGTTTAGCAATTGGATTTATAGTAACGTAATCCATAAGCGAGCGCCGCACACAAGCGAGCGCCGCACTTTCCAGCACTGCTCAGCAATTATCCTTAATTACACCGCCATTACACTAATAATCAACAACAATTACATCGGAAATAGATGAAGCCGATGATTCTGCAGTCTCTGGGCAAGTTCGCGCATTATGCCCAGCTTTACCGCAAGTGCCACAGCGCCGCGACTTTGAACGGGCACTTCCCGCATAACTACCATTCTGTTGCCTTTCCTGGGGTGTTTTCTCATCTGCAGCCTTTTTAGCCAGTAAATCCTGTGCGTCTTGCACAGTAAGTGATCTTCCTAGCCTCACGCGTGCTCTTTTAGCTCTCCGGCGTTTGCTAAGAGCTTCGTTAGCCTTACGAAGGGAGGAGACCTCCGCTTCTAAGAGGGCCACCCGATGCATTATTGCTTTTGCGCCTTTCGCAAACTGATCAACTGCATTAATCATCGACGTCGGGGAGCTATTTTGGTGATTGGAGATACGAGTCTTGATTAGTTCTGACTGCGAGTTGGCTTCCAAGGGGTTCTGGGGCGTCTTGGGGATCCAAGGGTCAGCTGAGGTCGAAGGGGGTAGGGTAGGTGTTGGAGTCCGTATCCGTACATCTAGTTTGGAAAGAACCCTTTCCGGGTCGTGCGGCACAAGTCCAGCTCCCATAAAGCCTCCCTGTATGTTTTTCTCTGTCATAGAAGCAAAGAAGGCCTCGCGAAATGCGCGAAGGAACTCGACCTTGCTTACGTGTGTAATATGTGCTCGCATCAAATCCTCGATCTGTCGACCATACGCCTTCTTCATCGGCCCAAAACACCCAACGTCTAGCGGCTGGAGGTAATGAGAGGAATGGGAAGGCATGCAGAGTGTAACGATGTTGTGTTCTTTGCAGTAGAGCTCGAAAATGGTGGAGTGGTGGCTCTCGTGGCCGTCAAGAATCAACAGCCGATGGGTGCCTTTCGTACGACTCGCTGTATGCTTGTCGAAGTGCTTGATCCAATCCAGACCTACTTCGTTGGTAGTCCAGCCATTGTCTGTAGTTGTGATCATCCAGTCGGCCGGAAGGTTACTCTCTGTGTACCAGTTGGCTAGATGGTACTGCGCGGCCAGGATGATGAATGGCGGGATGGCCCAGCCTTGCGCATTCACACCTTGGATCACCGTTGCCCACTCTCGATTGCCGGGCTGTGCCAGCTTGGCCTTGCCACGGCCATCTGAGGTAGTGACCACCATGCATGCGAAGATGATACCCATCATAAACCCAGTCTCGTCGAAGTTGTAGGTGTCGTCATCTAGTATGCCATACTTGGCTTTAACGCTCCATACGAGTGCAAACCACTCAGAAATAACCTTCGGATCTTCGCATTTGGCTCTCTGATAATCATATTTCCGAGAAAAACGCATACGGAGCTCTGGCCGGCGTCTAACGAAGTTAGAGGCCCAGTTCTTGACAACAGCCGACGCGTCGCGTGTGCGAAGCAGTTGGTTGGCCATATCTTCCACGCCACGTAATCTAGGCGGGAAAGATCGTGTGCACAACTCAATCACATACTGGACAATGACCTCTTCTTCTAACTGTGTAAGCTTCCTCGAATTGGGTACAGTATCGTGTCGTGCAGCAGAGCCATCGCGTCGTCGGCGAATGGTTCGATCAGACACCCCGTAGATCTTCGCTGCAGCCCGTATGCTTAGATTTTGGTCTTTCTGAATAGCTTCGAGAGCTAGATTCACCCTGGCTTCGTACGGAACCGAAGACATGTCTTATTGTGGCGGTTTTTGGGTGTTGAATGTAGAATAGACGCGTCGCGTGGAGAAGTGCGGCGCTCGCTTGTGTGCGGCGCTCGCTTATGGATTACTTTATTTCTCTTCTCTAAATATTTCACCTTCTCAGTATGTCTATTTAAGTACCTTTAAAGAACCGCCTTTACCAACAAAACATCACGCCAAGTTAAGTTTAGACGCTCAGGGGACTAGAACTTTACTACGATATTTTATATTAAACTATAATTTGTATACCCTGTGGTTTCGCCGTAAAGGCAGGTGATAATTGCGTTAGATGCCACCTTAAAGAGAAACATAGAATATCTAAAAAGCGTCGGCAGAAGCTCAATGCCCTTGTTAATTCCCTGTGCCTTCCTGACCTAGATGAGTTACTGAAGCAAGCAATCTAGAGGGGAATTAGCACTTAGGTTTTCCAGACCACAATTGGAATTCCTAGTCTTATATAGTTTAATTGGGTATCTATATGTCTTAACAATATAGAAATACATTTTTTCTGTCTTAGATCTATCTTGCTGTTGTATTATAGGGTTAAACTCAATGACCTTAAAAGCCGCCATAGAACAGATTGCGGTTAAGCATTACATTTTCCTATTCTAAACTAGTAAGCTTTTAGTGTAGCCTAAGACCTCACTGTCTCAAGTGAAGTCAGTAAATCTCACTAGCAATATAAAGCAACAATAGAGTTCCAATTTATAGATAACTATAACCCTACCATACTATATCAATGTTGCCTATAAGTGTAACATATATAAAAATACTGACAGCAGCAAAAGGCGAAACAATATATTGAGACTATAAATCATAAGGCTGAGTTTTCTCAGATAGCCCGAGGAGAATGTGCAGATAGGACAAGTGAATGGTTTGTTGGCTGACGCTGGAGAGTTTAGACTCATTCTTCCCACCTGCTTCAGCGTCTTGATGTTGGGTGCTTTGGGCCGCTTAAGAAGGCCTATGGTCGAGAAATAGAGCATCTGATCAGAAGGTCTTTACTCATGTTTCCAAGACCGAGTTCCTCCCGGCCTTTTATGCCGCTTTTCAAGCTACTATGACTGAGAAGAATATTAAGGGAGGTTTTGAGGGAGCTGGGCTTCTTCCTTTTGACCCGGAAAGTGTAGTCTCAAGGCTTGACGTGCAGCTACGGACTCCAACGCCTGCCGAGGAGGTAGCTAACCCCTCGACCCCTTGGGTATCAAAGACCCCAAAGACCGTGCTTGAGGCCGGATCTCAGTCTGAATACCTTGAAAGACGAACAAGAAGACATCAAAGTAGCTCTCCAGCGTCAATTCTAGGAGCTTTGAAGTCTCTTGCAAAGGGAACAATAGCAATTATGCATAAGAATGCCTTACTAGAGGCTAGGGTCAGAGATCTTGAAGAGGCAAATGAGATACTTAGCCGGCGGCGCAGGGTAAAAAGAACCCGCCTACAGAATAGAGGGAAGATGACTATAGAGGAAGGTAGGGATCTAATTGATCAGATAGATATAGATACGCAGGTAGTGGCTGAATTATCGAGAAGTGGTGGTCAAGGAAGTTTGGCGCGACCGAGGGTTCGGCGCTGTGGGACTTGCGGCAAGACCGGATATAATGCAAGGACATGTCAGGCAGTTATTGAGATATCTGGAGAAGAATATAGTGAGTAGTTTTAATTAATCAGATGGTTTATGTTGCTTTTATTATAATTTAAAAGTCAAGAGTTATTAATTTTGGTCGGATTACTTGTCCGGTCGGGTTGCTTATCACGCACGTTAATACTAATATTAATATATAAAATACTTAAGTATTCTAGTTAGTAATAGGGTCTGTTATAAGTTTTAGACTAATTAAAGTTATAGAAATTAATATGGATTTTTAAAACTTATAACAAGCCCTATTTCTGTTTAAGTTGCATTTACTAAATCGCAAAACAGGGCCTATTTCGTAGCAAGGTAATTCATACCACCTATATTAAGTTTATTGCATATAGAGAAACCGCTAATTATAGGTAGATTAACTTAAATAATTAGCTAACTTTAATTATAATAATTACTTCTTAATGTAACGGTTGCACAAGCCGTTAAGCCACAGGGCAAAAGATCGGGCCATAATCGCTATGCAAGCAATTATGGGTGTGCTACAGCTGCCTTATAGAAGCCTTACAGCGCTGTTACGGTAACCAATCGTAACATCGGGATACTTGTCCGGTCGGGTTACTTATCAAACACGTTAATTATACAATTTCTATTTACATTTTGTCTCGGTGCTAAGAACATTGGGTTTTAGGTATTTATTATCGTCTGCTACTTCTCGGGAAGGCAGAGAATGTGAGACATCATCGCCACTCAGGCTGAAGACGATCTCGAGGCCCTGTTGCGCGTGGAATAGCCATCAGATCAGTCCTGTTTCTCCCCAGATGCTCACCGCTAGCGACGCTCTCAGTGTGTTGCAACAAGGCGCCCATTGACGGGGGAAAAGTGTCGCAATTTGGACATGTCAATTGGCGTCGGCATCTTGTGCCCATATTAGTTCGCATATCTGCTCCATGATCGCAGCCTCTTCCCATACTATCCAGAGTTAGTCCTACTCCAGTTTGCGAATCGTGCCACTTACACGTTCCAAAATAAACGGCAGTGGCACCAGCATGAGGGATATGAAGCCCAGTGTGCTCGATGCCCATCCGATGCCCAGATTCTGCAGCATGCGCGGCGCAGCCAGAGGCAGCGCGCCACCAAACGAGCTCCGAAAGAAGGTGTTGCCTGCAAAGACACCAGCAACGTGCTGTGGGTACGACTCGCCGAGGTAGTTGAGGATGGACTGGAAGGTGAGATAGAAGCCGGGGGCGAAGAAGCCAGAACCGATAATGGGAACGATCCAGTGGATGCTATAACGTTATTTTCAGCATTCTTCTGCGTAGTCCTTGGAAAAAGTATTGGGTGCGTACCTTTCGCGAGATGTCCAGGCAAAGACGAAGAGGCAGATGGGGATGCAGACGGCACCGACTTGGCCGGGCCGGAGGCGGTCTTCAGGCTGTACAATGGTCTCAGGGTCGGCGACTCGGGGTTGGTAGACGAAGTAGAGCCAGAGAAGGTATGCTGAGACCGAGAGTACGGCGCCGACGAGGATGCCAAAGAAAGTAACTGCCACGTTAGAAAACCAGTAGTTGCGTTTAGAAACCGAAACATTACTTACGCGCCTGTTGTGTCGCATCGAAGCGGTATATGCCTCCGAAGACTACACCGTTGTCAGCATCACGGTCACAGTTACCGGTAGTATGATTTAACCGTAGGCTCACCAAACGGAAAGAGCTCGAACCACAGATACAAAATGCCATAAATGAGCATCGTGTGTATGTTGACAAACAAGATGACGGGATCCATGCAGGAGAGCTTAAAGTCGTCGACTGTCTGGCGTGCGACACCGAGGAAAAAGCTTCGCAATGAATGATGTTTGCCCTGCGTATTTTCCTGCTGCAGGCGACATGCTCGGCGGTGCTGAATATTGGCCATGAGTGTTTCGGGCAGGAAGAAGAAGATGAAGATGGTCGTAAACCCGGTGATGCCAGCAAGAAGCCAGAGCGTCGCCGTCCATGTTTTCCAGCGGGTACTAGACCAAGTCAGCGCGAGTCCCGAGACAACCTTGGTGCTTGTCACATACACAGCCAAGGTTCCAAAGATCTATGGAAGTCAGTGTGAAGCAAGATGGTGGATATGAGAGAGGACTTACTGGGCCTAGAATCGGCCCACAAACACCACTGACGGCGTAAAATGCAATGGCATACGGGACCTCGGGCGGGCCATATATCTCCATCAATGTGGCGCCGCCGACGCTTATGGGGGCACTGCCGACGAAACCACCGACGAAGCGGAGCGCTAATATTGTAGAAACATTCTTGGCCAGGGCTGTCCCAATGTTGATAAGGCAGAATGCTAGTGATCCGAGAACGTAGACGGGCGAGCGTCCTATGGACGGTAGGTTGGAGAGGGGCGACAGCTGCAACGTCTAGTTAGCTCGGACTCCTGGTATGATTGGGGACACATACAATGAGGGGGCCGATGCCATATGCAATAACAAACAGGGACAGTCCCAGCGTGCCCTGGCTTGCGTTCGCGCCGAGTTTCTCCTCGATCAGCGGAATACTCGGCGTGAAGATGGCCGACGCTGCGTAGAAGCTAAAGTTGAGGAGCATCACGTCTGCCATGACAAAAGACTTCACTAGGGTCGGCCAATTTCTAGGCCGGTCGAGGTCTCCAGCATGCTGGCCTGTCGAGTCCTGAAGCTCGATGGAAGACTCTTTATTGGTTAAATCACGATGATGAGGAAAAGCCTTGTCTTTGGTGAGGTAGTTGGCGGTGCGACCAAACAGGCTCTCACTGAGTAGAATGTCCATTTTTGCAAGTCGATAAATGAGATTGTCCGGTAATGTAACACATCTCAGCTGTGGTGAAAACGTGTTTAAATACTCGAATATTCGCATAGCGCGAACGGGCTTACGACCTTACGGAGGAGTTCCGAACCACTTAATTTGACAAAGCTTTCTCGGTCTACCGTATGAGTCGGAGTCCCGTGACAATGTGGATCACAACGACATTTTGTACCCGGAATTCCGAAGAGGTGGCAACTTAACCCCGCCATCAATCGGAATTTCAACCATTCTCAACACGATGGCCCCGACACGGACACAGAGGCCTACTCCGTCGCGCAAAAAGTCGTGTCTGCCGTGTGCAAGGTCCAAGGTCCGTTGCGACCTTGAACGTCCGTCGTGCGCGCGATGCGTTGCATCGAATCGCCCCTGCCGATACGCAACGGCCGATGGTCCTTCATCACCGGCCGCGCCTCGACATGTCGTCGCGCCGACGAGCAACGCAACATCCGCATCTCTGTCGCCGATCTTTACGGGTCCGGCAGAAGCAGACTATGTGGAACCGTGTGTGACACGTCAAACTCCGGCCCCGACGCAGGACGTAACACCCCAGACTTGCCATCTGATCTCGTTGAACTTCTCACACCTGGACCTTGTACCGCTTGCTGATGCAGATCAAGTTCGCGACCGGTGGTTGCGGCCATTTCTCGATGTCGGGGATCGAGTGCCCAAAGCGTTTCACCCATACACGCTGCAGTACATGAGCTGCGTACTGCGAACGTACCCCAAGCAGATGGCCGGAGACGACGTCCCCCCAATGATTCATCCCATGCAACTGTCGGACGGCACCCCGACAGCCCTAGCAAACTGCTACAGCTTGGTCCGCTTGTGGCATCATCGCGCAGATGGAAGCGAGGGTATCGTCGCGGAGACGGTTGGGCGGGAGATGGACAGGCTGGCGCAGCATGTGAGTCCATGTTATCCCACAATGTCACAGTCACTGATAATTCAGGACCCGAATGCCGGAAACGTTGATACTTTGATCGCTTTCCAGGCATACCTCGCCTACTCCATCATGGCGTACTTCTCTCCCATCTCAAGTAGTCCCCTTGTCAATAACGCCACCATGGTCACACTTGAAGAGATGGCTTTCCGGACCGCTCAGGGGGGCCTCGTCTTGCACTCCGAACTAAACGGCACCCGCCCCTCATGGGAGTCGTGGATCGTCGCTTCGGTCAAGCGGAGGGCCATGTTTACGTTTTACCTCCTCAGCAGCGTGTACAATGCCGATAGCAACTTTCCCAACTTCCTCGCAGAGGAACTACAGGAAGTGTACGCGCCTGATTCGAAGCGAGTCTGGGAGGCAAGGAGTAGGCAGGAATGGGAGCGTGAGTACGCACGGCATCTGTCGCTATGGCCGGATGGGCCGCTAAAGATCTCCGAGCTGTGGCGATCGCCGGATACGGGATCAACCGGCCGTCGACAGAGGATCGACCGGTGGGTGCAAGGTGCCGACGAGTTTGGCATGATGCTGTTTGCAGTCTGCGTGCACCTTCACGGATATTGATTGTCCCTAGAACCATGTCGGCCGTCCCGACCCTGCTCCACCTGATCGCAGCACCGCGTCGGAACTCCGGGTGGGGTTGTCCGGCGAGGTTTATTTAAATCAGCCCTGTCCTCACATACCACCCACTCTTCAGACACATGGGACGAAGTTAAAGCACTAAACAGAATGGCATTGAATCGGTCAGTTTACTCGACGGACCACTCCTCGTCCGTCCTGCGCACACACAGCTGGCGCACCGTGGCCAACTCGGCCAACTACCTCATCCCTCACCTTCGCCCGGATATGAAGATCCTCGACGTCGGGTGTGGCCCAGGCTCCATCACCATCGACCTCGCCCGCCTCGTCCCGCAGGGCCACGTTGCCGGAATTGAATACGTGCCAGATCCGCTTGACGGAGCCCGTGCCCTCGCCGCATCGCAGGGAGTCAACAATGTCTCATTCGATGTCGGCGACATCCACTCTCTCCCGTTCAACGATGATGCATTTGATGTCGTCCACGCCCATCAGGTCCTCCAGCATATTGCTGACCCTATTAAAGCACTAAAGGAGATGCGTCGCGTGACCAAACCCGGCGGACTGGTTGCCTGCCGAGAATCCGCCTCTATGACCTGGTATCCTGAGTCGAGCACGCTCGACAAGTGGTACAGAGTCACGGCCAAGATGGCTGCCGCCAAGGGCGGCAATCCCCATCCCGGCAGCCACATCCACGTCTGGGCGGAACAATCAGGGTTCGCCAAGGGCGACATCTCCAGGAGCGCCGGGTCGTGGTGCTTTAGCAGCGACGATGAGCGCGAGTATTGGGGCGGGTCGATGGGACAGCGGGCGAGGTCATCGGGGTTTGCGACAATGGCGGTGGAGGAGGGCTTCTCGACTGTAGAGGAGCTGGAGGAGGTACAGCAGGGATGGGATAAGTTTAGGGAGGATGGGGATGCGTGGTTTGGGCTGTTGCACGGTGAGATTTTGTGCAGGAAGTGATTCTTTCGCAAGGGTGGTGGCGGCCAACAGGTAGACTTAGATTCGATAAAGGGGCCGGTATGGCAGAAGGTGATGCGGGAGCCAAGCGTGCTCGACGTTGCTGGAGCGGGTATACACTCTGGCAGCAGGGCTAGAAATACATTATGGTGATTCCCATCATGGAGATTCCCATTTATAGTGCCGCTAATTACATATGCCCTACCCTGTACGAAGGAAACTCCCCCAATGGCAAGATATTCAGAAAAGGGGTGCATGCACGCGGGCATTTAGTCACGGTGCACGGGCCCGGGCAAATAAAATACTACGTTAGCACGTTGAAAGCGCGACAAAAGTCAGCCTTCCGGCCACGAAATGATGGTGTTGAATATGTGCTGAAAGATTGAAGTGTCGCATATCAAGCCCTAGTCCAACTAGAGCAGATGCTACTGCCTAAAACAGGCAACCACTTTCATTTGTGTATAAAGAGCTGCACGACTTAGCGCATCTTGTCGTTGGGTTCTTAGACCTCAAATAATTCTCATGCATCGACTGGTATAATCATCAATACACACATAATTTCACCTAAATATATGACAGGTGGGGGGAGCTCAAGCATCACCAAGTCCAAATGGGATAGCGGACTGATCGCTCAATTCAAAAAGGTTATTTATGCGAGCCCAACTCTCTAAGAAACGAGGCACAATTCGACGTATAGAACACGGCCATCGTATTTAGCCTACCCCGATCTTTGTTGCCGTGATGGGTGAGCAATCATCATCCTTGTTCTCGCGGTGCTGCATTGACGGAGCTGTAGGTAATTTCGTCGGCGATGTTATAGCACTGACATGTCTCGAACCTAATCAGATGATGGTCGTACTTCTGATACGTGCTACTACTAGCACTTGCGCTGTCATGCTATGTATTACCCGGAGCGGAATGTGGACGTCGCCGGTGCAGCTGACTGGCCGCCTTGAGCTTGCCATGCTCCCTTGCTAATTAGGTCCAGGACATACACAGCTGTCGATTGTAATCTTGAGTCATCATGATATCATTCTGTACATAGCATTATGTACGTAGTCTCGGCGCTAGGCCTAAAGTGATTACTCTGGCGCCGATGCACACTATGTCAACGCCCTCAGTCTCCTTTTAAAATGGCCGGTGCCGCACTGCCTTGAACGGCACGAGTATGAGTTCCAGCCGGACTTGTAGGTGGCGGCAGAGGGGATCGTTCTCGTGAGCCGAAAGTCGTTGCCAACGTTACCCTGTTCTGGTAGGCGGGCGTGGTAACCCGACCCCATGCTCCGGATCCTCTTCAAGACTGCCACCTGCTTCTTCCAACAGTTGAGGGAACCATCTCAAGATCCTGTCTCTGAATACTTCATACCCGGCTCCCATTCTCAAGACCTGCATCTTCTCGGCGTCAAAGTTGACACCACCCCGATCATACATATGCCACTTCTGCAGACCGTAATCCACGACCAAGTCGGCGCAGGCAAGCACGGCCGGTTCAACGTCTTCAATGCGGAATCGCTGTCCCTGCCCCGTAACGTTTGCGGAAGTCCCGAACATCAGCATGCCCTGTGGATCGTCATCGCAAAGCCTGCCAAGCTCTCGCAAGAAAGGCCCCTCTGCAACGGCGATGCTGATCGTATCTCCCTTTGTGACCTGAGAGAGTGTGGTATTATCTAGGGCTGCCAAACGCGGGTGAAGATTCTTGGAATCGTATTTGGCGATGATTCCAACTATCATCCCCATATCTTCCGTCAAGACACGTGTAAGTTCAAACTTGGACTCGGGTAATATATGCATTTGCCGATGCTGCTGGTACGTCCCAATGATACCGATGTTGTGGCCCTGTTGACGGCCTTTAGCGGCGAAGATCCTCTGGACTCCGTCTTGCGTGCTTGTCATAAGCGCGTAGCCTACATCGGTTGGGGCGATGATAACTCCACCAGACTGGAGAGCCCAATAAGCTTGTTGCGCATCCTGAGACACGTTTGGCACGTTGCCTGGCTCCGGAATGACGCGGGGGCCCATGGAGTTGATGGTCTGAACGAGTACGCTGAGTGAAGTGGTATGTTGATGTTTGAAGGTTTCGGAGCTTCCTTCAGCTGGATCAGAAGCAACGTGCGGGGGTAATGCTATAAGTATGGATAGGCGAGCGTGAACTGACGTCATGCAATTTGAGGAGGCGACTGGCCCGTTGCTGGTAGGACAGGGGAGCTTGGCGCAAACTTTGATTCGGGGTTCCGGTCAGAGTTAGAGTTCACCTCCGGAACTCCGGTCATCAGTGTTGCGTGGAGAGTGCGGGTTGAGGCGGCGTCGTTCAAGTTTTGGTGAAAATAGAAAGGCAGGCGGAAAATCAGGCCAAAAACTCCCAGAAAATCAGCCTCGCCAATGCACCCGACGAAAAGTATACCAATCCATAGCTATAAATGTAATCTATTCGCTTGAACTATGCACGAGAGTTTTATCATTTTATGTTAAAGGCTACTCTCGATTGAAACGAGAAATTCAGGTCGATTTGAGGTCTGGTGGGAAGCAGGGGTCATCTAAGATTGCGCACGTAAACAGTAAAGCCTCCAAGGGGCAGATATTGACACAACACAAGATGAATACTCCGTACACGAATCTGCATCAATGGACTGAATATACGTAATATCTGACAGTCAGGGTTGACCTATGCGTTTGAAAAGAATAAAAAAACAGATTTTGACGCACAACCTCCCAACCGCAGTGATGCATGGAGTAAAAACGCATCATACTGTAGCAGAAGCTTCTATGAGTTGATTTAATTAAAGTTATTGTATTTCTTCCATCCGGGGCGATCTGTATCGGTCACAAAGCTGACCTCAAACCCTGTATAGGGTAAGCAGCTACTAAAGCGGGCTCTCCCCCCTGCCTCATAGCATCCAATCAGCAATCGTTTAAAATGTTCGACATCCCTGCTACTTTTTCGTGAGCCAATGAACGCTTGTTTAATGAGGAACACCCCTGCAAATATCCACTTGCGACATCCTACTTCAGTGTTATTCGCAGGCGATTTAGGCCAAATCGTTCACCAAAACGGGGCTGCGGGGTCAACATATTTAGCTCATATCGCTTTAGTTGAAGCCGAGTCGCTGATTGGTGCTTAGGCTTAGCTAGCATTGACTTGGAGTAAGGGTTATGTCGCATAGAGTAGCTTATTGACAGACATATAAACTGTTGAACAGTAGGATGGCCGCACGGGGTATCATGTGACCTATCGGTCAGCTGTCGGCGACCCTAGACCCATTCAGGAAAGCATAATAAGCAGACCCCTCTCCAAGGAAGATGGGGGAGACAGTTCGACAATACACATACAATTAGGGACATCAAGGCGCACGCGATCCGTTCAACATAAACAGACTCAAAGCACCTATCTATCCCATCGAGTGCTAACTGACGCCAGGTACGTGGAGATGTATGGCTGCAGCCAATCAACGCGCTGCTAAGAAAATTTCGACCCAATTAGAAATCGCACGCTATCGGTACTTCTATTTACTAGATAATTTGCGTGTGAAAGTATTACCAGCAATTGTCCGAGTTACATAGAGAGACATTGCACTCATAGCAACCTGATCTCGAGTACCTCCTTTTGCCTCTATTTCCGGGCACCTGACCTAATGCTTCTCTCAACCGTGGAAGGCTGCTACAAGCTACGCAAGGGGAGTTAGAACCGCGATTCCTTCGACTATGCTTTTGCCATAGAATCCTATCCTTCCTTTTATCTGAGGCTCTTCGCGGCCGGGCAAGTCGCCATGCTTATACTGACAACCCGAAACGCTGAATTAATTAGGGTTAGGATAGGGTTATATTAAGCTATATTGTTACGACCTCAGCGGTTACGTCACGTGTACCCCACAAAAAACTCCACTTTAGCAACCAACCAGACAAGGACCGACAAGTACAGGAACGACGGCGCTCCAGGACCGCGTCGTTCCAGGACCGACGACGACCTCATGTCACGTCGCTCCCATACAACCACCATTAGTATATAGACCACATTCATTAGCACTTTCATAGAACTTAGCTCACCAGCTATCAATAAAGCATCTTTACATCAATAAGCCTAAAACGCATTACTTGATCATTAAGAGACGTGACACTTCGCAACGCTCAGCATCACGCCTTACGCAATCTGCAAACATAAACCTAGTACGGACTAGTTTACCTGTTTGGAAAACCCAACCGTCACATATATAAGAGCTTTCTTGCTTATTTGCTGTTTAGGTTTTCTAACTTATAAGAAGGAAATTGTAACGGTTGCACAAGCCGTTAAGCCACAGGGCAAAAGATCGGGCCATAATCGCTATGCAAGCAATTATGGGTGTGCTACAGCTGCCTTATAGAAGCCTTATAGCGCTGTTACGGGCACGAATCGTAACAGAAATAATAAAGATGTAATATCTTTTTTAGGAAAATAAAAAGAAAGAAAAATAAGGAAAAATAGAAATAAAGTAAAGAAAAGAGAGATATTTAAGCTAGTAAATCCTAGAGCTAGAAAGAGATATAAAAAGAGAAGGAAATATTAAGATATATATAAGAGTTTAAAAGAAGGAAAGACTAAGAAAAAGATAGAAAATAGGAAAAGATAGATATTTAAGGAAAGATAAGAAATAGCTTCCTAAGAATAAGTTTTCCTAAGTAAATCATGAGCTATTAAGACAGCTGAAATAGCCCTAGTCTTAGTTAAGGCTAGGCCTATAGCTGAGTTAAGCTATAAGGCTGCAAAGAGACCTAAGAGCTCTTAAAGCTTCTTATAGGTCTGAGAGGTTTTTAGATCTATAAGGCTACCTACTAAGAAGATAAGAGAGTGGAAAAAGGCTCCAAGAAACTGATATTTCCGCCGTTTCTTATCAGCAGCTTCCTTTAAGGTACTAAAGGGGTCTTCTTTTGCAGAGTCCTTAGAGATAGCTACAATTTGGATATCATAGAAGTAGCGGCTATTTCCAATAGTGACTGTAAAATCAGCTCTTAGAGAGGTCTCTTATTAGACTAGAGGTTTAATCTTAACCTCTAAGTCCGGCCGGCTATTAAGGGCTTTTAAAAAGGCCCTATATATAGCATTATACCTTACAATCCACCTTCTATTAGCTCCCTTATAAGTATCCTTATAACTAAAGCTAGCTGTAGCTCCATAAGAGCTATAGGGCAGATCTAGAGGCTTAATAGGATAGAAGAGGCAGCTTTAAAGGGCTTCAGTAGTCTTAGAGTCTATAAAAAATAGGGGTTTTTGTATAGGTAAGACTCTAAGCCACTTACAGCCTAGGAAGCTTGCATTTTCTAACCTTGCTTGCTTATAAGGCATAGGAAGGTCTTGGAGAGCATTGATGAGGTTTGGAGGACCGGAAAATAGGGCTGCATGGTATGAGGGCTGGGGTTAAAGTTATCCTAAAAGGTTATTCTCGGGTGAGGCTAAATAAAGATTTTTCTGTGAGATTCAGCTAGCCCCGGGTTGTTATGATTCCAGTCTTCACGACGCCAGACTGGACATGATTGGAACATGTTAAACTTTCCTACCCCGCTCCTTCCTTTCCCAGGCTTTCAGACATTCCCACCTCGCCATCTTTAACATTTTTTGCGACCTTATCTAATTATGAATCTTTCTTCCGAACTCTACTAAATAATTAGGATCGCTTTGACTTGATCAATAGCAATCCTTATGCTCAATAGGCTGTCTTTATTTGTTATAGTTCTCGCATTCTGAGCCCTATATTTAGAGACAGCTTACTTTAAATAGGATTTTAATTAGCATAAATAGGATAGACCATACTGTTCACTTCGATTTCGATACCTGCGACCCTAGTTCTCCTATACTTATATAATTATGTGGGCTTTAGGTTTGATATCGGGGATCTAACCGTAAGAATTATTATCTTGCCCTAATCTGGGAATTGGCCAGCAAGCTGTGAGTGAATGATATTTCTCGCGAGAATACGGAGAGACTTGGTAGTGGCTCTGGAGATCTAGTTGTTATTCTGCTAGAGCCTGGTAATAGAGAAGCCTATTATAAGTATGAGGATATTATTGAAGATTAATCTCGTGCTTCTGCCTTAAGGATGGTAGATTCCGCCCTCTAACTTGCATTTGGCGGCGAGCGATCTATTTATGATACTGTGGTTCTTGATTTAAAACCATTTCGCAGCAAAAAAGTCCAAGAATGTGAAGATAAGTAAACAAAAGCAGTGAATAATAGACTGGCTTAGGATGCCGTACAAGAATCTCTGTTACTTCTTTAACGTAAAGTCATTCTTGTCTGCTACTGCGAGTTGATGGCAGGAGATATAAACCGACCTTATAGCCAGGCATTATTGATGAAGAATGCGTGTGATGCGCGCTACGAACGGCTTAATACAGGTTATCTATATATACGCGTTTTCAGTTTTTACCTAGGATATATATAGAGGATAAAGAAGTATAAGAAGTCCGAGAAGTATATGCGGCAAAGTCTCTTTAACCTTATATTTCTAGTTACGGCTAATATTCTTATTAGATGAGAAATAAGTAGTCTAGGTATCTTGAATATTAGAGACCGAGTAGTGTTTGGTTAGTTTACTCCTCCTCTGCCTCCTAACTATATTACTCTAGAGCATGTTATTGAGCTATTAAAGGTGCTTAGGATTTATAGTGACGATGAATATCCAGAGGTGAGAGATAGTAATACAGAATATATAGTACTGTGTGTAACTAATAATTAGCAGTTTCGAAGGCTGGTCAAACTTTACTGATTGGAAAGGTCGTGATAAGCTATATTTGACTTTGACTCTTGAGCTCTAGTGCCGAAAATGTCCACTCGCAGCTATCGTCTGGCTCGAAGCCCGAACGCATCCGAAAGAACACCATTAGTTATCCCTCACGAAAGCGGAATTGATTAAGACGGACGCTAAGCTCATGTAAGTCAAGCTGTATCGCCTGTCCATCCGCCCTTCGCAAAATATCGCCACGCTTTCCCACTTTGAGCAGCAAACGGGTCTTCATACCAGCCATTTGGGTATGTCTGTGCAGCGGCAGTAGCCGGAAATTCATTAGCCCCGCCAGGCTCCTTGGGGCCCGTGCGAGAGCCCTTGCGTTGCTTGTAGAAGCTTTTGTCATCATAGGAATCAACTTCATGTCTTTGGTCGAGATCTGAAGATGTATTCATTGATTATATGGCAATGATTTGTGCAGTAATTTGGCTGTGAAAGGTTGGAAATTGAAGTTATTGGTTCCCCGCTCGTACTGCCGTAATGATAGGGATGGGGGTTACGCCTTGGAGGCTTATGACCTCGCAGGAGATACTTAAGTCCGCCCGCCATGATCTGAAGCGTCTAAGTTACTCTTGAAATCTTCCGAAACCAGAGACACTACCACCTCAAGCGGGCGCCTCGCGGCCTCACTCATTACGAGGGTTAAACTTGGTCTTCCGATCGGGGCTTGGTTCCTCGAGGCGTGGCGCCATGCCACCAAGTGCCAGAACAGACCACGTAAAGCTTTGACTGGGATTTCTGGATCCTATCGCACGGGAAGTGGTCAAACACATTCGACAATTTCTGGGCCCTCCATGATATAAATCATGTCAGGGCACTCCGTTTTGTTACGGAGCTAGACTCATCCTGCGCTGTACATCCCTTCATTATCCTCCCTGAGCATCAGCTCCTGAAATGCCAGTCGTGCGATTGGTTTTGAATGCACAAGTACTACCCTTTAATGCTCCAGCTGTAAGTCCGATAACAATGGTAACAAATCGGTTGATAAATTAATAGGCGCGAGAGCCCAATTTTAAGAATGTTTTTGAAATAATTTAGATTATTCGCTTCTTTTGTGAGAAGCCCATTTTGCATCTATGAAACCCCAGAACTTATCTATAAGCATCTAGTATTATATCTGCCTTATTGGAATTTCAAGCTTTAGGATATACAGTCTTCCTTAGATAAGAGCTTGATTTTCATCACTTAGGCTATAGTCCTCTTTATTATTCTCTAGAATAATTTCAATATCTTTAAGATAATAGGCTCTGTTAATCCTAAATTATAAATTCTTATACTAATTGGATAAGGTTTTAAATTTGACTTTAATGCACTTTACGCTTTACTATCTCAGCTAGGTTTTCCTCTTTATATAAGAGGTTTATTTATAAGATTGGTTACTGGTGTTTAAAAATTATCTGGCATTGAGAGCAACTGTAATACATCTCTGTAATAGGTAAGAGGTTCTTGAAAGTTATTAGGCATTAGGCGTAGAACTAAAACATTATAATCGCCCAAATGCTCAGGATAGCCATTTTGTATGGGCGCCAGGCTGTTGTTTTGACGGGTAGCAAGCATAGTAAGAGTTGCTCAGGCTGGTAGTGTGGAGTTGTTCCTTTAGCTTTTTAAGCCGCTTACTGCTGTTAATGTTTTTCCTTGATCAAGCGCCAGGGAGGGCGGGGTAGTGAGATATGCAGGGTTATTATAAGTCTGCGCGCCAGTTATCGGCTGTAGGCTATCAGTTGTGAGTTGTGATAGACTACTGATATTAGTAGCTGAACAGCTGGAATACGTAGCCGGCCCTGCATTACCTCGTAATATTATACCCTTTTAGCTCATGTCGGCCTACTCTGCTGTAGATCCCTTAGCAGCCGGTAAGGGGGCTTTATTAGTTCTATGATATGATGACCGAGAGCCTTATTGTTACTGCCGCTGCCGTGGCCGATTCTTGAATGAAGACGTTTTGGTCTCTTTCGATGAATAGTTCGATCAATCTGAGTACGCGTTACAACTTGAATAGTGGCGAGTGACAAGGAGTCTGTTTATGAAGCTTGAGTTCGAGGGCCTCTGCTGCGTTGAGTTCGGGACGGTCGAGGGATGCGGCAATAGCGTAAGCCCACCTTCACGTCTGCAAGGCGCCGTTTTGGGCTGGTATCTTGTAACGGTTGCGCCTGACCATTACGCCACGGGGCAAAAGATTGGCTAACAACTGCTATTATAGCAATTACAGTGGTGCATACAGTTGCTTATAGAAGCCTTACAGCGCTGTTACGGTGACCAATCGTAACATATCTGCGAAAAATGACAGAGAACGCTTTAGCAATAGCTATGGCAAAGGGAAGTGGGGACGAGAAATCTGAGAGCAGCGTATCCGCGATTACTATTATAATAACTAATAGGGATTGTATTATTATACAAAATCCAGTCAGATCAGGATTATGCTATATAAAAGAGACAGATCATAAGGTCTATTAGAAAAAGTAATATGCTTACATGGTTATAGGGAACTCCGACTTTTGATCTTTAATAGAGTTAGCATGGTTAGCACGAACCACGTAACGTAGAAACGGGCCCCGTTTCTGTATTTAATACTTGAGTAGGCCCAGCTAAGAGGAAGAGGTCACTACTACCAGGAATTCGTGCTCAACTCTCTCCGCGTTCTGGCCTGGTAATCACATGTGGGGAGAGGCAGCAATGGACCGTAAGCAAGCGCTCCCTTTGCGGATAACATTTACCCGAGGCCTAGACAAAGTGTTCGAGGGGAAATTGACTAGCGGCTGATGCCTGTGCTGCCTGGAATACCCATGCTCCCACGTGATCTGGCGCTCCGTTGGTCATCTCAATCAACGTGTCGCACGCGAATACATAAGCCTAGCGCGTCCCGCTTTTGTGAAGACATACAGAGACCCATTAATTGAATCTCGTTTAACTGAGAAAGGCCTATCTTGAGCAATTGTCCAAACTCAGTGTTAGACTCCTGCAGTCATGTCCCAATATGTAACCGTCGGCCAATATCCAGGTCTAGGCATGGACCTCCGATACCATGCCCAAGATGAACGCGCAGAGGAAATCTACCCTATAGGATTTCACCACAATTGTTACGGCTCTCTCTCTGATATTTTGCTCGTTCGAGAAGTTGCAATGATGATTATCATGGATCGCTTGACTGATAACCCCAATTGGCACGTTAAAGTGTTCGACGACACGATTGCTGAAAAGTGGATTGAGGACGCCCTCAAATTTCCAGTGGATGCAATATACGACGAGATTTCAAATTACAACTACAATGCCCGCCACCCCAAGAAACTCAAGACTATCCTTGATAGAGGATGTCTCGAATACGTCAGTACTGTGTGGCTCTCCTTATCATGGATTATACTGAACATGCTGTTAGTGTATCCAAGAACTACGTGCCAAAGCCAAGTACTTTGAAAAGACGGGTCTGATCCCAACGATAGATGCCTGTGTTACAGCCGTCAAGTCAGACACCCTCATCGACGAGGGCCTCCATGATGAACTCCGAGCTGCCTTTGCCAAGCTTAAAGAGCATCAGAAGGATGGTCCGGATTGGCACCCCCTGACCAATCAAAGGGTACGAGACCTCGTTGATCCTTCTCTCTACCCCCTCATCTATGGTAAATCTCGTGGTTTCCGCAACGAAGTAGTGGGCGTTGAGGACGCCGTCGATCGATGGAGTGGCAAGGGAGAGATCATACCCAGTGATGACTCTCCCTATCCAAAAGGGTTCTATGGACATGTAGATCTGAACAGGATCTTCGACCCGTACTGGTCGACTAAGTATCAGTGGCTGCCCTCCAACGTCAAATTCCAGGAGGATGGAAGCGTCAAATTCACGAGCTACATCAATGGACTTCACCCTAACAAACACCGTGAAATTTATAGAGCTATTGAGAAACTCGTCGAGAGGGCACTTCCAGCATGGGACTTCTGCTTGTTGCGCTTCCGGAAAAGGGCAGATAAAGTAGGAGCTGGCAGAACTAAGCCGCGCTTCCCAAGACCTATAAACCCAGAGTGAGTTCACGCAACGCATGGTGAAGACGTTCAGGCTAATGGTCGATTAGTGATGAGAATGAAGATAACTGGACCCCATCCTCGGATGAGGTTTCAAGCCTGCCGCGTGCTGAGACAAGTGAAGCTGAAGTTGATGAATCGGCGTCAAATCCTGCATCTTCTGATGAAGAAGAGGGCGAAGATGTTGAAGTACAGAGCGAAGGTGGGCATGAGTATCACGGGACCCGGAAGGACGTCGCTTGGAAAATAGTTCGTCAGCCAGTTCAGCCCGAAGCCCCGGAGTTCAAGACCTGGAACTATGCTGTGGGTCCTGGTGAGTCCCTTCATGAACGCTTCAAGGATATCCAGATCATTATCAGGATGACTTCAATTGAGCTCACGCCGGAAAACTCTAGTTTACCCGCAGAAGGGTGGCATGTCGAAGGCCAAATGAACGAGCACATCATTAGTACTGCTTTATACCACCTGGATTCGGAGAACGTCACACCCACCTACCTGCAGCTTCGTATGCAGACCAGCGTCTTTCCATCTGATTACAATTACAATGTCCGACAGGGCTCTTATAACTGGTTGGAGCGTGTTTATGGCACCAATCTCGGCTACAGAGCCGTGGACAGTCATTGTCTTCAGAGATACGGCAGCGTTGAGATAAGGCAGGGCAGACTTCTAGCTTTTCCCAATGTATTCAACCATCGTGTTTCGTCTTTTGAGCTGCAAGACAAGACCAAGCCCGGCTATAGTCGCTTCATTGCACTCTTGCTCGTCGACCCGAGCACCCGAATCATTAACACGGGCAATGTGCCTCCTCAGCAGCAAAGCTGGTGGATGGAGAACGCGTTTAGTAACCTCAAGCAAGGGAATGCCGAGAAAGTACCGCAGGCTATTGCGCAGCTTATCCTCGATGCGGCACCGGGTCATTCTGCCTTAGATGCTGCTGCTAAACGCGGAGAGCGGCTTCCAGCGGAGCTCATGGCCATGATACATAAGAACGTTGGCCAGGCTGTGGTACCCATGTCGCTGAAGGAGGCTAAGGGGCATCGACTCAAGTTGATGGAGGAGCGGACAAGCTTTCAAGCTGAGATGAGGAGGCATTGGGCTGAACACGGGTACGGTTTCTGAACATTGAGCTCTTAGATGGATGTGGAATGGGGTAGATTGTAGCACCGTGCTCTGATAGTTTCCTACCCCATGACGAACAGTACGTTAAATGAGACTTTCACCCTACTGTACTAATTACTACTGGTAATGGGCCTAATACTAACTTTTATGGCCTGTATATCTTCCGCTACCATGTATGTATTTCCATCAGGAACGCGGCCCATTCCCACAATCCATCTCATTTCCCAGGTAAAATAGGGATCATCTGGGAATGGGTCCCGTTTTCTCCACCTCCCAATAATACAGCCAATTACCATTAAGGGACCCCTACCTATTAACTATACCCCTTACCCTTTCTTTCCTTTTCCTTCTATAGGAGTAAAGTTTAAAGTAAAGAGAGAGAGAGAGAGAGAGAGAGATAAAAGAGCTTTCCCTCTCCTCCCCCCCCCCCCCCCCCCCCCCCGGAGATCAACTTCCTCTAAACAACCCTCTTCCAGATTAAGAACTTGGCCAAGTCCATTGCCCAAGAGACGGCAGACAAGGCAGCGGTTATCAGGAGAGACACTACGTTATATAAATTTTCTAACAATAAATATTATCTTGAGTTGTAAAGCAAAAGATATATAATTAAATATAATAAAAAAAAAGCTTTATTTATATATTTATAATCAAGAATAATATAAAACTTTTATTATATATAGAGTAAAGTAAATAAGTTAACGTGTATGATAAGCGAGTGGGCCAGACAAGCGAGTGGGCCAGAAATCTTACCCTTCAAAAGATAAACTATCATAAAAACATAATAAACTATCTAATCAATTAAAACTACTCATTATTCTCTTCCCTAGATATCTCAGTTACTACCTGACAGGTTCTTGCATTATGCCCAGTCTTGCCGCATATTCCACAATGCCTTTCCCTCGGTCGCGCCGAACTTCCCTGACCACCACTTCTCGACGATTCGGCCACTACCTGCGTATTAACATCTATCTGATCAATTAGTTCCTGACCTCCCCCTACTGTTAGTACCCCTCCTTTCTGTAATCGGGTTCTTTTTGCCCTGCGGCGTCGGCTTAGTGCCTCATTTGCCTGTCGAAGTTCTCGGTTCTCTGCAGATAATAAGGTAACCTTGTGATATATTCTGGTTGCTGCCTTTGCAAGAGACTTTGAAGCCTCTATAATTGACTCTGGGGAGCTACTTTTATGTCCTCTGATTCGCCTTTCGAGGTATTCAGATTGAGATTTTACCTCGCGGACTGTATTTGGGGTCTTTGGAACCCAAGAGGTGGATGCGCTAGCCTCCTCCTCAATAGGAGTCCGTAGCTTTACATCAAGTTTTGAGATCACATTTTCTGGGTCAAGAGGAACAAGCCCGGCTCCTCTAAAACCCCCTTTAATATTGCTCTCCGTCATAGTGGCTTGAAAGGCGTCATAAAAGGCCGGGAGGAACTCGGTCTTCGAAATATAGGTTATAGAGCTTTTCATCATATGCTCTATTTCTCGACTATAAGCCCTCTTAAGGGGCCCAAAGCACCCGACGTCAAGAGGCTGAAGTAGATGAGACGCATGAGCCGGCATACAAAGCGTAATAATATTGTTCTCCTTGCAATATAGCTCAAAGTCGACGGAATGGTGACTTTCGTGGCCATCGAGGATCAGAAGACGATAGGTACCAATTGTTCGCTTTAATGAACATCGGTTAAAGTGTTTTAGCCACTCGAGACCAGTCCCGCTATCTGTCCAGCCATTTTGGGTCGTGGCGATGGCCCAATCGCCCGGAATGTTGCATTCTTGATACCAATTCTGAAGGTGATTTTGGCCCGCAACCACGATGAACGGCTCGATCGCCCAGCCTGCTGCATTGATCGCTTGGATCACTGTAACCCATTCTCGGTTTCCAGGCTGTAATCTTTTAGGCCGTCCATGCCTCTCTATACATGTAATGACCATACTGGTTGAGAAAACGCCCGTCATAAAGCCGGTCTCATCAAAGTTCCAGATATCATCTGAGTGGATGCCATACTTCGCGATCGTGTTTTGTACGAGCCTAAACCAGTTGCGAATAATAGTCGGATCTTCACATTTAGCCCTCTGATAGTCATATCTCCGCTGAAAACGTATCTTGAGTAGTGGTTGTCGCTTGACGAAATTCATAGCCCAGCGCGCGCCGACGCGTGGCGCGTCGCGGTCATCAAGCAGTCGATTAGCCATTTCTTCAACACCACGCAGTCGCGGAGGATATCCTCGCGAATCTAGGTCGATAATGAACTCAAGAAGAGTATCTTCTTCTAGTTCAGATAGCTTCCGTGAGTTAGGCATAGTATCGCGTCGAGATTGAACCCCTTGCTGGCGGCGACGTAAGGTATTACGATTGACTGTGTAGATTTCTGCGGCGCGTCGGATACTTAGTTTTGGATTATCTTGAAGGGCCTGAAGTGCAAGATTAAGATTAGCCTCGTAATTTGGTTGTGACATATCTGATTGTTGAGAACTAACTGATAAAGTAGAGAAGATGGAAGGTGAGGGATTTCTGGCCCACTCGCCTGTCTGGCCCACTCGCTTATCATGCACGTTATATTAAAAACTTAATTTAGGGTTATTTTAAAGGGCTTAAAGAGTAAGAATAACTTAAGCTTTTTTTAAAGGCTATAATATATTTAGTAATTAAGATTTAATTAATCTAATAGTATTGATATAAGGTAAGGGATTTTTAGCTAACTTGCTTATTAACTACGTTATATATTTTTTTTTTTTCACTGCACATGACTTTTACATATAAATTTTGGTGATCTCAAGTCGTCTCACCCTTTTGTGCGTGTCTCACGGTTTTGTGCCCAACTAAGCTTGCTTAGTTGGCCCCCCCCGGCTCGAGCCAACGGGTAGTGTTCAAGCCACGAATCCTCCCCGCTGTCGCGGAATCATCGGCCCTATTCCGACCCCAGGAAGAAAGGTCATCTTACAGAATGGGGTTAAAATCGGCCATTATATTAATTTAGAACCACAGATGCCTATTCAGATCCCCCGCAATCTGGAAGCCAACTACCGCGTTATCCGGCCAGACCCCCCTTGGCTATGAAACGTTCCTATATACTCTTTTTTTGGGCCGAGAGTACTCTAGGTACTCGAACCTCTACAGAGGGGCTACACCATATAGACCCTGGTCAGCTGAGGCCGGATGAGCCGAGATTATCATCGGTGCTGATAAACTTTACTCTATCCCCTTTGCGCGTGATGAGACAATAGACGCGTAACTAACCCCAGAAAGATCTAAACATACCATGTCACGGCGGGCGGGACAATGGGAAACATCAGAACGATCTTAAGTGCGGCGACCAATAACACATGTGATACTTTTTAGAGAAGAATAGTTACATATAGCCGGAATTGATATTTCTTAGTAAGGATAGAAACTATGTTACTTCCTGTTATTTCGCGTGACAGATACTAAGTCGGCATTTTGTGAGCAGCATGACGGTAGTTATCACAAGCCGATACGCCGCCGACCCCTTTAATAATATTCATCATATCATGTATGGAGTATCTATAGGGCTTAGCATAGCTGCTTAATGCATTATAAGCTTTCGGAAAGTATGCTGGCATCCTTGCCTGCGCGCGGAGATTCCGAACCATATCCCTGATACCACTAGGGCATATTGCGCCAATCGAAAATGCTGAGCATCGGGTTAACCGGCGTCCTTGAAGGGATGGTACTCGGCTAGGGTCGTGCGGAAAACCCGCATTGCAAGACTGGATGTTAAGGTGAGGTTGCGGAAAAAGCTGAGTTGATTCCGAATGGTACAGACGGAAAGATAAAGGAGCCTTCTAAGTGGATAAACGTATTACTTCTAGAATTATGCGCTCAAGGTTGATGGAATTATGTTCCCATTCATCTTATTCCAGTAACTCCGGTTATTTACAGCTCAACGCAGTCGGCATGCTGCCTGAATTGTGTTTGAGAAGTGTTGTTTAGAGTTGAATCTGGCCAAGAGCTGCCGCACACCGCGCGCCTTGCCTCGTTTATAGCTCAATGGGTTAAGCATATCAAAATAGCTAAATGTGAGTGAATGTGATCAATTTAGTGGAGGGACTGAACAATGCAACATAAACCTAAGTATTGGTCCTAAGACTCTTCAAGAGGCTTCCTATTTGCAAAGCCTCAAGCTTTACCATCTACGCGAGAATGAATTTAATTCCAGCAAGCAGATTACCAAGAAACATTTTAGTAGCGTCCAGATTTGAAAACATCCAAAAAGCATGTGGAAGGCCTTCATACTTGTCGAGCTTGACCTTGACACCGTTAGCTCGAAGCTCATGCTCCATAGCTACATTATCATCCCGCAAAGGATCCGCGCCGCAGGCCACAAGATATACCGGGGGAAAGTCTGCAAGACGTGACGAGAGCAAAGGGAATAACCACTCGTCATTAATATAGTTTTTAAGGCCAGTCGATACTGCACCAAACGTCAGCTTCTATCTTGCACTTGTAGGCTCTATCCTCACGTACCGTTAATCATCCTGGCTGTTTGTCCGTCAATGATTGGAGTATCTGTGGCGTTTTCTTCCATAGATTTCATGAGGTGTTGGACCTGCTCTGGCACATTATCATAATGAACCGTGCCCCCAGCCATGTTGATTGCTCCTTTGAGCTGTCCCTTTCGCCCAAGTTCGATAAGTTTGTGAGCCGTGGCAAGAGATAGTGTACCCCCACACGAGCTTCCTAGCATGAAAACCCTATTCTGGTCTCCGCCAAGCTTAGAAGCGTTCTCATATGCCTTGAAGATAAGCGTTAGTATGATGATTAGAACTAAGAAAGTTGAACAAGCAACTATTCACTTACCCATGAAAACCCATTTAAGGCGCCCTGGAAGACAACCTTGATGTCAACTGCAGGCGTGAGTCGATAGTCAACTGAGACGATTATGCATGGATACTTTGATGCTATGACTCTGCACAAGCCATCTTCCATATCGATCGAGCCATCAGAGAAGCCGCCTCCGTGGCAGAAAACGCCAATAGGTAAGACACCGTCATATTTCCGCGGTCTGTAGATACGAACTCTTACGTTATCATTAATTTTCTCATCCGCTAAACCGTGTAAGCTGGAGCAGAGCCCAAAGATATCTTGTTTACTTACCAACATCGAGTCCATCATCATCAGGGCGAGGAGGCAGATGAGCTCTGATGTACTTGCCAATGGCCTCACCGCCAGCTCGATAATTCTCCATAGTCCCGCCGAGGACGAGTTGGCCACCGAGTTCTTTCTCGACCTGGACATCGTAAGGACTTGGCCGAGGCTACACGATGTCTGGACTGGACTACTTACCTCTAACCATTCGGGCAATAAGTAAGGCGCCATCTTGAAGTATTGCAGTATCCACTATACGTTGAGCTTAATTGGAAAGGGGAAAATGGTGGCTGGGTATGTGTGCAACGGTGAGTGAGTTTGGCAGACTCTTCTCGTCCTAGTGTATAAATTGTTAGACCTTTATTACTTCCCGAGTTAAGGTGAAAAGGCCCTTCTGTGCCAAATCTGCCGGATGGTCCGGGTCAATTCTTACGATTAGCACTGCATCGGAAGAACTTCCGACTTTATATCGACAAGGATGACGATGTTAACGTACGTACTGCGTGCGTAATATTTTGTATGAGCGACGGGGGCATAAACATTCACCGCACGGAGGTGCATAACCAATAGCGAAATGCTCTTGCTCCACTATTCGGTCTGGCCGACGTCAGAAGGGGAGACCTTCGGAAGTTCCGAGCTTTTGCAACGACGAGTTTGAAGGTCAAAGGAATACTCTCAACAGGGCATAAAGTTGTACTGTTTGTCTTCAGTCTCTGGATACCTGCAATTTAATCGTGTTTCTCATGCTAACCATCATCGTTTCACCCCTGAAAACAAACGTTGCGAACGAAACCACCAGAGACCTTACAATCACAATCCAAGTCACCATGAACAAATGTATCTTTGTCGACGATTCTTGCGAATTATCTATCCGCGACATACCAGAGAAGTACCATCCCGAAGGCGGCCAAGCCCTGATTAAAGTCGAATACTCAGGAATCAAACCTGCCGACTTGAATCACCCGAAGGATCTAGGCATGAAAAACAATGTCTGCGGCTATGAAATCTGCGGAACTGTGGTAGAAGCAGGGCCTACTAGTCGCTACGCAGTAGGAGACGTCGTCTTTAGGTCTAGCCATCCCGGACGATCAAAACCAGGATACCACGGGGGACACCAAGACTTTGCCATTTTGGAGCCCAACCTCATGTCAGCCAAGGTACCCGCGCAGCTTCCTCGTGCCGACGCCGCCGCTCTCAGCATCATGGTCCGTTCAGCTGCCGATGCGTTGCTGAACCATTTTGAGATCCCATTTCCTGCTATAGGCGTCCTGGCGCCACCACCAACGAGCGGACTTCTCGTCTGGGGCGGTGCAAGTAGCGTGGGTAGCGCCGCGATCCAACTCGCAAAGGCCATGGGGCTTACGTGGGTATTTACAACTGCTTCACCTGCGAACCACAAGGCGCTCCTAAAACTTGGCGCAACACAATGCTTTGACTACCGAGACCTAAATGTTGTTGATGCTGTTCGAGCCGCAGCCGAGGAAAATGGAGTTACTATAAAATATGTTTTGGACACGGTTTGCAAGACAGGAAGCCCTGGAACTATCGATCAATGCGAATCGATTGCCACGGCGTCAGATGTCACGCTGGTCAGTTGCTTGCCCCAGATCCGCAGCCCAGCCCGCTGGAGAATGGTCCTCGCTTCAAGAGAAATTGATAATCCTGTACCGTTTGAATTCCCTGGTGGGAATAAAACCAATATGGAATGGGAAGCACGGCTTGAGAAAGCAGTCGTATGGGCTGCAACACACTACGGGAAGGAGTTCCGAATTCCAAAAATCCAGATTGTGAAAGGAGCAGAGAGGGGGATTCGAGCTATCAAGGATGTGAATCAAGGGAAGGTCAGCTTGACCAAGTTTGTCATCGAGCATCCGCTGTGAACCTGTTTGTTGTTTATATATTCGCCTCTAGTTCAAGGGAGTTATGTATTAAAAAACGCTTTATTAGGCTACCCTTGAATCAATCATTCCGCACGCTCCTCCTGGATACTCGATTAAAGATATACCTCAGATGTAGCTATTGTTCACCGACCAGCTTCTATTCATCCCGAATAGACTGAATATATTATCGTTGAGAGTTTGAACGTCATCTAGTTATAACTTCGTACTTGGTCACCCAAACAGAATAATATTAAATAAAATACACTTACTGAGTGCAGCGCACTGGGGATTAAGTAAGAAGTGCCCTAAATCGACGTCTCCGAAGTTTTGTGATACCGGTACGTTATCATCTTTAGGCATGTTGAGACACTCCCCTATTTTGATAAGTTGCTTAAATGTAAAGCACAGATTCTGAGATCCAAAGTGTTGACCCCACTTCGAAACCTCAAGTATCTTGATTGCCTCCTGGAATGCCTCTCTGCTTTCCGGACCGTATGTTTTTGGATCTTGAGAAACAATAAGCAGGATTGTCGCCAATGACGAGACGAGGAAGTATTCATAGAAGGTGCGCAGGCATTTCGAGGGAACAGCCTTGCTAATAACCCTCGAGCAAAGAAATACAGTATCTCTGGCGCGCTCAATGCTAAAGGCAGCGGCTTGTTGCTTTTCTCGGTCTCCTAAGTATGAGTGAAGGAGAGGCTTTCGGAGCATCATTCGGGCATGGTTGGCCCCCACCGCAGTGAAGGTCTCAAGGTCATCCATGAGCTCGCCATCCTGGAGCGAGTTCTAGCGGTTGCTAGCTCGATCTGTAGATTGGGCGATTGCAGTGAGCTCTCGGAATTTATCTCGCAGGCGCTGCACTTTATAATCGAGATACTCCTTATGCTGTCGATTTTCTACGGCACTCTTGGCCGACGGCTTCGACAACCCGATTATTTCGGATGTCAGGCGAGTATATTCTATTATTACCATCAGAAACGGTGCCGATGTTCCCTGAGGATGGGTTAGATGACCGGAAGTCAGGTAAAACGGGGTTTGGACAACCTACAAGATCAAAACACCTCTCGTCGATGTCTTCGTCCTTGGTGGTATAAGGGAGGTCAGTTGCAAAAGAAATCGTGCGATCTAATATGTATATCGACCAAAATAACTCTTTGAGGAAAAGAGAAGATGGAGCTTGCGCACAACTCTGAGTCTCGTCGGATGCTTGGTGAAGGCCAAGCTCATAACAGGCCCTCGATGCCAGGCCTATGAGCTGCCATGCCTTCATATGTTCAGACTTGTGGAAGAAGTAAAGACTCTAACAGTTGACAACTGTCAGTCGAAAGACAGTCAGCCAGGGGTTAAACCTCACCATCAAAGTAGCCATGACAATGTCGTCCATATCTGGGCCTGTGCCAGTGACAAGTTTCTCTACTGTCCAATCGACGTGGCGTTGGAGGTGCCGTGCTAGAGGGCTCGTAGTATCATCTTCCACGAGGAGAGTCAGGCCTAATAGTGCCTTGAGAATATCAACCTTGGTCACGCTAATGGGCGGAGACTGCGATGTATGGTTATTCCCTTCCCTGGTAGCGCGTCCGAAAAGTGCATCCAAGAGTCATCCGGCTGAATCAAGGTCAACGCAAGGGTAAATCGGATAGATAGTGTCTACAAAGGTCGAGAATAGCCGTCTCGCTCTGTCGTATTCGAGTTCTAGGATCGATTCCGCGCAGTCTTCAAACATGAAAGCAAGTGGCTTCTCCAATACTAAAGATTGTGCCCTGTTTGGGCCTTGAACGTCGTCCTTCTCTGCAGGTCTCACTATGCCATTGGCTTCAAGACATGATTTGGCCAAGTTGAAAGTATCGACAAAACTTGAACGGCGAGCTGCGGGAGACTTGCCGTCACTAACAGGAACCCCAGAGCTTGGTGGAGAGCTGTTCAGGCTTCCACTGTGTGAATGCCGCGAAGGTTCATTCAGGGCAAGGCTCATGGAATCCGCCGATGCACAAGGTGCAATTACGTCTTCAGCCGCTAGTGAGCATCCAGAGTGTCTGTAATAAAAGATATGCAGGTGAACAAGAGCAGCATTGATAGACATGTTTTTAGAGAATCTTACAAAGATATTTCCGTGACCATTGGGTTGATACTTGGTACGTTGCCACGGCGTGGGTAGCAACACTCTTCGCCTCGCTTTGTGCAGCGTTGACACGGCCACTGGCCATCACATTTGACCTTTCTGGACTTGCAAACAGTGCTACACTCATGATGTTAGTATCTTGGAGGGGAGAGCAGCGGACATAGGATACCATGCGATGAGAGTGTATTCGTTGCGCTTTCGGCGCACGCCTCTCACAGGTCGCTGGATGGCCACGGCATCTTGGCTGGCCATGGCGGCGCTTTTGACTCAATGCTCAGTTGTTAAGTTGGTGAAGAGAGTCTAGTTACAGAAGTAATGGACCAAATTTGAGCCAGCCATTTATTGCCTGGGACCATCCTCACGTGAACGGCTAACCCCACATCACCTCCGCATTCCGGACAAAACTAAAGTACCTTAGCTAGCTACCTGTCGCACTGAGCGTGCTTAAAGGGTTAGAGTGAATATGATGAGCAGTAGCAAATGTGTTGATTGATTTCTTAAGTTGTCTCTCGTGCGGGGTATTCCATCCCGCAGAGTTACTTAAAGCATAGCTAGATTACTAATGCCTACCCTGCGACACTACCCTACGGAAAGTTAGTTACCGAGGCTTGCAGGGTTCCCCAATTTACAGTAGCAATCCAGCCGCTTTACCGTCCTTACTTAGTTTTGGCGCATGCAAGTAGAAATCAAGGGTTAAGTTTGTTACAAGCTACCAGCGAAGTATGTTTGGTCTCGAATAGTAATCATGAGTGTTCTATTCATCATGGCAACGAATTAGGCGGATAAGCCTTGACAACGCGTGTTTATGCTGGGTAGAGTGCATCAGCGCTCATTTTCCTGCATTTTGCCTCATCACCTCCACCGCCTCGTTCATCAGCTTACAAGCCTCCTGCCATGCTGGTCTAAAGCTCACTGTCTCCCACCAATGGCGTAAGTGCGGCAAACCAGAGAAAAACACATCAGCTCCTCCCCTTAAATCAATGAGTTGCGATACCCAAGGCATCGACCAGATGTCAACGAGCGTGAAGTCTGAGCCTGCGAGATATTTGCGACTGGACAAGATGCCATCCATAGCCTTCAAGGCGCCACTTAATTCATTCCATATATCCTGCAGTGACTTTTCGTCTAGGCGGGGGACACCCAATATGCTAATCAAGGTAGTGGTTAGCATGGCATCTGGCAGCTGAAAAGGTGACTTACGGCTTGATGACAATGTCTGCGCCGTATTTCCATGCCGTAGTTGAGAAATAGCAGACTTCTATTGACGCAGCCTCCTCAAAAGAAGCCATGGCGTTCGCATCGCTGATATCTGGCATCAAATCATTTCCCTTACCGGAAAAAGCAATGGCAATATAGCGGGCAATTGCCCGACTCTCTTCGCAAAGTTAGTTTGTTGCACTCACTGTGTTTAGCCATACGAACTGGGGTCATACCACGAATTCGAAGCACTGTCTCTCCTCGATCATCCACCACATCTAAAATGGGAACCTTGCCAAAGGGGTGCATTTGTCGGTGCTGAGGAGTCTGCGCAAGACTTAACACAAGGTGTCACAGGAATAGCCATGTCAGTTCAGTTGGGAAACCACGCACTCGAGTCTCAGATTTGAGAATGTTGACGTGTCTATACTCCCAGACGATGCCCTTTTCAAGCATTGCATGCGCGGTGGTGATAGAATACGGAGAAACATAGTCTCCATACAGAACAAATTTGGTCGCCCTAAGTATGTGAGTCAGTGGCAGGCTGCGCTAAGAACGGCGTAAGGCTAAATATTACACACATTTTGATAAAGTCGGTTCCTGGATTCGTCGTGTGGTAATTACTTGATTCTCTATATGCTCTAGATATATCAGGAAGTATAGCTCTTATTTTGATACTGTTCTTCATTTTATAGTAATTAGAAGCCGTAGATGCAGCTCCGAGATAGGAGTCTGGGCCTCGGTAATACCGAGGTTTATTAGTCTGAGATTGGCTAGTGCCAAACACTCCATGCCTACTTACAGTATGGGGCAATAAGTTTGAAGACCTCTGTATGTACTGGCACACACCACTTAACTTAAATAATCCTAGCTGCTTTCCACCTTTAGCTAGACCGTCAATCCAGCCAATTAGTATCATCATATACTATATACAAGGCTGATATTTACACGCAAACTTACTATAATAAGCCAGCAGCCTATCCTAGCTGCATGGCGAATACAGGTCTGAATTCAATGGAAAACACATATAAACTAAAACCACGCTAATAAAGACAGGGACCTATCCTAGCTGCATGGCGAATACAGGTCTGAATTTAATAGAAAACACATACAAACTAAAACCACGCTAATAAAGACAGGGACCTATCCTAGCTGTAAGGCAGATACAGGTCTAAATCTAATAGAAAACATATATAAATCAAAACCACACTAATAAAGATAGGGACTTGAATCCATTGCCCCTAACAGATACAGGTCGCCATTACTAAAAGTTAGAAAAAATAATATTTAAGGTAATGCATTAATTTATAATTACCAGGATATATCTTATTTTAATTTTAAGCCACAGAAACCAAGTATTATCTCTTTGAGCGGCACAAGGCATCAAAGCGGTCAATACAGGGGTAACGAGCCAACCAGAGGAATTAATTCTGCCAATACAGACCAGCTTGTATATAGAAGACTGATAGCCAATAAGGATAGCTTGAGAAAGATAGAAGCCAATAAAAGAGGCTTAAAAAAGAGGCTATACTGTAATAGAGGTAGACCAGTTACAGAGAAATACAGCCCTTTTGGAGACAGCCTCACCTATCTTATGTAGACTCGCTGTACGTGGGGTCAAGTGGGGCGATTGACTTCTTTGATGCCTTGTGCCGCTCAAAGAGATAATATTGCGATTAGTTTGAAACTTAGTTAATTGCATTTAGCATCATTAAAAGTGGAGAGCAATTGGCGAATTATTTACCCCAAGTTGGTCCGTGCATTCCAGTATACCCAGGTATAAGTAAGGGAGAGCAATGGAAATATAAGCAGAAAATAGCAATTAAGCCAAAGCAATTCATAAGGATAGCTAAGTCATAATAATAAATATAATTATATATTATATTAGTATTATTATAGGCCGTTAATCTATAGTAGTTATTAACCTATAGCAATATATATAACCAAGTTAAGGTTAAGGTTTAAGCCATAATAACTAAAAAAGTAAGTATATTAATAAATATAAATAATAAATAATAATTAATCTATTAACGTACACGATAAGCGAGCGAGACAGACAAGCGAGCGAGACAGTATACTGTACAGCAAAAAGTAGCTTACCCTATAGCTTCTTAATACTTAAATAAAATAGCTAAAAATCTAAGAAAATTATTTCTTATAATAGTATAGCTTATTATATAATAAAGTATTTTTTAAAGACTTTTGATTATTTTATTTTATGTAGAAAACCTTAAAATACAGTGTAAATTACAGTGTAAATATATTTTAAAGTTTATAGCTATATAGGATTTTTTTTAAAATCTAAGAAATTTCACATAGCTTATTTTAGGACTTATATATATGTTGTTAGGATCTTAGCTATTTTAAGTTTAATTTGAAACTTTAAGAATTATTTAAAAATCTGCCTTTAAGGTGAAAAGTAGGGTGTCTCGCTCGCTTGTCTGTCTCGCTCGCTTATCATATACGTTATAGGATTTATATATAGGGCGGCTATATAGTATATATTATTTATTATTATAAAGTAAAGCAACCAATAAATTGCAAGTTTTATATAATTTAATTCCTTTTAGCTAGACTAGGTTATGTTTTATTTAAGTATCTTATTTATATTTAATATATAGCTAATCTATTATACTATAAGCAGCTTAGTACTAATAAGAGAGCTCAGTAGTGCCTATAGATATACTTACTATTCTAAAATAATAAGAGGCCTTGGCTTATGTCTTGCCTAATAGATATTATAATAAAGGCCACTTTAGAATTATAGCAATAAAAGATTAATATATAAATATATTACTAGCTAGCCATAGCAGTCACTAAGAAACATGTTTGCGAGGTATATACCCTATTTAATAGGCATAATGATTACAGCGATAATACTAATATTAATGCCATACTTGCTTGGCAAAGCAGGCACTAGCTGCTTTAGCGTAGGATTACATATAGACTTAATAGAGCATACCTATCTAAACTTTAGCCATTACTTCTGCGATACTATAAGTAGGCTTCGGTGCATTAGCATGAATTTCTATGCCAGTTAAGCAAGAACATACCTTTAATACCTAAAGAATTACCTTCCTTAAAGTTATCTTTAACTAGTAAGAAGCAAGCTATTACAGAGGTTGTTGCAGATTATATACTTCTAATAGATAAAACTTATTTGGCAAAAAGATAAAAAGGTAGCAGACTATTAATAACCTTAAGTAAGTAAAATTTATAGTCTTTATTAACAGAGGGTTACTAAGATAGGCAAGACTAAGTTTTACCTATAATATGCAGCGAGGTCCTGCTCTAAGCTATGTATAACAGAAATAGACATTTCGCATTCATAGACAGAGTTCTTTATATACTTAATAAGCCTCGGATTTTAATTTGCCTTCTCTATAGATATGCTATTTAACCTAGCAGAGGCATTAAAACCCACTTTCGAAATATGCACAAGTATATAGGAGATAAGCTAAAGGGGATACTATCTTTTTGCAATAAGCAAGGATTCCAGGATCTAACCAAGGTGCTAGTTCCGAAGAATGGTAGTAAGGCTATACTGCAATTACTAAAGCTCAGTAAATTTAGCTGCAATTACTGCAAGTTCTTATCTATTAATAAGTCAAATATTCGGCACCACCGCAACCAATATAAACATTAGGATACAAAAGTTAATAATAAAGGGTAGAAACATGTCCATCTTCAAAGATTTGTAACAGGTAGTAGTATACAGTATTAGATCGTGAGATAGCAGATAATTAATTCATAATAGCTGTATTAAACTTATTTATATTTAATTATTTTTATATTCTTATAACAAAGATTTTCCTTTTATCAGCTCAGAACCAGCTCAACACTCTGCTATGTCTACTTTGCGAGGCAGCCATCAAGCCCGAACCGGCTCAGGTAGAGCGTCACTATCGCAATTGCCATAAGACTATCGGATAGCCGCTGCAAAAAGTCATTGCGTTTGCCGAATCGTTCTCGTTATCAGGATGGCGCCCCCAAGCACTACAGGACCCGACAGATGAGAACATGGAGCTGCCACCAGATGGAAGCCCGCCTATCCCCGGACTAAAGACATACAAGGGACTCAGCTGCGAGAGCTGTCGATTTCTAACCCGCAACAGTCGGAATCTCGCCACGCACGAGACCCGCAAAGGACACAGGACGCAGGTGGAAGGTGGGGGCGGCCGGGCGTATGTGATGCTTCAGTCACTACGTAAAGCTCCGCATGCAAGGTACTGGATCGTTGTAGAGGCACCGGGCGGAGTCGACACCGAGTCAAGATAGGTGCAGTTTATGAAATGGTCGGCGCACTTATAGCAGAGGGATAAGACGATGCTGCACTAGGCAGGACTATCGCCGGCTTCTGCCGCAGTAGAATAGCGGATATGGCCCTGCAAGCGCCGTGAAGCGAACTTAAGGCTGCGTGAGTTGACCGAGAGCTTCCGGCACAAGCTTGACCGGTGCATAGAGCGGCTGGATAGGGTGCCGGACGAAACGCTCGAGTGGCTCGGTAGCATCGACCCTATCACTTATTGTAATGGTGAATTGGCCAATTCACCTTTTTTTTGTATGGGAGTTTAGCGCGGCGCTATCATGTCATGGGTCAATTCACCTTTTCTAAACCTAGCAATTCACCATTTAACCCTTTAGATTAAGGTTAGATATAAGTTTAGCGCAATAAAGCCTGCTTTAGTAAGGTATTTATCTTAGTACGGTGCCTATATATCTAGGTGCTATTTGCAGGCGATTTTACTCAAATCGTCTAACAAGTTTGGTAATGCGGCTAGCGTTTTGGAGTAAAACCGGTTGGAGTTGGGCCGAGTTAGGGTTAGGATTGCGTAGCAGAAAGGGGTTTATAATAAAATAAATAATATAATAATATTGCTTGTCTATTTAATGCCAAATTACAGAGGCTAGCTAAAGATACCTAGAAATAATGGAGGAAGTCGTGTAATTGAATGAGGAATATCGAATACTGCTATGTTAGGCTCAAGTATAAATGGGCGTCCGAGCGCCCACCAATCAATCGACGAAATTTATTAATAATTGTACGTTAGGATTGAAAGGCAATATATTCTGCTTCATAAATTCCAAATCCTAGTGTCAAAAATTCCGCTACATATGTAACCGCTTATTGAGTTGAATAATTATGCATACTGACCACCGTTGTTCCAAATCTTCATTTCCCTACTTAATCATTCTTTGAAGTTGCCGAGCTGAGTCCATTAATTTCATTAAGGCATCTTAGAACATTCAACAACAGCGGCCCTAGACAAACTGACCAATATATCATATCTATCTCTCGCCCCCTTCAAGCGTCGTGCTTAAGATGACTTTGGTCAAATTATTCATTTCTTCCTGCCATTTTCCAAGCTCTTGCTTTCTATACTTCTGAACCAATGGCTTCACTGCTTTCTTCTTATTACCCTTCCCCTTTGTGTTTTTGTCTTTCTTCACTGGGGCTTCACTTAGCCGATCGACTGCAGGATTAAAAAGCACCGGATCATCAATAGGGATCTTGTTAAACATCCAATCCACAGTAGTTCTTGTGTTGCCCTTGACTGACAAACTCACAACGGCGTTGAATTGTTTGTCGTTATCGCGTTGAATGAGGACTGGTACGGTGAGTGAATAAGGGAGACCCGTGCTTTGTGTCTTGTTCTCCAGTAAAGTCCAGCCACAGGCAGTATGGTCACCGGCATCAATACCCTCGCCAAAGTGCGTTCCTCCAGTGACGGTGGTGGCGTCACGAATGTCACGACCCCTGATTTTCTCCAGAGATGCCTCCCCGCCAGCTTGCGCAACAGAACCTCCTGAGAGACCAAGATTTATCTTTCCGGCTTTTGTGATCTCTTCATGATCTACCGTGGGACTGATCCTCCAACGATCGTCGAGTCCAATGGCTAGAACTGTAGGAGCTGTATCCCTGGGATCCTTAGGAAAAAACTCAATATCTATCCGAGCACGAACAAGCCGTCGACGATGCTTGATTGGCTCCAGCCGGAACTTGAATACCATTAGGGTAGCCGAAGGCGATCGGGCAGTCGGATTCAACTTTCCATGTATGACATCGAGGAGAAAGCATTGAATCGCAGTAGCTTTGGTGAGGCGCTCTATGACAATGCGTCGCTGCCAATCAGTCATGCTTTTGTTCTTTGCATGGAATGTTTCTTCGTCATCACCGCTAATGAAAAGAGGTGCTTCCAATGAGAGGAGAGGATCATCGTCCTCATTTTCAACCTGATCAAGGGCATTGTCTTCGTTATCGGAGACCTCCATGATGAAGGACTATTGGCTTGTACGAGAAACAGGTGAGAGCCACCGTTTCAGAGGCAATAGCTACGATGAAAGATTTGATAACGGAGTTCAAGACCTTCACCTACCAAATAGACCCACACAATGACCCCTCACTCTTTTTTCGATGTCTTGTGAAGAACATGCGCAAAAAAGAACAGGTTGGCACCTCGGTTAGCCTGCTGCATCAGTTCATTTAAATGAGGCCTCCTACTTTCTGCATGATTCCGCCAATCAAGACACAGATGCTGAATCTCCCACTTATTCCAAGCCAATAGCTGCTGGGCACAACAGTCACCTGATGCACTCAATTTACTCAGAAGGGTTGAAAATAGTAAGCGTGGCTGAACTTCCCCATAAGAAATATTATTAATTAAGAAATTCTTACGTTGGTCATAAATGAAGATTCGCAATCGTGTGATCATCTTACAGCTTGCTTATTGATAGAATAACCGAGAAATTGAGAGATAATCGGACATTCATTTCGCTTGAATCAATCTTGAAGAATTCGAATTGAACTTTCACAAAAGAAAAGCCTCCGTCATTTGTTTCGCAATGTCACGCCCAACATCTCCCCAACTCGTGTCGATAGCGCGTTGCGAGACTCCGCCCAACGCCATTCTCTCCAACGAACCCCCGCACTGTTTCAAAGAGGTTTTGAGGAAGGCGACAAAAATTGAAGAAAACAATGTCGCCGGAAACAGCCAAAATAAGAAAAAAGATCCGAACGCGCTTAAGAAGCTCGTGGCACAGAATAAGGATGAACTTTTGACGACAGTCAGCCTGCAGAAGCAGAACTTCCTTCACTTTCTGGCTTCTAAGCCGGCGTTTGACATGTCTACCTCCGAGGGCTTTGCTGTGCAGAAGTTAGTCGCCAGAATGCTCTTACAGCCTGATGGCCTGGAGCTGTTGCTGGCGATTGACAATAATGACAACACTCCGCTGCACACAGCTGTTCAATATAGCAACCATAATTTCCTCAGTGCTGTTTCTGGGCCTCCAAGTCAAGCTCAAACAGTTGAGCAAGTTCGCCGAACTATTGAACGAGGCAAAGACCAATGGGCTCGGTGCCGGTCACGAAGCACTTTCTTGCATGAGGCACTCGCCAGCAGAACCCTTCTCTACAATGAGAAGCTAGTTCTAGCTCTTATTGCCCTGGCACCTAGTGCAATGTTACGCGCTAAAGATGTCCATGGACAGACGCCTCTTCATCTGGCTGTTGAGTACTCAATGTGCACAGCTCAACGTATCGCCGTTGTCAAAGCACTTATTGCTCGCAAGCCATCAGTTCTTGAGATGACGGATAACAAAAAGCGCTCAGTGTACCAATACCATGTTCTGTCGAAACCAGAGAGCCAGAATGACGCAGCAAGCAGCACGATTTCAGGAGATCTTGATATCGCAGAAACAGCCAAAGAAATCAAGGATGAATTGATACTTGCGAGTATGAGGACAATGTCATGCCAGGTGGCACAGCGCTGTTTACATGCCCCGAAAGAAAAGGGTACGGCAAACCCCTTCCAGCCCCGAGAGTCTATCGTAGTTGAGACTCTATTCGCAAAAGAACTAATAAATATTGATCAATTTCAGAAAAAGAATTGTGGTTTGACTACATGCCAGCCCGATCAACAGACATGACATATGAGGAGTTCAAAAAACGCTGGAGTGATTATGACTTTGAGGCGACGTTGAAATATGTTTCAATTGCCAATATCAAGTTCAAGCGAGACAAAAGCGTTAGTCAAGTTACGAAACAGAACCGCGACGACGCAACGCATATCATTCGCTGGCTACTAACGCATAAAAAAGTCAAGCGAATCTTAAACGTTACCGTCGACGACATGGGTTCGAACTACCATAGCAATGAGTCCATAGAGAAAGCCCTTAAAGGCGCCAAGGTGGAAATCTTGGACTGGAAACGACCAGATTTGTGCCCCGCGACCATCTTCAAGATTGGTAGCAATTTGCGAGAACTTCATCTCCATTGGGGCGGAAACAACGCTATTCTACGTGCGTGGAGTGAGGCAGAAGGACTGCCTATGCTAGCACAGTATGGTAACCTAGAACGGATTTTCATCATCAGGCCCAAGGTATTTCCCGCTTTCTCATCTACAATCCAAACTGCCTGTCAAATATTAACATTACTATAGAATAGTCCAGATCTGTCTTCACGCAGATCGGAGCAGGAGAAGCAATTTAATGATCGCCTATGGAGTAATTGGAAGCTCGCGGTGTCTGAAAGACCAGCAACTCCATCTAAATCATTACCAGACAGTACACTGGTAGCTTCGACACAATCTGAAGGTGGAAAGAGCTCGCAGGATGAGTCACGGACTTTGGTCAATCAGTCTCAGGTCTTGGAACCTCATCAGAGGGCCAAAACCAGTGTGAAGCCTCCAAAGATATATCACATTGATGAAGAGGCTTCCGTCGAGTCTACTATTGGCGGCAATGGTCACACGGGCGAGAAGGACCAGCATCGCTGGATCCAATGCATGGAAGACTTCACAAAAGCCTTTCTGCAAATCAAGCAGCCTTCAGACTCCAGCTCAGTTCAGGTCGCCCTGATTGATGACGGAGTCGACACGACAAACAGATTACTCCAGGGAAAAACATATTATGGGAGAAGTTTTGCATTTAATGATTCAGGCAAACGAAACTATCCGTACTGGATGTCTGATAGCGACCATGGAACCATCATGGCGAGTTTTATCCGCAAACTCTGCCCAACAGCTAATATCTACATCATCAAGGTCGCTACTAGGCAGGGAAGACAAAACTCAAATAGACTAACTATAGATGTACCCAGCGCGGTTGAGGTGAGTTCAGCCATTGTCGTCATTATCATGGATAATCTAAACCTTTTTAGGCTATTAACCATGCAGTGGATCGTGGGGCCAAGATTATATCCATGTCCTGGTCCGTGAAACGACCAGCCGATGAGGGACTACGGCAGAGGTTCAACAACGCAGTGCAAAGGGCGGTTGATCACAACACCATCATGTTATGTGCATCCAGCGACCAGGGCGAAAGGGGCAATGACGAGACATATCCGCACGACGCGAATCGCGCCAACATCATCCGCATTGGCGCAGCGACAGCCACGGGCAACAACGCCGAGTACGTCAACAAAAACAACATTGACTTTCTCTTCCCGGGCCACGAGATATTTCTAAAAGGAAGTAAACCGGAGACAGAGCTAGGAGATGTCCACAAAGGCTCTTCAGTGGCGACAGCCATAGCTTCTGGACTAGCAGCCTTGATATTAGAGTGTATCCGGATCAGCTACGTCTGGATGTCCAAACCAGAGAATTGCGGGTCGATGGAGATGATCATAGACAAGCACTTCGAGGGGATGGATTCAAAAGCTATGAAAGCTGTGTTCAAGGGTATTAGTATGTCTGAATCTCGTTATATCTGGGTCTGGGAGACTTTTACTGCTTCTATCTGTGAGAAGATTATAGATGGAGGGTCTGATGATAAGTACGCAGCCGTGGCGAACTTGGCGAATCTTCTTTTAAAGAATGGGTTATAAAATCACTATTTATTAATAAATATGCAAGTTTTTTGCAGTGCTTACTTAATACTTATCTCAGGAGTTCTTATGCTTTCTGTTTCGCAACGGCTGTATATAGTGGCTTTCCTGGGTTTGGCACACCGAGGTTGTTGTGTCTACAAGCAAACTGTTGAATTATCAAGTGGGGCTCTCTTGTTTCTACCGCTGTTATTCTTGCTAGCGTTATTCGATGATTCGAATGAAACCTCTTCCAACCCACCTTCTCCTGTTCCTCTATTCCGTTCATCCCTTGCCTAGCCGATGTTCTCTAGATCATCGGTTGCAGGAATTACATTTCCTCAGCCAATCATAATAGCCCAAAGCAATACGGCTAATCAGACACGACCCCGGTCGAGATTATATTAATTAAAATTAGCAGCTACGAATCAAGTCTACCCTGCAAAAGTCAAGGCTACCCCCTGGCTAGTGACTTTAGGAAATTCAATTGTCACGAGCCCTGATTCTCTGATGTGTCTCATTGGATGTGTGTGTGTTCTTGTAAGTGAGTTCTAGTCTAGGACTATCTATGCCGTTTCAGCCTCAGGAGAAGGCGACTTCTCTGGTGCCGGTGCCTTAAGCGGCTTTCGTCCGTAGACCAGGTGCCTGTGAGATATCGAGTTGGCATTTTATTTCAAGAACGTCGTTCGTAAAACTTACATATCACCGCTACCCAGGTGCTTTGGGTTTCGCAGAATGGCACGCATCTTGGCCACGAGAACTTGGACCTCCTCGAGGCTCCAGCCGAGAATCTGGCCGATGGGATACAGCGCAAAGCCATCCAAGCTCAGATCCATGTACAGACCAACAAATTGGCCCTCCCTCTTGAGTCTCGCGTCCTTTGGCCATCCACCAAGCGGGATCGTGTGCATCTTGTGCACGATGTCCTCAAAGCCTGCTTCGCGGGCAGAGTCTTGCATGATCCCGTCGGTGACCTTGAAAGTGCGCCCGATTTTGTCTCCAGCATCGTAAAACAGCTGGGCCCATTGCTTGAATGTTCTAAACCCACCATTAGCCCACATCCCAAGCATAAAGGACCATGCGGATTACTCACTCATTTTCAGCTACTGAGTTGGGGTTCTCACACTTGAGGTGGATGTTGGGCTCAATGTGCTGGAACCAGCCGCCAGGCTTCAGAGCCTTAAACATTTGGTGGTACAGCTTCTGCCAATTGTCAAAAGCGCCGTGCATGTAGCGCACGTGAATGAAATCAAAAGAGGCAGGCGCAAAGGTCCAGTCCAGCTGCGCATCGTCGATCTGAAACTTGAGGTTTGGGGGGACCCAGGAAGGCTGGGTTGGCGAGATGTCGACGCCAATGACCTCGGCTGAGGGGAATTTATCAGCCATATCGCTGTTAGAGGTTAGCAGATTTATGAGATCGCTGGATAATCACTGACATGGCCCAGATGCCGGTACCGGTTCCGACGTCGAAGATGCGCTGGATGGCGGTTAATGTGGAACGATGTTAATGACGATAAACTCTTGCCTGAGGGCTGTCTCCAATTGGAGCGGCATATAGCTCGTCGTCGAGCATCATGGTCAGCCATTCATGTCTACAGGTACGACAGTTAACGGGAAAATATCCAATGACTGACTTAATGAGACTTACGCCACATCAAAAGCTTCGATATGTTTCTCGTCATTGGGTGCCCTGGTAGAGATTGAGCATCATCACATAAACGTCAAGACAACGGTTCTTAGGTACCAGTAATCGGTCGTATGGGAGTTCTGATACGTCCGGCCTTGGATCTTCCGATACTCGTAGATACTTGATGAGACAGACGCCGTAGATGAGCGGGTGCTGAATCATCGCGGTCAACATGTGTGTGCAAGAATCGCCTTGTGATGCATCCTACCTCTCCACATCAGCTGCGGAATCGTTGTCATTGTCGTCTGCGCCCACGACCTCCGGGTCCTGCCCACAATCAGCACCAGCACCAGCACCTCCACAGATCAGTGGAGCGATTGCGTACAATGGCGATGCCCTGGCGGGTCTGCTCCTCGTTACACATCCTGTTAGACTGTGTGTGATGTGATTCCGCTCTCTCGGTATCACAGTTGCGAAGCAAGAAAAGCCCGCCAAGATGTCCGGTACACCAACTTTATAGACGTAGAATAAAGAAAAAAGCCCCCTCAGACCAAAAGGGTGAGCGCGGGGAAACTGCCCAATCCGCTCCGGCCCGACAAGGATTAGGATCGTGTAATCCAACAGACGGCCAGCTGTTCAAGTTGGTTGATAGGGGCGGTCGGATTTAATCCCGCGGACACGCCCTGTTTGTAACCACAAGCAGGAGCCAATGACGCTTCATTCTGCTGTGGGGTTGTTGTCTCCTCTCTCATCTCTCATCAGGAAGATGTGCACCACCAACAGTCTCACCGGGATGGTATCCCAGCCAATCAAACGTTCTGTTTCCATGGAGACTGCGGCCTTGGCCAACGAACAATCATTACGACAAAGCTCCAACATGTGATGCATGCGAATAGTAAGGTCTGACGATTTTCTCCCGCCAAAAATGCTTTACCATAAGCTAAATAAAGTATTGAGTTTGGAAAGACAAATTCGCAGCGACACCGCGCCGTCTTTCGTTCCTGGTCAGGCAGCGTGGTTGAGAAAAGAGAAAAGCGTAATGCTAGTTCCCGCTATCAGCCCCCACACTTTCTCGATAAGGTAGGATGGCTAGCTCAATAGGTCTCTTAGGGGAAAAAAATGTTCCACTGGAGGAGCCGGGACGTGCTTCCGGGTTCCGCACATTGGCAGTCAATAAGGGGTACCCGTCCCATTTTCCGTATTGGGTATAGCTCTCTCCGGTGATGTTCCACTGTGTCAAGCAAGTAGTTTAACTTGAAGTCACATTGACTGGCAATCTTGAGCGAATCGTTGGTTCGAATTTAAATAGTCTTCATGTACCCAAGCCATACATATTACCAGAAATCCTACTGTACCAATTACCTCCCGTATCAGGCCCTAATACACGATTTGATGGTCTGTGCCCTTTGGTATTGGGTCCTGGTACAGGAAATCATGGCCTGTGCACGCTATGCACCCCTGTCACGGCAGATCAGATGGTTTAATAATAGTAATTTCCGCCTAGTTATATTTAGTTTATCTCCTCTTAATCTCCTAGTAGCTAATAACTAAATTAACTCTATTAGAGTTGATTTTACAGACTACTTTAAACCTAGTAGAGTTGATTAATGCCAGGGTGTAGAGTTGATTTTGTATTATTTTATATATAGAAATTATTAAGCTAATTGAAACCAGGGTTAGCGCAGAACATAATAGGACATATTGCGTAAATTACTAATTATGGCCTATTATAAGTATTAAAAATCTATATTAATTTCTAGAGCCTTAATTAGTCTAAAAGTTGTAATTGGCCTTGTTATTAATTGAAATCCTTGAGTAGAAGAAAATTACCTTTTTTTTATCTTATAAGTTATATTTTTACTTAGAATAAAAACTATACTTATTACCTATTAAAGGCAGGGGCTATTATATTAGTTCTTGACTAATCGGGTTAACTCTTGCTATATATCCTTAAATAATCTTATAGTATTAACTATAATTTCCTCTAGTATCCTATATCTTAATCCTAACTCCTTTATTACCTAACTATTATTAAACCCATAAATACCCTCCTTTAGGTACCTACTAGCCTCTCCCTTGCAGCTCGGCAGCACATCTTAATACTCCAGGAACTACCTTCTAATAATCTTATAGATGTCTCGGTTAGTGAAGTATCTCTCTGTTAAAATCTAGGGGGGGATTAGCACTTAGATTTTCTAAACTATAGCAGGAACTCCTAGTCTCATATAGCTTAAATAGGTACCTGTATAATTAGATACCTTGAAAATACTTTTTTTTTATCTTAGATCTATTTTATTATTATATTATAAGGGCTAGAATAAACGACCTTAAGGGCCATTAGAGAATAAAGTGCTATTAAGTATTACAACTTCCTAATCTGGACTAATACGTCCTTAGTAAGCATTATATTTTCCTAATTAGGTTAACGTACGCGATAAGCGAGCGAGACAGACAAGCGAGCGAGACAAGAATCTCAACCTTCTTGAGATAAATCATAATAAAAACACAACAGACCATCTGATCAATTAAAATCACTCACTATACCCTTCTCCAGATACCTCTGGAACTACCTGACAGGTCCTTGCATTATGCCCGGTCTTGCCGCATACACCACAACGCCGAACACCCGGTCCAACCGACCTTCCTCGACCACCACTTCTTGATGATTCGGCCAATACCTGCATACTCACATCCATCTGATCAATTAAATCCTGACCTTCCTGTATAAGCAGACTCCCTCTATTCTGTAGGCGTGTCTTCTTTGCCCTACGCCGCCGGCTAAGCATATCATTTGCCTCACAAAGCTCCCGGTTCTCAGCCTCTAATAAGGCAGTCTTCTGTATATTCCTCGTAACTGCCTTTGTAAGAGACTGAAGAGCTTCAAGGATTGACTCTGGAGAGCTACTATGATGTCTTCTGATTCGATCACTAAGGTATTTAGACTGTGATCCAGCCTCGAGGACTGTATTTGGGGTCTTTGAAGTCCAAGCTTGAGCTTGTTGGGCCACCTCTTCAACAGGCGTTGGAGTCCGTAGCTGCACATCAAGCTTTGAGATCACAACTTCCGGGTCAAAAGGAGCAAGTCCGGCTCCTCTAAAACCCCCCTTGATATTTGACTCGGTTATAGTTAATCGAAAGGCGGCATAAAAGGCCGGGAAGAACTCAGTCTTGGAAATGTGGGTTATAGACCGTCTGATCAGTCGCTCTATTTCTCGCCCATATGCCTTTTTCAGTGGCCCAAAGCACCCAACATCAAGTGGCTGTAATAGGTGCGAAGAATGAGGAGGCATACAGAGTGTAATAATATTGTTGACCTCACAATATAGCTGGAAATCGACGGATTGATGACTTTCATGGCCATCGAGGATTAGAAGACGATAGGCACCAACTGATCGGATGGTTGTACATCGATTAAAGTGCTTTAGCCAGTCGAGACCTGTCTCATTATCTGTCCAGCCATTTGGTGTTGTGGTGATAGCCCAAGTGCCCGGGAGGTTGCTCTCTTGGTACCAATTGGCAAGGTGATATTGGCCTGCAACCACTAGATATGGATCGATCGCTCGGCCTTCTGCATTGATCGCTTGAATCGCAGTAACCCATTCCCGGTTTCCAGGCTGGACTGACTTGGGGTTTCCATACCTTTCCGAGCTGGTAATAACTTTACCGCTTGATATCATACCCATCATAAAGCCAGTCTCATCAAAGTTCCAGATATCATCTGATCGGATGCCATATTTCGCGATTGTGTTCTCCACGAGCCTAAACCAATTGCGAATAATTGTAGGATCTTCGCATTTAGCCCTCTGATAGTCATATTTACGAAAAGAACGCATCTTAAGGTCTGGTTGCCGCTTGATAAAATTGATAGCCCAGCGCTTGCCAACTGGTGATGCGTCGCGCTCAGCAAGCAGTCGATTTGCCATTTCTTCAACATCACGATGCCGAGAGGGAAATCCTCGCGAATCCAGATTCAGAATATACTCGACTATAAGCTGTTCCTCCTGATCACTTAGTTTCCGACCATTTGGAATACAATCAGCGCGAGCCTGCCGACCCTGAGATCGGTGGTGGAGGGTCTGGAAGTGGATATCATAGAGAAATGCAGCTCGTCGCAGACTTAATTTTGGGTCTGCCTGATAGGCCTCAAGTGCAAGAATAATACGAGCCTCAGCAGTAGATTGCAACATGTTATTTGGTTGAGAATCAATTGATCAGATAGTGTTAATGTAAGGTGAGGGATTTTTGTCTCGCTCGCTTGTCTGTCTCGCTCGCTTATCGCGTACGTTAGCCCATTCTTACTACACTAAAATCTCAATATCTTAAGTAAAATCTGCTAATTTTATTAGTAATATAAAGCTATAATAAAGTTCTAATTTATAAATAAATATAACCCTGCTATACTATGTTAATATTATTTATAAGTATAATATACCTAGAAATACCAGCAGCAGAAAAAAATAAAGCAATATATTAGGACCTTAAATTATAAGGCCTAGATATCTTATAGAGTTAACTTTACTATAAAGAATATATATATAAAACCGGGGAATAGTTTATTAGCTAATACTAGGGAAATTAAACCTAATATAATTTCTTTTAGGGAACTTCTTATTACCTCTAGTTAAGAAGATAATAATCTAAGTATAATTAATACTAGACTAGATTATTATAATAAGGAGATAGTTAATACTTATAATATTAAGGAGTGTAAATATTAGATAAAGCCTAGGAGTTTAAATATCTTTGGTAAAATATAAGTAAGTCTTTCTTATAATAATACCTAAAATATTTTATAATATACTATATAGAAGTTTATTTAATAATATCTTACTAAAGTATATAATTATAATACTTAGTAATATTAAGAATTTCTAATAGTATATATAAAAGCTAAGGGAATATCTAATTATTATAGAATTATAAATTTATTTCCTTATAATATGCCTTATATACTTAATAAATAGCATTTTCTTAAACTGCAAACTTATAATAAAATACTAAGCTTAGACCTTACTTAATAGCAAGAGCTATTTAATAGTTATATACCTAAATAATTTAAAGGCAAGCCTAAGTAAGCCTATCTCTATATTAAATATTTATAACTAACTTAACGTACACGATAAGCGAGCGAGACAGACAAGCGAGCGAGACAGTATACTGTACAGCAAAAAGTAGCTTACCCTATAGCTTCTTAATACTTAAATAAAATAGCTAAAAATCTAAGAAAATTATTTCTTATAATAGTATAGCTTATTATATAATAAAGTATTTTTTAAAGACTTTTGATTATTTTATTTTATGTAGAAAACCTTAAAATACAGTGTAAATTACAGTGTAAATATATTTTAAAGTTTATAGCTATATAGGATTTTTTTTAAAATCTAAGAAATTTCACATAGCTTATTTTAGGACTTATATATATGTTGTTAGGATCTTAGCTATTTTAAGTTTAATTTGAAACTTTAAGAATTATTTAAAAATCTGCCTTTAAGGTGAAAAGTAGGGTGTCTCGCTCGCTTGTCTGTCTCGCTCGCTTATCATATACGTTATAGTTTTTATAAAGATTATACTTAAACATATAATAGTTAGGTATATTATATTATAATTTGAACTAATTTAAAGCTAAGTAGACTTTTTGAGAGTAGTTTAAAAAAGTCCTTTTAAGGTGAAAAATGGCTTGCGACGCTCGCTTATCTGAGAATATGAACTACATCCAGCATTTGGACCTACTGCCGCCCGACTTATTGCCTGGACAGCGGAGTATCCAGGACGTCCACCTAGACGCTGAAGGCTGGGTGTCCTTGAACCTGCTGTACAACTTGGCCCAGCTCCACTTGATCAATGTGACACCAGATCTCGTTCGCTCGGCCGTCTTAGAAATCAGCACCAACTTTCAGTTATCTCCTGACGGCCATAAATTTCGATGGCGAGGCGGATCCAAAGATACCAAGTTCAGTAGCCACAGCTCTGGCTACAACTCGCAAGAAATTCCTTCTGCCTATGATATCGATGGTTCGGAAAAGAAACGAGAGCGTCCGAAGACTAGCCGTTTCACTAGTAATGAATCCCAATTCGGCGGCTTAAGTAAGGATGCGCTTAACTTTGATTCACAGCTTTGCGCTCGAGTTGAAAGTTTCCGCTACAAGCCACTGTTTGCTCAGCAGGATTCGTCAGGTGGGCACACTTCACGGGGTGCGTCGGTTTGCTCGTCTATAGCCGTGGACGACAATAATCCTGGCGGGTCGGGCTTGGGCTTGAATTACTCCAGAGGGACGGCTGGCAAATGGCAACACCACGAAGGTGCTATCACATACTACAGCGGCGCACCTTTCTGCACTTAATTGTCGGGTGATCCAGCTGATCTATCACCAACCACTCGCACGCCCTCGAGCGCCCAAAACCGAAAAGATTCTCAGCAACTATCAAACTTTGCTCGGTCTCCTCGACGAACAACATCTGGGCCCTTCATCAGCTACAGGCCGTTGACGGATCGATGCCAAGACCTGCGTCAGCAGAGTTCAGCCATGGGCGAGGATAACAATGAAGTTCAGGGTCTGATAAACGATGACAGGGAACAAAGCAGCGATATCGAGCTGGATTTGATCTGGAACGACGCTCAGCAAGACATGGGGCAGCAGCCCTTGGTACCCTGCGGACTTGGTGGTGTTCTCCCCGATGATCACTTTACGGTAGTTGTCGATACGAAGCGGCCTAAGCAAGATGTTCTCCCATGGGCTTCCGAACTTCAGCCTGGGAGGTCGAATGAAACCATAGAAAGGATCATTCGTCGTCGGGCGGCGATGTTAACTTCTTGTCCCGTTCCCGGCGGTTCAGAACCAAAAACAATCGAAGCACCACCGCCTGTCGAGATTGAGTATCTGTCATGGCGCATGGAGAGACTGATACCAGTTCCACTGCCATCCCCTGCCAATTTCTTTCCGCCGTTTAGCACCGATAATTCCACGTCCGACGAAGATGACGATCCATCTATAGATGCAGATAACGCTGGGTCGTCAGAGGAGCATATGGGCCGACGGACGATTTCATGTCATTCCAGTAGCTACCCCAATAGCGTCGATGTTAGCACCGGCGTCGATGCTGATGAAGTTCCAGACGAATTATCTTGAGACATAGAACATGTACTCTATTAATCGAAAAACTGCAACGAAGATCTTGACTAACCGCATTCGGGAGGCCGCCGCTACACCGAACAAGAAAGCCACTACAGGCATTTCCCTGTGAGACGATGATAGCCCTGTTGCCTACTGCTGGAGTAGTAGAGAGCGAATATAATGGCAGTTGCCAGGACAGTTCCTGAATAACTCATGATCTTTCCAGAAGGAGATATAATCGCAGCATAAATATTCCGAGGACAAATTTGCCCTCAAGATTAATTAATACCCTATGTGTCTACTATTCTAGTTACCGCTTTATCTTCGGTATGAACGTGATGCCAATGATACATAGGGCATAGTAAAAAGCTCATATCTCTGCGGTAATAATAGGTGGGATCATGCTATTCCCGGCTATGGTTGATTTTTTCGCCCCTAAAACCTCCAAGATTATCGGGGTTCCAGCCCCACATAAACCCAATGGGTACGACAGACCATGTCACTGTTCACGGTTGCGTTCGTCAGTGCAAAACGTCTGAGAAACGGTCCAGGTGTGTGATTGGCTTGTATAAATCATGCAACCCAAATTCGGAAATCACATGCTAGACATTCTTCCCCTATCTGGCACTACGCCATCGTCATATCCTCGTCATATCAACCCCTCTAGCTGGTCTTGGGGTTCGATGGCCCTCACTAATAATGTTGGGGAGCGAGACCTACGTCCCCAACGCGCGTTCTACGTTAAGGGCAATCAGAAGGAGGAATAATTGCTTTGCAGTAGAAGTGACTCAGCAATTTCTGCAAACAAGACACTTCTTTATCAAGGGGTTCCATGGAGTCAACGTTGAGTTCCCAAGACCCGCTTCCCTCAGCGCCAAACCCCAGAAAACGGGAAACTCTCGATGATAGTCCATGATCGCTGTCCTTTTTTTGACGCAGCCCGCAACGGCAGCACCAGAATATCACGCTGCCGAAGCCGCACTCCCGGTTGGAACTGGCGCATTGGGAATATGCCAGTTATTGGTCGTCACACTGCTGCCGTTAGAAGAGCCTGGGTCGGAACCAAGGATGTTTCCAACGAACTCTGATCTTGTGTCCTCAGCATCCTGAAGGGATATTATCAGTAAAGCTTTAACAGATACCGACAGCTACGACCTACCACAAGCAATCGAGACTTGGGTCTATTTCGTATTCCAGAACCTACCAGCACCATTCTGGGGTTGTCTTTGTTCTTCCAAGGCGTTGGCAGAAGTAGATGCATGACTTGATCTTAATTAGGGTGTAGGCGCGGTGATCCACTTAGGGTAATGAGTAGGAATTTATAATGAAGAAATAATAATTGTAGAAGAAAGATGAATGAATGCTATGAAGAATTTATATTAAAAGTACATAGTATTATGCAGCCCAGCTTGGTATTTATGGTCACCTCATCCCCTTATCAGATCCCCAACACCTCTCTCTAACCCCCCTCTCCCCAACCAGCGTCGAAGGCATGAATCAGCATCACCTGGGGCAGAGGCAACTTCCATCCAATCACCTGCTGGATGATAGTATCCTCTCTTACAAAGCTTGGCCTCGCCTTGCGATGCGTCCACGGGCGGGGATTCGGCCTTGAGACCACATCCATCGCTTCATGGCGCCCAGGTGAATCGATGATCAGATCTACGAGCAGAGGAATCGTAGGGCTGCAATTACGTAGTAAGAGTAGCCAAAATGAATTGACCAGGTGGCGGGAGAGAACTTGAAGTTAAGGTGTGGAGAGAGCTGGAGCGTTAGGTTTGATTCAGCAGTTTAACAGGGGAAACAAAATGGGACCTACTCACCATGGCCCAAATCTGGTCAGCTTATTAACAATTATTCATTCGTTGCGCCCCTCCTTGGGGCTGAAGTCCGGGTTTGCAGCAGTACGATCGTAGATGAATCCGGGTAGAGTCGTCATTTGGATCTCCGTGTACTGGTACATGGACTCAAAATAGGCTTGTAGGGTCGTTGGTCGTTGTGTGAACTGGGAGGCAGATGCTATTGAATGGCTGTAGCAATCCATGGCTGAGAAGAGGGTGCTATCAGTCAACGTGGCGTGAACGAGGGGTAACTGCCCAGGGATCCTTATACTCAACCATTCGAGCAATGACGTACAGGAGACCGTTGGTTGAAATGCAGTATTGGATGGTTGGGAAAGCCTAATTCGATCCCCGAAATACGGAGAATTCATTATTCCTTATTTGTTGGGGCAAATAGCCACTCCTCCAACTTCCACAACCAAAAGGCATGCCCACTTTCTCACAAAAGATTTCCCTCTCATCCTTTCCGGTTATAGTTTATTTTGAATTATCCTCCCATCTACAAACTCACTATTTTTAACCTCATCCCACATCTTGCCATTACAAACACAATTCCCTACGACATGGATGATCTACCCTACTCTTCTATTTCTAATTGTCGTGTACCCCTAATTGTCGCGTACCCCTGTCAACTTCTCGAGTGCTTGTCTATCTCCGGTTTATTCCCTTTCAATCCATATAGCGACTGATCTTTTCCATTTCGATCGACGATGTGCACGCGCGTCACACGCGTGTGAACGCTTACTTTAGCTTTCATACGTTATCCACCCTCTTTATTGTAATTTCAATCTGAGGTTTCTTTCCAACAATATTTACGAGCTCGTGTCATCGAACGGCTAGTAGAGTATAGTCGCCTTCCAATATGGAACTTGAAGGTCTCTTTTCCTACGATCCTTCTTGGCGTATCATTGTTTGCAAACAGTGTGGCGTTGTACCGCAAACCAACATCGCCCAACATGTCCGACAGCACCACAATGCGATGCGTGCCTTCAAGGTCGCTGCTATCAAGCTATTTGAACGAAGTTTTGATCATCTACCTCTTATACGAGACGCCGATGAGATATTCAGGAGGGTGCGACCGCTGCCGATCGCTCATCCAATTCAGTTTCTTGGTGTTTTCCACGATGGAATTTGCTGTCTACTTTGTCAAGATGATCGAGACCGGTATGTCTGCCGAGGTCGTACAGCAATAGAAGATCACCTCAAAAAGGTTCATAAGCAACCATTGCGCCAACCGGGGCGCCGACGAAGGGGAGAGGTTGGAGGGATCAAGGGTTTGGCCCAGGCCGGTCTGGTCAGGACTCCAGTCTCTTATCAAACCCTTTTTTACGGCTCACGATGTAGGTACTTTATCGTTAAGGCCTGCAAAGTTCACGAGGACATGGAGGAAAGCCCATCTGGATTTGATGCAGGAAGTAACGCAACTAATATCAGCCCTGTGTTTGCCTAAACTGGACTTGAGGACATCATAAACCTTCAGCTTGCCCAGCAAGAAAATGAAAACTCAGCAATATCAAACCAGACTGGTTTTGATATAAACCTTCTATCTTCTGACCCTAGACATTAATACCAGTGGCTTCAAGTCACGGAATGGCCCCGTTTCCTAGAGCCCTACAAACAAGAACTGGCTCAAGTCGCCGCTCTAGTTTCACTTCCAAACCTAGCCAAGTCCTATGAGCTAGGCTCCCCAGGCAGTTCTGAAACTTTACTCTCCATTCTTCTCGATTCTCTTTCACGCGTTATCACCCGATCACGAATCTCACTTCAGGATGGCATGTTGAATGCTTTCGACCAACATCGGCTTAACTCTTTTATCGTTGGTCGCTCGTCCCGCAAGCCACTGATCCACAACCTAAGAGAAGATACGTATAGAAAATATAGCCGCGTCCTTCAGCATTTAATGTGCTATCTTTTTCGCCTGGCGTGGCTAAAGACGGGTCCAAAATTACATTACCGGCTTACTGAGGGGCAGGCTGCGGCGATGATGGATGCCGTTCACACAGCGTCAGAAATGAGTGCCGCCAGCGGCGATGGACAGAATCCCGATCACTCTGAGGAACTCAGAAAGAGACTGGATGATAGATGCCTTATTCTGATGGTTTTGCTCCTAGATCACAAGTTATATGGCGATGTTTATGATAGCATTGTTGTTAGCTTTCTGGCAGTAATGGGAATTCGCCAAGATGCGACATCCGGCAATGCGCAGAAACTGTCAGGGGCTGCTGAGTTTACTCCGAAGTTATCGGCGCTCATCAAGATGGGCCAGCTTCTTGTTGCTGAAAGGGCGCTTCTTGCTGTCGAACTCGATGAAGCAGACTTCCCGGCTTACGCACTAGAAGAAATGCAAGACAGGTTTATGACAAAAGACTCGAGGTCGCCGATAAGCTGGTCACTGAAGCTTCGTGCATACGGCAAAGCCATAAAAGATAATACGACAAGTCTTGGCTACATCATGTGGTCGGACGACAACGAGATTTTGAGCCACAAAAAAATGCGCTTCTCGATGACTGGACTGCGTGACCTAGTTGCTGCAGAAGTAGAGGCGGCGCAGAATCAATTAATAGATTTGCTCTTGGTACTACTTGATACAGAGAGAAAGGGTATTGTGCCCCAATTTAGCCTGCGATCAATCGTGGATGATCCGTCGGAAGGGGCCCCAAGTTGGAACTTCACTTGTCATCCCCAGAACGAGGTCTTGCATGGTCATCGGAGGTGGATCCTTGACCGAATACTCAAAGAAACTTTTCTTCGGCGGGACTTCTTCGAGAATGAACAAACTGGAAAATGGAGGTTGCAAACTGTAGGCCGATACGTATCTACAGTCAACGCATTCCTCGAGCGGTTGCTACTTCTTGTGCATATCACCGGGGGCCAGCCAGCACGTGGGACGGAACTGCTTTGTATTCAGCATTCCAACCCTAGAGACGGGTCGGGGGGCCGCCGAAATATATTCATTGAAAATGGCCTTGTTAGCTTCGTGACATATTACCACAAGGGATATAGCGTTACTGGCACAACCAAGATTATACATCGGTACCTACCGAGCGAGGTTGGGGAACTTCTTCTATATTATGTTTGGCTCATAGTACCATTTCTCAGTCAGCTTTCTCAGCTAGTCAAGATTCTCGGCTTCAAGCAAGGATCCACGCCATACATCTGGGGCGAGTTTTCCGTCCCGCAATTATTATCGTCATCATGGGGCACAAAACAACAGACTCTGCCGTACCTACAAGTAAACGATAAGGAAGCTCGCAAAGAAAGAAAGAAGGTTTCTCGCATATTGCGGAAATTGACAACCGACAAAGCCGAAACTGACTCAATAGCAGCTGGTACCTCAGATGGTCCGTGGTCGGCTACACGGCTTAGTGTTACGCTGAGCCGCACTTTCAAACTCAGTTTTGGAACAGAGACTAATATCCAGATGTGGCGCCACGCAGCTATTGCGATCTCACGTCGGCATTTACAGCAAGCTAAATTCAAGAGGGACTTCATTGAGGCAGTTTCATGGGCGTGGAACGATGAGATGGCGGCTCACTCGACTAAGATAGCCGGACTGGCATATGCGCGAGGACTAGAAGAAGCACCTGGGCATATTGCTAGCGCAAAGGCCGAGTATCGGCGAATTAGTCGAGAATGGCATGCGTGGCTTGGTCTTGGGGGGTTTAGGAATTCTGCTATCTAGCTACCTTTACTAGCATGTGTAGAGAAAGATTAGCGAAAGATATATGTCTTATTTCATCTAGGCCGTATTTAGCTCGAACTTCCAATGTAGAATAAAGAGGTTTAAGGAAGGTATTAATACTGCATAGTAGCTAATAGAGCTCAAAGTAAGACTTTAATGTCATTAAATTTGTTCGCAATGGAGTACTTCGCATATGATCCAGAATTTCGACTTCTCTACTGTTGTACATGCCAGACTATGGTCACACAGAAACAAGTCAACGTGCATTTTCGCAGCGAGCCGCATAGTCTCAACATTCAGGAGATCAGGTTTGCGCAAGAGTGGGCATCTAAGCATGAAGTCTTTGAGGGTCAGCTAGAGGCTCACGTTAATCTACCACCCAGGCCCAATAATGCACCGCCCATTGTAGCTTTAGGTCCGCCAGGTACAGGAGGTATTCGGTGTGAGTTTATCTCAGAGCAAAGCACGTCGTCTCATTCTAATTGCCGATACGTAGGCACAGAGTTGAGGCAGATTCGAGAACATCTTAGGGTCAAGCATAATTGGGACATAGAACTCAAAGGTGGACGTCGCTCAGCTGCCATGACAGAAGAAGAAAGGAGCAACAGCCCGTGGAGGACAGGAGTCCATTATCAACGATTATTCTTTAGTGGGCCGGGAAGCGAGCTATTTGAGGTGGCAAGAGGACTGAATCTTGAACAGTCAAGGGGTCAAGATAACGAGTCACAAGCCGCACTCCAGAGGGCCATTGATGCATTCCAGAGCAAGGGTAAAGATATTCGAAGTCAGGAAGCAGAGCGTATTGATGAGGAGAATGACTTTACTGCGCCAAACCCGTGGCTTCGTCGGCTTGGTTCTGCTGTCCACTTAAAGGATTTTAGTGGGAAAAAGGACTTTTTGAGGGGCTTGATCGCTATGGAATACGAAGTGGATCCGGATGATCCAGATAAGTCAGACGATGCTCAACTCTGGTTCATACACATCGCATTCGATCGCCTGGTTAACCATGCCAAGGCTGTTATCACACCTAGTAACTAATGACCAAATCAACTCTAGTAGGGTTGATTTTATTGACCTAGGTATTATTCGCAGGCGATTTGAGTCAAATCCTCCACCAAAATGGGGTTGCAGGGCCAACAAATTTGGTCCTTATCGCTTTGGTCGAAGCCGAGTTGCTGATTGGTGCTTGGGGTTAACTAGCGTCAACTTGAGTTTAGCTAGCGCCGACTTGGGGTAAAGGTTACACAGGATAGAGTTAGAGTTGCCTGTTGGTTAACGCATAAACAAACTGAAAGTAAAATCTACCAGTAATAATGGAGGAATGCATCCACTTGAACGAGGAGTATCAGATGCTGCTTTGTCGGCTCTGTACAGATTACCTTGATGATATTGGTGTTCCTAGCCCCTCTAATCACTGCTGCGCATCTCCATCTCTCGTCCTTCTTTCTTGTCCTCACAGCGTCTTCGATAGCCTGTCGGACCACTCCGATCTGCGCCTTGTCGCTGTCATCGTCGCCCGCTCCGGAGATATCTATCATGCAGAAAAGGTCCTCTCCACAGGGTAACGAAAGCGGCGGCGCAGGTGATGACACCGGCTCAGGACGTCCAACACCGCCATTCGGCCCCTCCGTTGGTGATATACGAGCTATGTCGTCTGGGCGGAGCCGACTACAGCGCGCTGCGCCATGATATCTGATTTCTCGTGGATGTGTTTGATCTATTCGGCGGCCTACACTTGCAGGGGCTCGATATCGCGTGAGGCGTGCTGCTGCATTCGTTTGAGCTCGTCAATCTGTTCCTGCATCAGCTTTCGTTCCTGTGCGGCTTGCGCCTGAATGCCTTGAATATCTTGTTGCAGCTGCCTAATCGCTTTCTCCTGGCCTTCGATCATTTGCTTGAGCGCCTGCTGTTCCTTTTTCCAAGCGTTCCACAAAGTCTCGATGGTTCTCTCGTGAGACGTCGTCATTTCCTTCACGGTTTCTTGCTGCGCCTTCGCCATCTGTTTCATTGTTTCGTCACGGATTTCGCGGACCAGGGCTTGCATCACTATCCCAACATTACCGGACAAGTTCTCCATCCCTTTCGCTGTTAGCTTTCGCAGCCAGTCTGATTCGCGACGATGCTGTCCGCAACCGCGTCCATCGCGCCGTTTCGCGTCACGTCGCGCCCCGCTTAACTTTCCAAACGCTGCCTCCCCAATGTTAACAAAGATTATAAAGATTGTAAGGATTTTATGGTGTTTTTTCTGGCTGAGATGAACATAAACACGGATTCTGACTGGGTCAGGGGTGCAGTGAAGCTGGGCCTAATAGTGGCGAGGAGAGATGAGGTAAGAGCTCAAATGGTGATATTTAAAATATTTGAAATATTTGAATAAATATTTCAAACAACAAATCCAGCGTCGCGGGCTATCAAATATCTCAATTATGACCACGAATTTGATTTGTTTGATTTGAGGGCAGCGCTGGCTGTACATACTCGCTGTGAAAACATATATAGAAGAGTAGTACTTATATCGTCTACAGTTTGTTTGAAATCAAACCCTGAGCCCCCGATGAGACAGCCTATACAGCAGCAATTATCCCCATTTACTATCAACTCAAACAGCGGCCAATGCTTTTCTTTCATCAAAGAGTGACTCGAAAATTGCCGTACACGTCATCGCAGTTGCATTCAACAAAATGCTCTCCCGTTGCCAAAGCGTATTATTGTCGTCGGAAAGCCAAGTGGGGAGCCCACTTCACACGACACAGGGAATATTCATGGTCCCTATGCAAACTTGAGCTATTGCTGGGGTGATAGCCAGCATCTCTTGAAGACAACGTCTACTTCATTAGAAAAGCATAAGAAAGGTATATCTTTAACGCAATTGCCTAAAACAATTCGTGACGCTGTTTATATTACAAGGGAACTTGCAATTGACTACCTTTGGGTGGACAGCCTTTGTATTTACAAGACAGTGTGCAAGGTTGGGAGGTCGAATCGGCGAAAATGGGTGAATGCTTCAAAAATGGGCATGTTACGATAGCTGCATCTGCTGCGTCCCATGCATAAAGCGGAATCCTTCGTGCCAGGCGGGGAATAACGCAATCTGTTGAAGAAGAATATGAGTTGGTCGACGGAACAACATGCAACATTGTTATCCAGGAGAGAAGTCACAGCTATGAGAAACTGGAAAGTTTAGTGCACGACTTTGGTCCTCTTTCTAAACGTGGGTGGGCTTTTCAGGAGAATGTACTGTCTACAAGAACAGTCCATTATACAGACTCAGAGCTAGTCCGGGATTGTTGCACTGAGACAATTTCCGAAGATGGGTCGACACATGAGAGAAACCGGCATAGTATATTGGCCTACAATATGCTAAATCTTCAGCCTAATCCAGGCCGACTGTGGCAAGACCTGGCAGAGAACTATACTCGTCGAGATCTTACTTATCATTCTGACAGGTTGCCCGGAATTGCTGGAAGTGCTCAAATAATGCAGAGCCAAACGGGTTTCCAATATATCGCCGGGCTATGGAGAGAAGCAATAATTTTAGATCTTCTCTGGAGCACTTCATGGCAGCACTATAACACGACACCCACAGAGCTGGCCAAAACCTCCTAGCTCAAGTTTAGAGGAGTGGTGGGGTATGAGGACATAAGGTTAAGTGTGAAACAGGCCGGGAGGCATAGAGCTTCGGGAAGGCGGTCATCTACCCTCCTTATTTTTTTGGCTTTTCCTTCTTTTTCTCATATTAATATACTCTCAGCCATGTTAAAACCGTGGCGGGGAATGGCCGAGCTGGAGGGCCACTTCGTGTGAAGTAGCGGGGATGAAGGCGATTGACAGCGCTAATAAAAAGCATGTCGTTGCCTGAGTCATTTTTCATTTTGATTAAAATAAGCCTAAAGTAGGTGCTGGAGAGGAAGGGGGAAATGATAGGCACGGGACCCAAAAAATTATCAGCGTTAGGTTTTACCCGTTCCCTGTTATGGCGGGTTATAGAGGTGACTGTTGGAAACCCCTGAAAATCACTGCAAGTGTGCTAAATTGGGTTAGCGGCATATTGACTTGCCCCACAGTACATTGCATTCTGTATCTCAGCTTGAATTTCTCTATTTTTAGCGTCGCGGCAAGATGCTGTCTCATGCAGCTATGAAATGCACGGATGGGCAGCTCAAGATTTGTTAGATTGGTGGCTGGGAAAGGGCTCCACTTTCTTTTATCACAATATTATTCTTGTATCCAGCAAAGGAGGGGGAATTGAACCAACCCCTCCCTGACAGCCTGATCAGAGAATCAAGTCGACAATCAATAACATCACAACATTCTGCTCCACATCTCCCCCAGAAGGCATATATAAATCACGTGAAGCTCTCCTTGCAGCAGTCAATTCCTGGGCGAAGTCTCGGGGATATGCTTTTACTACTGGCAAGTCTACAAAAACCCCGAATGGGCGGGTCAAGGTGGTGTTCGCGTGTGATCGAAACAAACAGCCACCCAGCTCATCTGCCGAGCGAGTTCGCCGCACAGCCCCGCGGCAGTTTCAAAACCAATCAGCAGTATCGCAAGGCAAAAGGGCTTCCACAAAGATACGACAAAAAGAGCTACGAATGACGCCTAGACTTTAAGCAGATGTCAAAGCGTTGTGTGACTGCAACAGGGTCTCGAGAGTGGACGAAGAAAGAAATGATGATATATCTGGACTGGTGCAGTGTAGAAGATAAACGGGTTGAAGCCCAAACTGCGAGAGAAATGGGTAACAACCCACTAGCAAACAAGAGGACAGGCATGAGAGAGATCTGGGAAAGTGCAGAAAAAGATAGCAAGGAACAACAAGCCTTGCATTCTAAGAGTAGCAAGGTTGAACGGTGTATAACAGTGAGGATGTGAATACCTAAGATTTATTTCTTAGTTTTATTTTTATTTTTTTATTTTTTCCACATAGCGATTTCTGTGAGTATAACATGAAGTATACCATACGTGAATGAAGCTTATTACGCACGGGAAGAAATGTCTTTCAGGGCTTGCAGGTCCAAGAGCGTCTCGCACGCACCAATGGGAGGAGGCATTTTGTGGCGATTAGTCAGTGGGCCCGCCCAGGCGCCCTAGGATAAATGGGCATCCGGGTGCCCACCTATCAGTCGCCGTGCGGCTTGCCCACTGACGGGGGGCTGTGCCTCGAGCATACTGGTCTTGTGCGCCTAGACGGCGCCGGATGGGTATGACTTTGGCTACTACCATTTGGACATGCTCTCAAGGTGCATCAAATATATCACCAAGACTTTTCCAAGCCGAGACGGAATGCTGCCACGTACCTTACCTGCCATCGGCCAAAAGAAGCCATGTACGAGGCTATGACGATAGATAAGACATCACACGACGTGCATTGAGGTGAAGGATTTGCGGGTGACCCCGGTGTTGGAGGTTAGTGACGTCATTTGATTATTAAAAGAACAAAAACAGAAAAGGTCGCTCGCTAACGATGGAAGATCTACATGTAATGCATCCTCTTGTGTAGAGAGGTTGTCTGCTATTGTACTATCTTAAGCCTGATTAGGACATGATGCTTCTCTACTTTATACCTTTCTGCTTTTGTAACATTCTTCCCTACTATTGGTTGCTACGAAGTTATATTCTTGACGACCCTCTAGCACCTTGAAACTGGTAGATTGCTCGTCTGAACACCTATCTTAACCTTTGTGGCATAGGGGAAAGGGCCTCGAGTATACCTAATCCTTCTTGTCTACCAGTCAGAGCTCTCGTTACCGCAGTTGCCCTCACATATACACAGACACCATGGCTTTCGATCTCTGGACTTACCAGTTTTGCCTTGCCTGCGACAAGCAGGTGCAATCTGACGCTGCAACCTACTGCTCTGAGCCTTGCCAGATGATAGACTCAGAAAGGTCAACGTTGCGGCCCAGCTCGCAAGAGAGCTCCCCTGGATTCCCTCCGCCTCCCACCGAGTTCTATGTCTCCTGGGCGTATGGCCTAAGTACCGCACGATCCTGCGAGACTACGGCTCAGAAAAGGCACTGGATCCATTATATGATGCCCGATACTGAGCAGGTCAGCTCTTTTGTTGCAACTCAAAATCTCAAACACGTAAACACTCATAGTAGCCTTGGCTCCATGCAGAGTACGTCCTCCACCCGCGAGGCAGGTCACCTGTCAAACAAGGCGAGGATGGAACTGCGAGCATACGCTGTCTTATTCGAGCAGGCGACAGTGCAGCGGAGGCGGTCTTACTAGCCAGCATTGCTGCGATGTCTTGCGTTCAGCCGATCCTGCATCATGTCTATGTATACCTCAAACGGCGGGCCCGAAGCCGACTGGGAGGTTTATGCGACGACAGAGAACGCGACTCGTTCCAAACTCGCTCGTCGGGCGACATATAATCACAATACCTACCTCACTACGCCGCCTTTCTCGGCGACTTTTACTGCAACAAGATGGTAAATTTATCTGGTATAAAACATGCCGTTTCCACCTTATCACCATTGTGGACAGTTTGACTTCAATGGAGATCTGGGTTTTGTGGGCGGATAGTACTTATTTCAAAAATAAGGTTCTCGTGGATCACCGCATTTAAAACGCATTTGTCGCAAAAGACCCACAAGCTGGAGCGAGCCATGTATGACTTCTTCAAATAGGTTATCGCCCTCAGCCTTGCAATTGATATCTTTGACCATGGCACATTGATCGTGAAGCCCAACATCTCCAGGAAATGCAAAGCTGATAGCAGCAGGCGTTGGTGCCCATGACCAGGAAGGGCCTATCAAGGTGACTGGGGGATTTTCATACCTAGGTGTGCCCGCCTTGCCTGCCGGCGGAGTTTTTGCCACCGTCCCACTTGACCCTTGCATGATGGGAGTTTAGCTTTGTGTTCTCGTCTATGGTATGAAAGTAGTTTTTTATTCACCACTGCAGTTCCCGGGCGGCCATCTTCTCCGACTCTCTGGTTAGAGTTATGATGTTTCCAACTATCACTCCAGTCAGCATAGCCTTTAGGAAAATCACTCACCCCACTTGCCTTATGCAATCATCTCAGTGCGAGAGGTGCAAGTTCCGGATTGAAGATTTTATGAAGCATTTTCAACCAAATCCCCATACAAATTCTGTTCAATTTGATCAATGACATGGAATCAATCCTTCAAGGAACGCAGTCACCTAGTGCCTACAGTGGCGAGAGCTTTGAGACCCCAAATCGAGCCCGCCAGATCTTCCGGCGGATGAGAGCTGCGGGCACGAGTTGGCGCCTTTGAACGTAGAAAAACGCAATTTTCACATCAACATACTGTCCCTAACACCACTCGAGCTATTCCGCCTTTTTGTGTCTATTTGTCTTATTCAAAAATGAGTTGTTTATAGTGAAAGATGGGTTGCATACCTCCTCAAAAATGGCGCAGCTCATAGCTGGAATACCCCCGTTACGAGCAACTCAAGGACCCTAACCTGGGAGAGGCTCTCACCTTCAAAAGTGTGTATGGCTCGGGTTCCTAATTTGCCTAGGAATTCAAAGGGAAAAATCGATCAGAAACTGTTGGAATGTCCTTAGGCAAGGGAGTTCGTAGCCGTCTGCACGAAATGATCAAATTCATGACCCTCGATTTCCCCGACAGTTAGCACCATGGGCCTTAGCCCAATTGGGAATGCATAATGCATGCAAGTCTTACGACCGTGCTAGCGCGTGACAACTCGCTTCGGGGACACGGGGCTGGAACTAGATGCGCATTGACCTCCCACCTCCCCCCACAACAACAATAATTACTCAATCTCGATCTTGATCTCATCCAGGGAAGACGATCAGGGTAAGCGAGAGAACTGTACGGATACTCTGTACCATAGTCAACAAGCGGGGGACACTGATGCTCTGGACATCTGATTCATGAAATAATCTAGGTGAAAGCCTCATGCTTATTGCAGCACAATCCATTGTAGACTGGGCTCTGGGAGGCTGCTTATCCCTTTAGGCGGCACAAACCTCCAAGAGGTCACGTTACCAACTTGACCCCACGTACATAAGAGTTACAAGATTTGATAGTCACGATAGAATCAAATTCGGAGTCACTCTTCTGTAACGGCATGACTCCTATTAACTAGAGCATATCTAGTTGATAGATGTATCCCGGGACCATTAGACTCTGATTGATCCCATACCCCTGTCGTGACCGCCTTGGAGGCTTGTGCCGCCTTAAGTATATGTTTATTTGCTTCCTCGCCTATTGATATTTCCGCGGACCCCACCTTCGCCTGGCATGGGACCCTATCCAGGGTCTAACTAGGCCAGATCGGTAGTTGACGGGCCCGCTATGAAAGCGGCTGTCTCTGCCAGGCAGTGAAATCCATCTGAATCCCAATATAAGAGCTGCTATAGCATCCTCTCTTGATTTTGTCTGTCCTGCCCCATAGTAACAATCAGTTCGCTCAGAGAGCGGCCATTTTGCTACTATCTCTGAGCAATCCGTCTTTCCCAACCATACCGTTCTCAGCATCATCGATACCACTCGTCCATCTCAAGGGGTCCTCTCAAGAGACCGTATCGGGCAACCTCCCACCACGGCCACGGCAACTCTCACTACACCGACCACTCACTATCAAACTCAACCGTTTTCTTCTCAGACTATCCTCATCCCTCGTGCGGTGCTAGCATCTCTAGCATGGTATTTTCTATTAAACCCCGAAAGCAGGACGACTACCATGAGTCTCCGAGCCGTCAATCGCTGCCCTCCATCTCAGAGGTAATTCAAGGCACCGAGCCAGGCCCTTATGCTTTTAGACCTCCTTCCAGCATCCAGACTGGTTTCTGCCTTTCCCCTCCTTTCGCACTTGTTCGTCAACCATTACACAAGACCGAGAAGCAACCATTTTTGCAGCAGCTACTCCCGGCTTCATCCTTCCCTCTCCGACAGCATGCTCTTCCTGTCTTCTCGGATCCTCCTCGGCCACCTTTCACCAGCCTGTCGTCACTTTTTCCTGCCTCTGACAGCAGCCAGAGCCTCTCAGCCAAGGCGGAGATTCCTTTCCAGCATCACCACCCCGAGCAGCAGAAGACACCGGAGCCTCATCCTCCTCTCAGCGGAGTGTATGCGCACCCACCTCCGCCACCCCCCCCTCCAGCTCCGGTTACCTATCAGCCCCGACAACTACGTCCTGGCCGCCACATGCCTCTACCCGCGTATCCGATCCCTCCCAGGCACAATTATGCTCCTCCAGCCATATATGACGCCCCAGTTAATGGGCAAGTTGGGAGCTGGAGCTACCAAGATTCTTTGAGTCTAGTGAATTGAAATAAGCTGAGATGCGAGATCGGTAACACTAACTACCGCTAGATTAGTTCCTCATCCCGCACCATTCTTCACTGTGCCGAAGCGTACAATCGAATTGCTCGTGAGCAGCACGGGACTCACCTTATCCCGGAAAGATTGCCGACAGAATGGGAACTCAGCGATATGCTCAGTAACATGGAGCTCATCAAGCGTTCTCTGGAACATGTGAAGGGCTTGCTGCAAACATCGATACAGAACGAGCGAACTCATAAAGGAGTGAAGATGAAGTGTCTTTACAAGGAGGAGAACCATGCGCCCATTTCTGCAAATGCTATGCAACCCTCATTTGGCATGACGGAAATCAAGAAGCAACGAGCCGTACGTTTGGTTATAAAAGGGGAAAGCGCAAAACTGACATGTTGGTAGCGTACGGCCCGCCCTGGCAGATGCCATAAATGCAGCCGAATTGACACGCCTGAATGGCGCCGCGGACCTGATGGGGCGAGGATACTATGCAATGCATGTGGCCTGCACTATGCCAAACTGAAAAGGAAGCGTCAACTCAAAGCAAGTTCAATCGGCCCGAAACCTGGAGAAGCACATCGGCCATAAGGCTCGCACTCTGTGCAGCAAAGCCTGAGCCCATGAGCGGCCATGCTGCATCATTTGTCAACTACGGTGCAGAAAGTCTCAAAATCCTCTACCGTAAGTACACCATCCTAGGCCACTTTCCGGTGCATATTTGCTAGGTACTCGAGGTACACCTTGCTAATACCGCAATCCTCTCAGCACACAATCTCGACTTTTACTAATGCCTGATTTTTCGTACCACCGACGTAGGTCGTTCTCTGTACAAAGGCTTTACTACATACACCATCGATACCCAGGATTTAGTTGGTAGATCCGCAGCATTTTTATCATTAATTGACTTGTTCCTAACTATGCATCATTGGGTCTGATTTATTTACCGTTTTGACCGGGGAGAAGGCCGGTTTCGGCTCAGACGAAAGATCATCCTGAGCCTCACATCAGTGAAGCGATACCAGGAACCATGCCTGTTGATAACCACTGGTGGGCCTATTTCTTTTTGTTAGTGCCTTTAGATTCTGCCAACAGCTCCCGCTGTACCTCGAGCTTAGCTACCCGCAATCACAACGATCGATACGACGATTCTGAGATTGCACTCATATCCACTCTACCGCTGGTGCACGACGCCGTTTCCGTCGTCTTCGATGGGTTCTGGAGCCACTTAGCGAAGACCACAAAATTGGGAGGAGAGGACAAAGCAAGTTGACAGTGGCCGTGTGGGTAAACAAAACATTGTGCTGGCCCTACTGCCGAAATTGAGCGTCGCCAATCCTGCTGGTGTAGCCGCAAAGACGCGCTTTATCTACAAGAGATCGCGACTGGCCCTTCTTATCGGGGTTTTTGGTGCTGTTGTTTATATTGCGCAGGAGTGCTGGGTGAAAAGATATTTTGAAGGTGCAAACAACACACCAAGAAGAAGTCGTACACAGGTAGGTAAAATGCCTAGCCTTCCAACTAAAACCTGATTTCCACGGGAAGTTCAAGTCCAATTAAGATGGGGTTTTCTTCATGAAACAGGTAATCAAATGATCAAATGATAATATTAGGAATGATAGAGATAAGTCCTCAAATTTATTGTCAAAACTGTAAAATGTGCATTAAAAAGGTACGAAAAAGCATATGTAAAAGGCATGAAAGCATGATCTGCAGTACTAAGAGCCGTCCGTTCCCTTATACCTGCCATCAACGATGATCGACGTGACCTTCCTACCCTGCACATCCTTCGTTGTGTGCCTTTTATCCTCTTCATCTGACCGTGACCACCCGAAGCCAGCCCCGAGCTGCCGCACTCATAGGCTAACTACAGCCTTCCTGAAGATCAGGCTTGATGAGCGGCGGCTATTTGGCAGCTACGCCTCGCTCTCCCGCTGTCGGGTAACAGGCTCGATACGATACGCCTTTTGTGCCGATGATATGCTAGATAAGGTTGTCTGTTGTCCCTTGTGCAGAAATTGCATTCTGACGGGAATCTTAATTTCGTGTCGCGAAGCACTGGTCCTCTCACAGCCAATAGCATTTCGTAGTAGATAGACCTCCTTAGCTCAGCACGTCCTGTGCCCCAATAGGGGACATTTCGGGGCCGAAGGCCCCCCGGACGCAAAATATACATACATACATACATTCATACAAGTTTGCGATGGCGACGGGAAGACTAAGTTGAGAAGGGAAGACAGAACATATCAAACATTAACACCAAATGACTTACCGGATTGGGCTAGCCGGCCACTATGGGAATCCACAGGGCGCGCCGAATTTCTAAGGAGGCTAACCCATTCCTCCTTGTCTTTCCCTCGAGCCGTCTCATGATCGTCTCCCAAACAACGCCCACCAATCATATAACAATCCGAACAAATGTCAAAATCCCCACCGTAGCAAACTCTGCATTTGTAGAAAACCTCGTTTTCCGGAATGGTCAAAGTCCAAACATCGCACCGGCTGGATGTCTCGTCATGAGATATCAGACTCATGGCAGTAGATTCGTCGTTTTGACAAACTGCTATGCTTCTCTTCTCTGCGTAGCCATGCAGTGCTTGTTTAATGTTGGTATTTCCATATCTTCTAGCCCTCTACCATAAAGTCCCTCCGAAACAATCCTGAGTGTCAAAGTTCACTTGTCCAGTAGCCAGCAGCACTTTGACTATCTGTGTGAGACAATTTCGTACAGCTATTGATAACAGTGTTGAACCATAATGACCTTTTTGGTCGACATCAATGGCTTCATGGCTAAGTATTGCCATTGCGACGGTATCATGTCCGTTCATGGCAGCGAATGAGAATTGTGTCGACCAATAGTATCTTCCGTATTCGCACTTGCCTTTGCAAGCAGCAGCTTGACGATGTCCTCGTGCTCGCTTTCGGTGACCCATAATAGCGGCGTCCTTCTATCCTTATCCTTGGAGTTCACATCGATGCCTTCGGTGGGAACCAGCAACTTGACGATGACCTCTTGCTCGTCACCTTTTCTAGCCGTCTGTAGTAACCAAGCGTCGCGTAATGTTGGAATTCTGACGGTGTCGATCTGTAAGTCCTTTAATATAGCTGGATAACTTGCTATTGCGTGTCCGCCCACTCGCTGGATGCATATTCCAAGAATGAATACCGGTACAAGTGGGTTTGCAGCTCCTCCATCGGTGTTTTGAGCAGCATGTTATTCCGGCGACTGATGACTAGCCTGCCGTGAAAGAACATATCACTGCTCAAGTAACGCCAGCACATCTGGGACATGTGAAGGTTCGCGCCATCCGAGGACGTTTGGTACCACGGTCCACTTAAGCCACTGTGGTTTTTCAGTAGAAAATCTTTGACAGATTGGTGGCAGAAGTTGGCTGTAGTCTCGTCGTTATTACTAGCAACGTCAAGATGGATGATAGAGCTGCACGACACACATATGTCCATGTAATCATGAAGATCATGATCACCCACTACTGATCCAGTCTTCCAAAACGCGAATGAGGCCGCTAGCTCCTTTTTGGTCAGGGGTCGCCACGCAGCGACCATGCTGGGTAAGAGAAATCGAGCGTCCTCCCGCCTCTTCTTCGGAATGTTGTCGTCCAAAATCCTGGTGTAAGTTTCGTCAAGCCCCTCGGGAAGATCCTTGAGTTTATCTGCAACCTCATAATTCGGTGTGCTCTCAAGCTCATTGACCATCAAAGACATCCAGAGGAAGGTGCCTCCGGCTCGACTCTTTAAAGCCTTTTTGACATCTTCTTTCAGGCTTTGGCTATACTATTTCCTCTGCGCTAGATCCTCACCCTTGAGGTTTATGTAATCGGAAGACCGGCATTAACTTCGCTCGAGTCCATCCTCAAAAATACGCCAATTCCGGCTAGCTCATATTCAATGTCTCTTATCTCAAGTCGGCAGGTTAGCAGAAACTTGAAGTGTTCTGTTGGTTTTGAGGATGCTTGAAACAGTTTTCTCATATAACGGAGCAGAGCCTTGCGCATGGATTTGTCGCACTCGTCCAGAGCATCAATAAGGATAAATACTTCACCAGCATGCTCATCTTGGAGCATGTCTTGAAACAATCTCCAGAGAGCGTAGAAGTTCTCGAACAGGCTGTCAAAGAGACGGCTATTCTTGTGCCTCTCAAAGTCCGACTGTATGTGTTGGAATAATCAGTTCCTTTGCAGTAGCAGCAGCCAGATGAGTACCTATGCTTGGAGGATTTAATAACTAGGGCTCCAGGTAGTCAAGTAGGTATTCAGCCAGAATCGAGATCTATATGAGGTCTTGGTTAACGTGAAACTGGCTCGATTAACCATGATGGCGACACCACGGAGTATAACTCGTAGTTGGGCTCCTACGGCAGCTGGACTCTGGAGTGCTGTATCGTGCCATTGGCCCAACAAATAATCTTCGTTCCATGCTGGTTTGGGCTTTTTTGCCATGGCCGCAATGATGCCAAGCGGTTGGCCATGAAATAAGCGAGGCCATCCAGTATGCTGCAGCCATGGGTCGTTTCATTCTGTTCGACGTCATGATCACAGGCTGATGGTCACGGAGCTTTGGAGGCCACATGATTGAAGATAGTCAGGGTCGCCAGAGTAGTCAATGCATCATGGCAAAAATGGACGACTGACAAGAATGAGAAACAATCGAGGAGGGCAAAATCTTGGTTGCATTTATACTGGCGTCAGTAGAGCCCTTGCTGTATTTTTACGATGCGGTCACGAAACACGCGCGGTCAAGATATCGATTTGCACATAGGTGCTCGGGAGGTAGTATCGCTCTGCGCCACAAAAGTAAAGCCAGCTGCGCAGGTTGCGATGAAAGAATAAACCAGCCAATGAGAAGGTTTATCACGCACTTTTAATCAAAAACTCTGCTAGGATCTCTCAAAACACTGTCCCTCGTTCAGCGAAAGAGGATTTTACAAGGGTATGAGCGAATGAGAGGTGGTGAATTTCCTCTTTTATTGAAAATGGGACGGACAATAGGGATGTAGGTCAATCACATACTGGCAAGTCTTCTGCTTGGCAGTTGCATCAAAGGATCGTCAACTTCGATCTTTGCTTCATAAGGATCATAAACCGCGTTGCCGTACGCCGGCAACTGCCTGACGGTAATTTACCCCGTCAGTTGGGGTTTATGACGTCAAAAAGGCATCCCTAGCTGCAGCAACCCCCCAGACGAATGAGCTTTAGGCCGCGGGCCAACTGGGTTCCGGCTTATGATTTCGTTGCCTCCTCCCTCACTCCATTGTACGACCTGGACTTTCCCCAGCCAATCTCTCGCTTCATATCCATGGCATAAGACACGACATCATTGAGTCTAGAATGGCTTTCGAGAATGATACTGTGAAGAAGTAAGTACATGATTCATCTGCTCATAGGACCTCTCTCTCCAGAAGCAGCCGCAGCGAGGCAGTGAGCGGTAGATCGCGAGTGCCCTAACACAAAATCACAGGAAACTTACCTTTGTGGGGGATGATTGCTGTGGAAAGACTTCACGTCTCCGAACTGCTCTTCTCGGCCTCTTTCCAGACACGGTATGCGCCTGCCAGGACAGCTGAACCCAAGAGGCCCAAGGCTAACAGTGGACTTGGATATTGCCCAAGGCCGTGCCCTTCGAATCTGTACCAGGAACTTACCAGTGCCTCGTTACCACAGCGAGAGGGAAAGAAACAGTCGTGGACTTGGTTCTATGGGATACCGCCGGGGCTTTCGAATATGGCCGACTGGATCCTCTGAAATGGATGAAAGTGGACGTGTTCATTATCTGCTTCGCCATTGATTCAATTCCTTCCCTCGACGAGGTTGAAGACACGGTTAGTATCTCCGAGACTCCCTCGTCTAGTCGCACCCGCCAGCGACTACTACACGACCGCAAGCCTAGAAGTCAATGCTAATCATCTTGTGGAGCGGACAGTGGCTGCCAAAGATCAACCACTTTAATCCCGTGACCCCGATTATCCTGGTCGGACTAAGAAAGGACCGCCGTGATCAAGGGCAGGATAGTGGAAAAGCAGGGTTTGTGACGTCAAGTATGGGCGAGAAAGTGAGGAGTACGATTGGCGCATACAAGTATGTTGAAAGCTCCAGCTTGGAAAGCGAGGGAGTCAACCAAGTGCTCGAACACGCTGCAGTGGTTGCCCTATTGGGTCCGCCGAGGGAGAATCCACGCAAGAAGCGGAAAACATGGCTGAAGAGACATGTCAAATGTCTTATTCTATAGGACATTGCTCGCATTACCATCCAGATGCGGCGTCCTCGACGGCAATTCTAGCTGAGTGGGAGAGTGTGAGCGCCTTGCCATAGGAGAGGAATAATTTTGAATGCTTAACATGAATGTACGCCGACCAGATGAACCGCATATGCTACACTCATAATAAAATCAACCCCTCAATCGATTGCAACCGCTGCAACCGACAGAAAATATCTAAACTTGTGGCTACGCGGGACGGGCTGTGGGATGCTTTGTGTAATGGCTACTACGGGTGGTTCTTTCAACGCCAGGCGAAAACAAGCTGTTGGCATTAAGATGAGGGTAATATTAAACTCACTCGGACCAAGTTTGCTTTGTTGTCAGTTGGATTGCAGTATCGGGTGCAAGTCATGGAATGCCAACCACTGGATAGAAAATCATGAAAGAGATTTCACTTGTCAATAAAGTTCAGACCAAGTCGCAAATAGAAAAAATAGCATTTATCTTCATAGAATCTTAATATCCTATCGGCCCAGCCTAATGCCCGACCTCGTCAACCTTTTTTCTTTAGTTTAGTCGAGAATCGGACTTGGATCATGCCCTGGGAACGATGGGGAAGGGTGCGCTGGATCTCGGCCCAAGAACAGCCATCTTGTCTCATCCTGCGCACAATATCTTCCTCTTCTGACGTCCACTTTTCACCGGATGATCTTGTAGCCGAAAGCGAGGCCTTAGGCGGTCCTCTGCCCGTCCTAGGATGCGATACGGATCCGTCGGCAGGCGGTTGACATAGATCAGGTGTCCATTCAAACTGCAATTGAAATGTCGCCTTGTCGCCCTCAGTGATGCGTTTCAATGACACGTCACTGAGAGGCCATTTCTCGAATCGAGCAAGGAACGTGCTAGCCTCGGAGGGGCCTGGTCTTCTCTGTGATGGCGCTGGACTTTCAATTCTGCATACAGACGTTCGACACCCTCTCGGTAACTGTGTGGTACGTCTTGTCGATCGTATTTGGCGAGACACTTGCTACCATGCTGTTCTTCAATATCGGAATCGTCTCCAGAGCCATATTCCTAAGCTTTTAGAGGCGAAGGACAATAGTCCTGGTCACGCACAAATTCTTGGACGTCGAGGCCATCCTCACTGCCAGAGTCTTCAGTATCTACGTCACAGTCCTTATCCTGCACCGTTTCATGTGCATGTGAGGACGGCAACTCCTGAGACGGGGGAGATACTCGGACTCCAAATGGCGGTCCAGATTCAGCCTCCGAGGACTCGGGCTCGACATCGCTGTATCCGCAGCTTGTGTGGTCGAAGTCTTGCTCTTGTTGTGATTTGGATGACAGCCTTACTAGGGGGGATGAAGTGCGGGCTCCAGGGATGGCATCATCGCGCGAAGTGCTCGCCACACTTCGCTATCGTGCAGCAGCGTCTGAGCCATCTCCTCGGCGGTGGCAGCCATAAGACTGTATGTGCGCATTGAAGGGGCGCGGGACTACTCTGTGTCCCATGGCAGGATCCTTCGTCAGAGAGAGCATCGATTATCATGATGCCCGGCTCGCTGGTGGCCCAGGTGGCTTCGGGGACAAGCTGTTGTTCGTCCGACACACCCAGACATGGCTAACTTTTGGGGCTAGTAGGCGAACGTCAAAGCTGACATCTGTACAAGCCGTCGAGTCACCAGCGGACGTGCGATTCGCCTGACAAGGACATTGTTGATTCGGTTCAGGATCAGCGAAGGGGTCCATGTGTGAGTCGTGTGTCCAAATGGGGTCGCCTTGCACTCGAGCCGGAGGTACTGCCGGCGTAGTATTCATACCGATGGCGGCCTCTGACCCAGTTGGACTGCGTTTGGTGACCGTGCTATCTATATACAGGCTGTAGTACCTATACCGGAAAGAACGACAGTGCTAAAGAACTTACCCAAATGGTCTGCGATGCTGGTCTTAGATGCTGTGCCTGATTGCGAGTCGTCGTCCTCATCTTCTGTATCAGTCTCGTTGTCAAAAATACAAATGGCGGTGTCCTTGGATTCTCTAGTAGTCGAGAGCGCCTCTTCGTCGCAAAGCGATACAAGGACTACATGAGAAGCAGGGGGAGTGAAACGACAGCGATAAAAGACGTCGAAAGGTAAAAGAGGGGGAGAAGGAACGGACCATGACTCTTGATGATGAAAGGGTGAGCCACATTCCATTTAAGGCTTCCCACTGCTACAAGGAGACCCCTCCGGCAGCGCGTGACTGATGTGCCATTAATCGATTTACGCACTTAAAGAGTACATATCTTCATAAGCAAGCCATCGTATGCGCTTCTCTCCTCTGGCCCCTGTCTCGCGTAGTGAGTGTATTGTTGGTGGGGGTTGGTCTTCAGCAGCTGAAACTAGCACCGCGTATCTCCTGAGAGGTGCATGACTGCTTTGGCGTTGTTGCAGGTTTGCGTTTCAGGAAGCAAGAGTTTAATGACATTTAGGTAATGTAAGTTAAGAAAATGCCGCATTTTGCCAGTTTTATCTACCTTATCTGCCGCCGTCTAGGAAGCAACTTATTAGTATTTATCGTTTAAGGGGAGAGGGGAAGTTCAGTTACAGCCAAAACCTGTAATACGGCATGAGGTTTTCTACTTAAGGGTTAATCAATAATATAGCCTGGTCAGGTGTCAGCGATCTCCGCGGAGTGGGCCGGTGTGCCTAATGATGACTTGATGCTCATATGGTAGGCAGATAAGCCTGTCACCTTATAACCGAGGAAGGCACAACAGCCAATGATTGCCCGTTCGTTCCCATCGTTTTGAATTGCTGGCCTGCATTGTTAGTTTGTCGCAAGTGTCACTGCACGCCTGGCGGCCCTGTGCAATTAAGCCCCTGTGTACTGACTTGCATGTGTCGAAGTCTGCCTTGGTTACCCCATCAAAGGGTTATTGTGGCTACATCCGGTTAGGCAAGCCGTTTTTAAGACTTCGGCAAGGTTTATATGAAACTCGGAAACGGCATAGACCGAGGTTGTTTTCTCTTTCCCCCAGGAGCTTCAGAAATTGTCCAAACCGCCATATTGCAGGCTCTATAAATTTGTTTGGTAGATGAAGATAGTGCTAATACAGAACGATCAAACACGGAGACTTAACATGGCTCTGGACGGCGTAGCTGCACATGAGCCTGTCCTCTTTTATGGAAGAGCATGTTTCTTCGTGAGCCTTTACCCAGTTCCAGGAGATCTTAGCCGTGAGACATGCTGCATGGATGCCTGGGCGCCTAAGTCTTGAATCAGGCTCTTCAAGCCAACACAATTTGCACGACAATGAACGTGTTTGGTTGGTTGACTTAGGGCTTAAGTGATAACTTATCCAATAGGTGAACTTTATCCGCTCGATGATCTGCGCGTGGCATTCGATTGCTCTCTGGAAAATTCAGTAACGGTAGTCTACTCAACCCATCACCTTTGTAGCAATCATCTCAAAACATCGCGTCAAAAACGACTTCATGGTCTTAACAGCATAATGCTGTGCCGCGACATACCTATTCCCCGCTGCGTCCAGAAACTCGTCTCCAAGCCACCAATTTGCAAGCACCAATTAGAAATTCAAGCCGACCCACCGTCGTCAAGGTCAAATCTGCCGCTGACTAATGGCTTTTTGAAAATCAAGTCGACCTCCTGCAATGTGGGGTAAAATAAATCAATCCTACTCCAATTGATTTTGGTATGTAGGACTAAGCCGAAGTTCTTCCCGCCATTGCCAGACAATATCGACGACGAAGGACCGCGACAACAGAGAGCCCCAGTAACGATGCCCGACCTGACTTTGGAAGAAGTGGAACGTCAACTGTGGGCGACAAAATCATGGAAGGCACCAGGAGAAGATGGGCTACCAGCGATTGTCTGGAAGCAGATCTGGCCCTCGGTGAAACACGACGTCCTCGCCATCTTTCAGGCATCACTGAAGGAAGGCGTGATACCAGACCAGTGGAGACATGCTCGAATCATCCCACTCAAGAAGCCAGGCAAAGATGATTATACGATCGCGAAAGCGTGGAGGCCGATCTCGCTTCTCGCCACGTTGGGTAAGGTGCTGGAATCGGTCGTCGCCGAGAGAATCTCCCACGCGGTGGAGACTCATGGACTTCTTCCGACCAACCACTTCGGTGCGCGCAAGCAGCGGTCAGCGGAGCAAGCCCTCGTACTTCTACAAGAGCACATCTTCTCGGCTTGGCGTTCACGCCATGTCGTGAGCCTCGTCAGTTTCGACGTGAAAGGCGCATACAATGGTGTGTGCAAAGAGAGGTTGCTGCAGCGGATGAAGGCGAGAGGGATCCCCGAGGGTCTCTTGCGCTGGATCGATGCCTTTTGTTCAGAGCGAACTGCAACCATCGTCATCAATGGCCAGAGTTCCGAAAACCGACCTCTACCACAAGCAGGACTTCCGCAGGGGTCGCCCTTGTCGCCGATACTGTTCCTATTCTTTAATGCAGACCTGGTGCAAACCCAGATCGATCGGAACGGTGGAGCCATCGCGTTCGTGGACGACTACACGGCGTGGGTGTCAGGACCGACAGCCCAGAGTAACCGGAGAGGAATCCAAGCGGTCATCGACAAAGCTCTCGACTGGGAGAGACGCAGCGGCGCGACGTTTGAAGCAGAAAAGACGGCGATCATACATTTCACCAGATACACAGGTAGAATAGACTCGGAACCTTTCACCATCAAGGGCGAGAAAGTTGTCCCAACGGATCAGGTCAAGATTCTTGGGGTGGTCATGGACTCGCGCCTTCACTATAAGCAACACATCGCAAGGGCAGCAACAAAGGGGTTAGAAGCGGCGATGGAATTGAGACGATTGAAGGGAATGGCCCCCTCGACAACGAGACAGCTTTTTACAGCTATGGTGGCTCCTGTGGTAGACTACGCCTCCAATGTCTGGATGCATGCGTGCAAGACGGCGTCGGCATATGCCGTTCATCGAGTTCAAAGAGTAGGAGCGCAGGCGATCATAGGGTCCTTCACAAGTGTGGCGACAGCAGTAGCCGAGGCGGAAGCTCACATAGCGACCATTTACGAACGGTTTTGGAGACGAGCAAGTAAACTCTGGATAGACATACACACCCTCCCACGGACAAATCCGGTCCGAAATCTCTTGCGAGGGATCAAAGCTTTCCGGAGATTCATATCTCCGCTTAGGCGCATCGCGGACGTATGCAGAGAGCTACCGAGAGATACCATGGAGATCATCCAGCCGTTCGCCCTCGCCCCGTGGGAAGAACGCATGCAAGCCACGTTGGGCGGACAGGAAGGGGAAGAAGACGACAAGATCAAAGAGTTAGCCAAAGCAGGATGGGCAGTAAGAATAGCGACAAGCAGCTCGGCGAGAAACGATCTAGTCGGCATAGGAGGAACCGTTCGAATCCCTATATCCTTAGCGAGAGCCGGCAAGATCATCGAGACCTTCTCGGTGACACTAGGGATAACAGAAGAACACAACCCGTACACCGCCGAACTAGCAGCCATCATTCGTGGTCTCAAATATCTGCCAGAGATAAAGTATCGGGTTATAGTGATTTTGACAAGTAACAGATCGGCGGCACAAGCTATAGGTAACCCTCACCAGCAATCAGGCCAGGGGCACATTCGGGAGATATACGATGCTATAGAAAAGCTCAAAGGAGACATAAATAGAGTTAGGCTCATCTGGCTACCATCTGACAGTGAGCTCAAAATCCAGAGGATAGCCAAGATGTCAGCCTGCCACGCAACAGAGCCGTACGTCACACTACGCATAGGAACAAGCAAAGCAAAGATGACAATTCTCAGTCGAACGAGAGCAGACCTGCGAAGGGAGAGGAAACTACCAGACGGAGTTGGCAGATATTCGAGAAAGGTCGACTCAGCTCTGCCTGGTAAACATACTCGGCTACTATACGACCAGCTACTGTAGAAGGAAGCTAGCGTGCTGGCGCAACTCAGGACCGGAATGGCATGACTGAACGGCTACCTGTATTAAATTGGAGCAGCAGTGACTGACGAATGCCTATGCAGGCAAGCAAAAGAAACGGTAGAGCACTTCCTCTTCCGATGTGTAAAATGGATGGCACAGCGCAAGGAAATGATGCTTTAATGCGTAGAGGAAAAGCGCGGCAACCTCTCCTTTTATTTAGGGGGCAAAGCTGCATTAGATAGACAAAAATAGACACCGAACATGGAAGCAGTACGAGCCACAATCAGGTTCGCAATCGCCACAGGTCACCTGGAACAGAGATGACAACCACAACACCACTAACTCATCGGCCATAAACTTATACCTACTAACGACTGCCCCATGCAACCAGAAGCAGGCATCGCTTCAGCCGCCGAAGATAGGAAACTGAACACTTAGAGGAATTGGGCTTCAAGTTGACTTGCTACTACTAACAACTACAGGGATCAAGGAGACAAGCGATAATCAGGCTGGAAAGAACAAGAAAAGAACTGCAAGGGCTTGGCGAGATCAAGGCAACAAATAGCGAGCTGCATGTATTTTTAGCTCATAGAGCCCTCTGGGCAGTGGCCTACCGGGCGTAATAGACTTGTGTGTGTGTGTGTGTGTGTGTAGGACTAGGGGTAATAGCCCAATCAAGACGCGTCAAAGTCCTTTTTCACTTGAATTTGGAGCTGGAATAATGATGTAACTTCGCCGGTCACTTAGTTTTACACGTTAAATTGCAAATTTCAAACAGTTTTTAAAAATCCGAACTAAGCTTAAAACTTCACCTCGACACTGGCGCTCTTCTGGAGCAGCAGCCTGACGACTGCCTCGTGCCCGTTCTCGGCGGCCAATGACAGTGGCGTTTGGCCATCCGTTCCTCCGTCTCGGTGTCGGCGCCATTCTCTAGTAGCAGCTGCACAACGGCGTCGTGCCCCTGTACGGAAGCCCAGGACAGCGGCATCCAACCCCTGTTATCCTTTGACTTGGCCTCGGCACCTATCTTAAGCAGCAGTTTGACGATAGCCTCATGTCCTCCAGTGACGGCCCACGATAATGGCGTCCGGCCATAGTTATCTCTTGACTCGGTGTCGGCGCCCTTGTCGAGGAGCTGTTTAACGGTAGCCTCGTGCCCTACTTCGGCGGCATACGACAGCGCCGTTCGAGCATAAGAAGACTTGCTTTCTACATCTGCCAAGCGTCGTCGTAACATTAACTCAACAATTTTATCGCAGCCCTCGTAGGCGGCGCGGTGAAAGAATGGCAACCCATATACGTCGGCAGTGCTGATGTCAGCCCCAAGTAGGACCAATGTTTCGAGGGCGGAGGCGTGGTCGTTGTCCATTGTGCAGTTAATTGGCATTCGATCGCCATCTCTGGTGCCGTTTGGACTCATGCCGTGGTGCACGAGCTCGGATATAACATCTGACTTTCCTGCCTCCGCTGCGCACGCCAGAGCATTACCATACCAGTTCTTTAAGTATGGGTCGGCACCTCGCTGCAGCAGCATTCTGACTATGGAGACGTGACCCATGGCAGCTGCACCTATAAGTGGTGTTGACCCCATCTTCGTGGGTCTATTTACATGGCAGATACCTAAATCAAGCAACTTGTTGAGAGCCTTTTCGAGACCGAAGCAGCTAGAAAAATAGAGAGGGCCTACGCTAAGAGACTCGTCAAAGTCGTAGTACTCCTCACGGTATCCCATCGCGAAACGATTTATCTGGTGTGTTGTTGCCATTGCGCCACGAGATTTAAAGAATTCAAAGATGATATCCCGCACGTTCGGGTCGCTCTCTGACATTCGCGCGTGCAGGCACCAATAGCTTGCTGCATATGAAAGGAAAGGGTAGGTTTCGATCCGGCACTCGATGGAACCCTGGCTGTCGCATGGCCCCTGCTTGAAGTCATCGAATAATAGGTATGCCAAACAGGTTGATGCAATGGTTGCTTCCGCGTGAGGGAATAGGTTGTGTGCGGCGTAGCTGTAGAGCTGATTTGACCGCAGACGCTCCTTAGGCTCTTCGCTCGATTGACGAAGATCGCTCTTAAACTTTGCGATGTCGCGTTCTGCATTTAGAAACCAATTTTTCTGCATTCGCTCGAATTATTCCTGTGTCGTATAGTGAACCAACCGGATGATACCGCTCTCTTTGTCGACCGTGACCAATCCAGCACACACCGAGACCAAGTCTTCAATCTGCGGAATGTTGTCTTCATCAAGTTCAGACTTACCGGCCTCCACAGCAAGGGCGTGCTGAAGTTCTGACGTAGTCAATGGCCTCTTTGCCCAAGTGATCCAGGACAAAACTTTCTTAGCAAGGTTCTGTAAACCTGGTTTGTGGTCATTGATTCTCCCCATTGCCTGTGTATATGCCTGGGCCAATACGTCAGGCTCCCTATCCTCGTCTGAACCTGGGCTTTGTTTCTCGAACTGCTTCAGTGCGGTTTTGATAGCCTTTGGAGTTTGCTTGTCGTCAAGTGAGCCGAGGTATATCTGTGCTAAGAGAAACCTATGCGTTGGTCAACGAGGGCGCCTCCCAAATATGAACTGGGAACGTACATCCCATCTACTGAGTTGACAATCTTGGTCTTAATTTCCTCTTGGAGGTCTGGACTGCGTCTGACACAGGATTGCAGTTGTGACATGTGGCCTTCCACATATCTCCGCATGTCTTGTTTACTGGCACGTATCTCCAATGATATGCTGCCGTCGAATTTCTCCATAATCTCCGGAATGAACCTCGAAGTCGCAAAGAGGTTTGCTCCACATTTGGCCGGGAGATCGAGAACCTTGGACAGGAATTTTTCTCGGAAGTCGCCGGTTGTTTGGCATTCGTCAAGTGCGTCGATGACGATGAAGACCCGCGAATACAGAGCGGTGACAGACTGGAGAGCCCTCCATATTTCGTCGAATGATAGTCTTGTCCCTCTGGCTCTGTGCTTCTCGTAGAGGTATCTTACGTTGTCTGGTAGAGAAGACCGGTCTTGAGCAAGCTGCTTCAATAGACTTGCAAGGAGATCTTCGGTCTTCTGCTCGTCTTGCCGGTTGAAGTTGCAATAAAGGTACGCGACGCCATTGCTCTCGCTATTCTGGAAGTGAGTGGTGAGCTCCTCGATCACGATGGATGTCAGTATTGTCTTTCCCGCTCCGGGAATTCCTGGACAGAATAGCGTCTGTCCCTGGGTCTCCACCCATGCTTTGAGTTGCGCCGAGTCCAGAAACCACTGGCCAGTTCCTGGTTGTCGTCTATTAATATAGTCGCTCTGCTGAGGGCCGTAGTTAATTGGTGTGAACCAGTTGAGGATCTCAAGGTCTTCATTTCTGTCCAACTTGGAGCTTATCGTTTCGACCTTTACTTCAGTTCTGGATAGTGTCAAGAACTACATTTATTATTAGCACTTCGCTACCACTTCGACTGGAGGCTGAGACTAACCACTAGAAACAATATCGCAAATCCTCTTTTCAGCCTCGACCTTGTTCGGAGGAATTCGGCAGAGAAGATCTTTCGTGTATGCAGCAGCCGCCATTGATGCATATCCTTGCCACTCCTTGTTCTTGTGTGTATCCGAGTAGTCGCATATCCCGCGAATCACTAGACAGGGAAAGTGGTTCATCAGCCCTGCCGCTTCCGTTTCAAAGCAGAAGACACCCTTTTCCGCCGACAACTTGTCCCGCATAAGCGCATCCTTCATCAGTTGATTGGCACTGGCGATTAGTCCGTAGTGGATGGCTGGGTAGTCGTCGTCTTCGTCCCGTTCGGCCCGGACCACTATATGGGATAAGTCGTCGCCGCACACCATACTACAGCATTCAGACGAGTTTAAAGGGTGTGTAATGTTGGATCGGTACAGTCTGTCGCTACTCGCAGGTGGGCGGGAGTACTTCTTTCGCATTTTGATGTTCTGCAATGCCATGTCCACGTCCTCATTAAGCCGGTGGCCCCTTAACTCGTACTTAGCCTTGAGGGCGCTAACTGCCGTCCGCAGCACCATCGGCGGTTGGTCTAAAACCTGTGTTTTTTGGAAAGAATGATTCTGGATTGTCTTGCCAAAATCATATTAGAACACCCCGCCTTTTCCGCCATCACGGCTGCTGACCACAATGTCGCCGAGACGTATGTCATGATTTGGACCTGGCGCACCACCGCCAATACCGACTAGGAGTCCGATGCGGATATTCGGGAAGCTGTGAAGCATGTCTCTTGCTACGGTCGCGGCAACGGCCGTACCGTACTCCCTGTCGGGCAAGACGGCAATCACAATATTATGACTTCTGATCCTGCCCAAAGCATAATTGTTGTTATCGTTCTGGGCCACTTCTAGAGGGCCCTCATGTTCTTCGTCGAGGAAAGCCTGGGCAGCGACAAACTCGGTGGTGAGGGCGCAGATCCAGCCAACTGTGTAGTCCTGGGGGTTCGCCATGATTTGTGATATGATCCCGGAGAAAGTAAGGTACTGATTAAGGTAAATTGTTCGACCATATGATAAGCAATAGTTCTGAGACCGGAGACGTAGGATGCAAAATGATCAAAAAGTGAACCAGAGACAAAGTGACAGAAATTTTCAGTACGCTGAAGAGCAGGCTCTCACCAGGCTGCATGGTTGAGGGGGTGGCGTAAATTAGACGCCTTTCTTCGTAGCGTAGCTGCAAGCTGAGCATCTTCCACGCGTGATTGGCGATAGGCGTCCATGCCAACACCATAGCCTCTTTATTTAACGGCCGAATACGAGGGCTGAAGCCCAACCTGCAGGGGCTGCAGCACTAAAGCGCCGCACTCAATGTTGCTTGTTGCAATCAGGATGACCTACCAGCATACCCTGATCCTTGCTTTTGAGCAGCGTAAGAGCCTTTATGTGGCATGCGTTCAGACGTGTTACTGACGCGTAGAGTAGCGATTGTAGTCGCTATGGAAATCGATGCATGGGAATAGGTGGGAGATATAAGTATAGATGAGAATGAACAGGGGGTAGGCGACAGTTTGGGGTCCACGACTGTTGAGACACTGCGGCGAAGGTGGTCCGATCTTCTAGTGGCTGGGATGTGGATACTATGTAAGGAGGTGCTCCTTTCAGACATATGTAACTTAGAACTAACAACACAATCAACCCGTTGTTGCTTCAACAACGACAACTAAGAATAGAAGACTAGGCCTGTCATATTGATAAAGTTGCGAAGGCACTAAGAGGACTAGATACTCTCTAAAGAGCCGCATTTAGGCAAAGACACAAAGAGAGAGCTTGATTGCTGCTTCTTCCTAATCGACATAACGGAAATTACTACAAGCCGCGATGTCTAAGAGAGCGGTCTCCTACAAGGTTGGCACGGGCCTTCGTGGAAGAAACGCGGCGCGTTTCGTGTTCTCGGTTTACAGGCCGAGACGGAAATGCGGCGCATTTCCAGGGGAGAAATTCGGGGTAAGAATATGGAGGTTTTGATTGGTGCAAAAGTAGAAATGCGGCGCATTTCTTGTCTACATGCTTAATTAGGGGTACGCGACAATTTGGGGCACTCGACAATTAGGAATAGAAGAGTAGGGCTGGCGCCAGAACTCTGCTGCTACTAGCTATAAACTGCAATGCGATGTAGAAAAAGACTTTGCGTCGGCGGACCCGAAGAATTGGCTCATTGCGCTGGATGAAACGCTGCTCTGACTGTAGAAAGATGAATTTCTGGAGGATTCCGTTCGACTCGATCGATCCCCACTGACAGTAAACTATCAGCACAAATTTGACACGGGGTGAATCGCGTAGAGAATGAGGGGAATAAACTTACACCGACAACAAAAAATACTCCAGCGAAGACTCTCACAATATGACATTAGAAAACAGCAAATGCATATATTAAACTATCGTTCTCTCTGCTCTTTTTTCATCTGATCCGACGAGAATCCATCATGAACACTCCTGATGTACTTTTCAAACTTATGTGCTTCTGCAATGACGGCATCTAGATGGTGATATGCCAGTTTCTCACCACGAAAAACAGCCAGCTGTCTTGCCGTTGAAATCATGTTACGGATTTCGCGGCCGTTAAGCGGAGCGGCTGCTAAGTCTTCCAGTCGATCTCGCATGCTCTTTATATCCACACCGACTCTCGGAATAATCTGAGGCTTACGGAGCAAGACGTCAGATGATTGCTCGCAACCCTGCGTTGTGCGCTGAAATTCGAGCTTCTCGAGCCGGTTGATAAAATTTTCCCAGATCTGGCGTCTTTGGTCTCTCTCCAAGTTGTTGTAACGTAAACTCAACTGGATCCGGGATTTAAACGCCTCGTCAAAAATACCTACTCTGTTGCTAGTAAGAATCATGATACCTTGGTGTCTAAGTTAGTCAAATGTTCTAAATGCGGATCTGAGAATATACCGTCATAGTACTCTAGAACTCTAAGGAAGACTAGGCAATCTGGTAAGTATGATATGCTTTACATATGGCCCTTTAGTATTCTTACCTGATACTAAGGCGTTGCGATCAAGACTGTCAAGCTTACGCTGTTCTAGGAACACGTCTGCTTCGTCAAGTAACACCACTAGATCCAAGTCAGCTGAATGTAGGTATATTCAACTAGAATCATGCCGTATGTACCGCATCCCCATGTCTTTCCAAGGAGGCACACAACTTCAAGGTACTATGAACGTTAGCATATTGTAACGTTGAGTTCACACATGTATCGCTTCATACACTCTCTACTTCTTCAGCTTTGGTGCCCACGTCGCCACACGTTACTCTGTAGAGGGGTTTCTTTGCGATTTCAGCAACACTTAACACTTGTTAGTAAACAGTTAATGTCCTAAGAGTTTATTAATACCTTTCAGCAGTAAGTGTTTTTCCGGTACCGGGGCCTCTATTTCTGCAGTCAGCGTCTGGGCGAGTTTAATGTTTCGGATTCAAGTTCTGACCCATGGAGTAGTATAAAGAGCCCATTTCCCTTCCCGTGGATGACGTCTGTATCCCGGTCCTCGTCCAGGTGGTTTGTTACTACTGCTTGTACCAGTTCCTTTGTCTCGCGTTCCATTACTAGTAAATCAAAAGCCTCCTCGTTCCAAGTTACCTCTTGAAGTAATTCCACTTCCAACTTGACTAAGAGTACCTTATGTCAGCATCTTATAGATCATATCATGTCAATTATCACATACCCCAGTCCTTCTTCTGCATGTTGAACCCATAAACAGTTGTAGGAAGGCACATATAGAACTCGTCACCCAGGTCAGGCAGTGGATCATCTTGAGCCATCACATGAGGCCCAAGTTCATCCTGTAATGGGGTTGGCGCAGGTCGGTTGTTGGCAGGCGGGTGCATCTGGTTATATGTCGCGATATCGATCATAAATCGGGAACTGGAACTCTATGCTATCATCAGAAATCGGCCGCAAGCGCGGGGTATACGAAGACTTACTGTATTGTATTGATAATCCTGAGGGGCATCTCGAGCACATACGTATTTGCGACGCCGACACTTCCAAAACATCTGCCCACGTCTTCTGAGACTGTCCACGATATCATTGTCGCAGTATTCCATCGGAAAAACTGTCATAGCATTGATCGAAAACTCCTCCGTCATAGACGGTAGGCGTGAAATAGTGAGAGAAGTATTGACTTGTTGGAAGTTGCCATCAAAAGCCCAATGCTTGGCGGAAATTTCCACCTCCATTGTGCATCCAGTTGCAAGTGGCGTGAGTATATTAAGCCAGCTAGTTGTAGTATATGCCTTCCATTGGGTAATGGAAGGTCCCGTTGGTTCCTCGATAACTATTTGCCCCGGTATCTGTTCCCGATTAGACATGTCAAGCTTGGATGAAGGAAGGAAGGTCTTACAAAGATATACCCCAAATACTTGGCAGTGATTTTGCCTTTACGCAGCATAGCATCCACAGTGTCCCACTCATCGCCAAGAGTGGTTCTTAAATAAGATTGAAAAGCTTCGATTTGGTCTTGAGCCTCTTGACTGAGCCGTTTCTTCCATGTCTCGATATTTTCGCGGTTATGAAACCACCAAAGGTATGGATGTCGAGTTTCTTGAACGAGATGATCCCCGCCAGGATCAAGCATTTCCTGAAGTTCTCGAGCAGGGTCGTTGTTGAGAAGACTACTCCAAGCCGATTCCAGTTCCCCCGCAACAATTTCAACCCACTCACTAGAAAGCAAATCCAAGTGGGCAGGGTTTCGAATAGGTGGTGTTGATCCGCAGCAAACGTAGTTACGATACGCAAGGCATATGATGTCCTTGTTTCTCTCCAAATATAGTTCCAAATTCTCAATCGATCTGCTGCAACGCAAATGCGCTTGATAAGGCCCATTTTCAACAAGCCAAGGCTCATCTAGGTAGATACGGTATGTGTTTTCGGTCCTGCATTCAATTTTATTGATCACCTGGACCCTCGGTGGTCCCTGTTTATCGGACGCCTTTCGTTTCAGGGACTCAGACTCTCTCAAAAGATCGTCTTTGGCTTCAAGTTCTTCCATGATCTCGTCGTCGGTGCAGGAGCCAGACATGTTGAGAAAATTACAAATCTTGCGACGCCAATCCACCATCATGGGTGGTCGGCGACGAGTCTGAGATTCTCGGAGTTGGTCCTCTAGTTTCCAATTAGATAAGAATTGCGTGACTCTTCGAAGGATAACAGTAGAGACTAACCATAGTCATCTTCACCAGTATCGCATTCTGTTGTAGGTTCAGTGGGACAGTCATTTTGGGCCGCGCTGACCAAGTCTTGGAAGTTCCCAGTAGCTGTATTCATAGAAGTGGTAAAGGCTTGGCCTTTATATTGGGTCCTGGATATAACCCTGGGACGCATGACAACTGGGGTAAGAAAATTGTGGATGAAGAAGGAAAATTACCATTGTCAGATTCTGGCAGCGCTTTTCAGCCGCAGTGGATACCCAATCTGCACTTTCGTATCATGTGCGCGATGATTAGGCACCCAGCACTGTAATCGATTGGCTGTAACAGTTCAGTTGCCTCGTTTTGCAACCTATCAAGTTGCCAAAGTGGAGTACAATATTGTAACTCTTTGCTGACAAGATTCATTGCAAATTAAGGTCAGTAGTGCGATGGTCACAAATATTCAAATCGAGTAAGCTTAAGGAGTCGAGCCTACACACGACGAAGGTTAATTAAATTCCATATTAAATCCTGGTAATAAAGGCTACTGTCGCCAACCCTCTAGAAAGGCTTTGGTACAAGCTGCGGCCGTGATAGCGGCATATTCTTGCCACCGCTTGTCTTTATGGCTATCAGAATAATCGCAAATGCCTTTGATAATTACGCAGGGCACAGTATCCCATGCTCCCGCACCCTCCATCTCAAAGGCTATTATGCCTTCACTGCAAGCAATCCTATCACGGTCCTCTCCAGACTTCATAACTTTATCTCCAGATGCAAACTTCCCAATGTGCACAGCCGGATAGGGTTGTTTGTGGTGGCTTGGTTTGTCCTGTGCCTCTTGTTGTCGCCGGCGAGGTATTGACCTCTGATTGTCACACATCAGTTCTTTACAGTTTGATGACCGGGCCTGTTCGCAAATCAAGCCTGTAGAGGAGCCACAAATACCGCATAATGAGCCCTGATGCCTGTGTCGATACTCAGACTCGAAAAGGATGTCATTCTCGATGCCAGGATAGGTTGCCACGGCCTTGTCTTCCCGTTTCAGTGTGGCTAAGTGTGAAGCTGTCCTTTCCCGGAGTCTCTTGCGAGCACTGGCTCCTTTTAATTTCGCCAAATACCCCAGAATCTCAGGTGGTGGTTTCCTTGCACTCTCTGAAACGCTGTTCTTCCTCACAAAGCCTTCCGGATATTGTCTACCGAAGTCATAGCGAACTAATCCTTCGCTGATAGCAACGTCTCCAAGTAATATCTCTGCTCCATCCTGAGTAAATGGGACACCGCCACAAATCCCTACCACCAACGCTAAGGAGATGTTGGGAAATGTCGCACTGCAGTACGCAGCTACAATAGCTGCATAGCATATACCCATGCCGGGCATATGAACAAGCGCGATACCGTGGCGGCCGATAACGCCAAGAGAATAAGTATTTTTATCTCCACTAGAGCGGTTATACCCGCCGGACCACTGCGTGTCGAAAAGTGTCTCGACAGCGTCGGCTTCGAGTGGCAGTGCGCAAAGAATTGCGATTTCGATTCGGGGTGGGTTGATTGGAGTGGATGTCAGCCGGTTTGAGTTTGGCCTTGCTTCCTTGTACGTCTCTTGTGGGGGCATGCCTGGCACTACTTCATTTTGAATTGTTTCTCCTTGCCCTGATTCCAATGGTTGAACTGCTTCTGGACCACCTTGGTTACGAACCGGTAAGTAGATAGGCAGATTGTGCTCGCGTGGTACGTCGAATATGCCGCTCATGTTACAATCTGGGTCCGTACTGGGCGCTGGGCCAACTAACAAAAGTGGCGAAGCGTCTGATGTCGACCATAAAGGACTGGTTGCAATAAGCAAAACCCGCAGGCATGTCGAAGAGCTCTCTTGTAGTTGCGCTATCGTCTTTTCGAAGTATCCAGGCCAGGCTTTGGCATTCTCAGCTGCTTCGCCCAAAACACTGACCACTACCATAACAATCAAGGTGGGGAAAGCTTCAAATATGTTCTCGAGTATACTGAACCAATCTTTACATGTCGAAGCTTTCAAGAACTTTGGAAGCATCTCGGCCAAGAAGAAAAACGGTGGAGCAACTGGAACTCTCTGCAAAGCTTGCAGTGCAAGTTGTCGCAAAAGTTCCTGTTCACCAAAGCTATCAAAAAAGTCGGATGAAGATGGACACTGAAATATGGCGACTATTGGTTGTTTTCCGTTGATATATTCATACAATTCGGCAGAAAATCGCTTAAGACGTTGGACCGATCCGTAAGTACCTTGAATCATCAGCAAGGAGGAACGCTTTTCCGCCGCCCAGTCATGAAGTTGTTGGCTGTCCCAGATATCATTGGTATGAATTACTTGGCCCGTGAAGCCGCAAGCACCTTGAATTTGCAAGCATTCTTGTTTGAGGTCTATAGGGTCCAGGACTTTTGAAGGACTCCTGCAGAATGCTGGTATGCCCCAGAGACATAATTGTATGGCAGGTGGCGAATCTGATGGTAGTGACAGTTGCACAGCAATCGATCCTGTGAGATATAAGTAAGTATCTTGCCGGAGAGGATCCAAATAGCACAAACCAGACAGATATTCACATAACTGTTCGAGCTCACTGCGGTACCTCTGAGACATCTGAGGCGTGGTCACCCCAGAATTGGCGGACCCATGATTGTGCTCTGGCGTTTTCAGGGTGATTTCCAGCTGTCTTTCAATTTCTTTTAGAAGTACGCGTACTTTTGTATCCATTTTTAGGTCTTCGTGAAGTTGTAAATTAAAAACTCGCTGGGCGAGCCAAAGATCGGTTTGAAAATTGACACGTCATCAGACACAAATCAGGCTGTGACTTTTCAGCTTGGAGCAGCACTTGCTCTACGATTGGACATGCTCTGAAGCGCTTGGTAGTACGTACTTACTTAAGGCTTAGTCACATGTCTCATCTGACATCCAATAAAAGTGTTTTTGTTCTCGTTGCAAAGGATTTAGAAATTTCCCGTTTATCTCTCAACCCATGCATAGCCCTGAATGAATATATCGAAGCAGACCTCTCACAACAAAGCCGAAGGACAATCTGGTGTACACACTCACGCTATATAAAAGTCACAGTACCTCCAGCTAGCACATTTAACTCTCGGCTTTGTCGTCACTATAGATGGCCGCCCCGCACCAACAAACTGGTACCCTGGGCCAACGCCCTCGCATGGTAGAGCCACGGAGTCACCCTCAGTCCAGTGGACCTCCAAGTTCCAGTCATGTAAGTAACGCCTGTCTTGGTTCTTCTTCTGATACTAATTACAATTAGTCTTGGCCCAACAGCAACGATGCCGCCCCGCTTCTGTCGACACCGTCTCAACCACCGTTTCCGCAACCTATACCATTGCCACAACCTACTCCTATCTTATCATACGGGGCAAAGGGTTCATCAGATGATCCTTCAGGTAAGGATAATGTACCACACTCAGATTCGCGTAATGCAGCTACAATCATGAGTGCATCTTCATTACGGCCAAACCATTTCAACCCCAGGGCTCCCAAGAGAATTGACGTCCTTCGTCGACATCATGCTTCACCTTCACGTATCGAGCCAATTGGAAGGAGCCGGCGCAGTGGCATATTATCAAATATTGGGGATCGTATCAGCTTTCAAGAAATGTCGACTACTTCTTTAGCTACGGCACACTATACTATTTCGCAAGATCACACAGGAGGCGAGGAGTCTCGTCGTTCTCAACTATTTGCGGGCTTTGGAAGAAAACATCAGAGACATCTTCAAACTCGAAGGTCAGCTGCTTCTCAGTCCAATGCTAGTCCAGCGACAGTGGAAAGTTTGGACCCTTCTTTCGCTCCTTTGGTAAACTTCAACCTCGCATTAGGCTTCTACATTTTTACTAATACAAATATATACAGTTTGATGGAGGCGGCATGGAGTTGGCTAAACCCCTCAACTCGGGTGACGTGCTCAACGACTTTGACTTTGACTCGTTCCTGCATAGCGAAGATGGATCCCAATAAGCGAGGAAGATTAGTATATTAATAACTTGCAGGAAGACTTAACTAGGTATAGTCTGTTATTATTACCACTTATTATATAAGTCTTTAAATACCTAATAGACTTAATATTACCGTTTAAGGGCTTATAGCTCAGCGTACAGGCGTCGCACCAAGGAGCTTTTGTGGTCAAACGGTATAGGGACAAGACCATTGGGAATATGGTCGTCAGAGATCCGAGTGCCAACTGTTTCAGCATGCTCCACTAAGAGCTGGATCAGCTTAGTAATACCAGCGCGGAGCGCGGGGGCCCATAGGGACACGATGGTACATATATCACAACAATTACTTTACAGGAGGTCTTTACGACTATTATGAATTAGACCGATAGACTTAATCTAAAAAATGAGAGGGAAAACGACAAGCTACGGCCTATATCAATTAGGAAAGGGATTAAATAATCCTGAACTCCTCGAGGTATGGTATTTTTCTTATTGCCGCTCTAGCGACGAATTTCTTCGGCCTCCGTCGAGAAGCTTGAGAATCGCATAGACGCATAACGATTCCTCACTCGAAACCCTTATGTAACCCAACTGAAAAGAGCTGGAGTTATTTTCTGATTGTAGATGTTTAATTAGAATAGCAAGCTTCGATATATAGTAACAGTGTAATATTGCTGCAAACGTTTCTTAATTGTTAGTGGCAATGTACTGATTCTGGAAACCTTTTTGGTCGATGATGTGGAGATTATTTGTCAACATGCAGGATGCGTTGAGCCAATCATATTGTACCCTTAAAGGAGGCGCCCAAGGATAAATGGGCGTCCAGGCACCCACCTATCAGTGCCCCTGTGAGTGTACGGACTCGTCCATCTATTGGACCCCGCGTAGTCGGGCTTATTACGTAATATAATTAGGAGGTTATGATTGGCGGTGACGAAAATGAACTCTACGCCTGTCGGTTAAAGGAACTCTACCCCCTGTAAAGTGGGGTGTTTAAAAGAACTCTACTAGAGTCCCTATTGTTATTGACTACTAGGGTCTTGCATTGAAGTGAACAAACCTTTTATCGATGTCACCCAGTGACCGAGGTGGTGAGCATTAACATCCGATAAGAAATTCTGCCGGCTTATCATTTCCACCGCCTGCTGAAGTGGGTAAGCTTAGCGTCAACGGCGCGGTTCATCGTTGATCCGAGACTTTCCGAAGTCACCCCGCTTTTTGCGATCGCAACAACATGAATTGAAACAAAGAAAACTCAACATCATCACCCAAAGTGCTTGACACGATGGTGCCGCCCGCTCTTCCACTTCATCGTCATCAATCGTCTCTAGAGGGTATCATAGACTTCTCATCGCGAGAACCCTTGTCTGAGTCTCATCGCGCCTCCGCTATTCGTCGGTTTTATCAAGTCATCAAGCATTTTGATGGTAATGACATTAAACGAGGTCAAGACCAATACGATAGAGTGAAGCTTGTTCGCTTCACTTACGAATATTCCACCAATCAAGTGTCCAAAGATAATGTTTTGATCGCTGTTTTTGAGTTTTTGAAACTATCAATTTCATCTGAAGAGGATATCGACTTTGAAGATGCCACGTACCGAGGCGAACTGAAGACCCACTTGTATGAATTCGCCGACTATCTGGTCGACAACTTCTTTCTCCCGCGTATGGTTCCACTTTAAACCGACGTCTTGGCCTATCACTAACACCTCAGCAGTCAAAGCATCAACCAAAAAGACACCACAACCAACACCAGCATCTCACTCAGCTGTCATGAAAACCCAACGCCAGGACCATGTCTTTTCTGGGACGCCAGAGCGTCTAGCCAGCCTCAGAGGTGCCTGCCTCATACGAGATCGGTATCGCTGTGTTATTTCACGCAAGTTCGACAGAGCTGAAGCTCTGAAGCGCTTCCAGCAACATGGCGGAAGTAAGGCTGTTGACCAAGACGGCGTTCCCTTGGCTGATCCTGGGCAAAGGTTCGACTATCTGGAGGTCGCACACATTCTTCCGCACTCTCTCACTCAGCTCAACTCTTCTAAAGAGCTGGTAAGAATTCTGAACCCCACAATCTTGCTCCCGCTGACTCTGCGATAGAACTCTTCAAAAGTAGCGGCACTGGCGATACTTAATATGTTTGACAGTGGTGTTGCCCACTTGATCGAGGGAATCGACATTGATCGTCCGTCTAATGCTCTAACGCTGACTCTAAGTCATCACGTGTCTTTTGGTGACTTTCGTGTCTATTTTGAGCCTGTCGGAGATACACCGCATTCATATCGTATAGGCACATTTCTACCACCTGGTCTTGCAGAAGATGTCCCAGTTACTCGAACCCTTTTCCTTACTGAGGACAAAAGCATTGATCCACCGTCGTCTCGATTCCTTGCCGTTCATCGTGCTATCGCGCATATCCTGCACCTTTCTGCCGCGGGCGACTACATTGATGACATACTGAGCGATGTTGAGGAATTTGGCATTCGATCAGATGGGTCTACTGATCTGTCTCGACTACTGAAACTGGGACTTGGTGATTGGGCAGTTGGGGAGGTCCACGGATGAATGTGTGTGCCTAAGGCGTGTTAATGTTCAATGATGATTTTCGATCAAATGGGGGCGTTATATAGATACCTGGATGTTAGCAATGAGTTAGACCTGGATTTACGCTTTTCTAGAAGCACGAATGTGTATATGACTACTAATACATAGTTGCTATCTGAGTAATAGATGTGATCCCGTTCTTCCTGGGAAGCATGTAAGCCAAGCTGCGAGGTGAATTTGAGGAGCTCGGCACCTCGGATACCACAGTGATGGGCTAGAGTAGAACAACTGCCGTTGGAGTCCACTCGGATATGCTCACTATTAGCAGACTTTCGAAGCAACTTAGCCTCGAAAAGTATTGTGAGAGTTATTATAAGCTTCTGTGGCCTTTCTCGAATTGCCTTATATATTATGAAGTGCATATTATAAATATAGTAACTGTTGAAATGAATGCGAGTATAGAAATGATACATATTAGCTCTACTTATACATCTAGGCCTAGCTACCCTAAGATTTTAGCTCCTAAGGGCATTATTGATGTGTTTTATTTGTGTTTCCTATAATTCGCCCCTAAGGGCGAATTTCATGCATGGTATGCTTCCACACCCAGTTCGTGCACTTATTGGGTTCCTATAAACACTTCGCGGCGCAGTCGCAAGCGGCCCTGAAGCCATCCTTGAAGTAGAAGCGTCGTTGCTCCGTGACGACGCCTGTCATATTGATAAAGTTGAGAAGGCACCAAGAGGATAGGATACCCTCTATGAAGTCACATTTAGCCAAGAACAAAGAGAGAGCTTGATCGCTGCTCCCTTCCTCCTAATCGACACAACGGAAATTACTACACGCTGTGAAGTCTAAGAGCGCCGTCGTCTACATGGTTGGCACGGGCCTTCATGGAAGAAACGCGGCGCATTTCGCGTTCTCGGTTTACAGGCCCAGATGGAAATGCGGCGCATTTCCATAGGGGAAATTCGGTGTAAGAAAATGGAGATTCTGATTGGTGCAGAAGTGGAAATGCGGCGCATTTCTGGTCTACATTCTTGAGTAGGGAGGTTGCCTCACAGACTAAATAGTTAATATATTAAATCAGAGGGTTATCTTATAGTAAATTATAGGGTCCTTTATAGTAATTAAGAAGATTAATTATTAATAAATTAGGCCATACTAAGTAATACAGGGAACACTAGTAGGGTTAATAGCCTGTAATATTTTTAATATAATATATTATTATATTTATTACTATTACTTAGGTGCCCTTTAGAATTCTCTTACTTTATAACTATTCTGTGCTTATTTTCCCTTGTTCTCTTACTTATCATTGACTAAACGGGAATGCACGGACCAACTTGGGGAAAATAATTCGCCAATTGCTATCCACTTTCAACGACGCTGAATGCAATCAACTGAATTTCAAACTAATCGCAACATCGCAATACTTGGTTTCTGTGGCTTAAAACCAAAATGCGATATGTCCTGGTAATTGCAAATTGATGCATTACCTTAAATGTTATTTTTTCCAACTTTTCATAATGGCGACCTGTATCCGTTGGGGGCAATGGATTCAGGTCCCTGTCTTCATTAGCGTGGTTTTATTATATGTGTTTTCCATTGGATTCAGACCTGTATCCGCCTTGCAGCTGGGATAGGGCCGATTACTTATCCATAAGAACTGAGCGTTATACTAATTAATGCTGAATGGTGGCCATAAACTGGTCTGCCACTTAATATTTCAAAGAGGTTAGACCATTTAGAGTAGGAGAAAATAGAGCGGTATAAACCAGAGATCTTCTTCCAGGCCCAGCGGATAATCACCTCTGAAGGCCCCCGGATTGGTTATCTGCCCAAGAATCTGCGTTGGTGGCTGGATGCAGAAGGTAATATTGCCGTATTGCATATTGCTGTTGCTGCCTGGTCTGGTAAACTGGCCGTGAAAATCGAAAGGCGTTAGCGAGTGACCGCTAAATTTTGGTTGGACAGAGCACAATGCACTAAGACCCAAACTGGCTAGCCTGCTGACCGCGAATTCGAAATGACAATTTTAGCTGACCCCGATGGCTTTGACTAGCGCCCCCAACAAGGGGTATAGAGTCGTGCTACCCCGCCGTTTAGCAAGGATGGGCTGTTGCTGCCTGCAAAACAGTAAGGGCACGAGCTCGCAGCGTCAAAGCAAGACTTTCCCTATTTTCTTCTCAGAATTTGCACCTTAGAACTAACCAAGGCTGATAGCAGCTTTACAAATTTTCTCGGCTCACTTCCCATGCGTGCTCTTGTCTCTGATTACCTTTATAATCTACGATAAATCATGGGCAAACTCCATAGCCGTTGGCCATGGAATCGATCGTCGCCTTCTATTGACCATGTACCACCGACCGCGAACTCCACCTCGCCCGGACAGTCTTCAACACCCATTTTCTTACATGGCGTTGAGGTATTACACGACTGCCCCGATGCCAATATCGACATCTGCTTCGTTCATGGCTTGACAGGAAACCGCAGAAGCACTTGGACGGCACGCGGGCAGTCCGTACCGTGGCCGAAGACCCTTCTTCCATCGGAACTATCCAAAGCTTGTATACTCACGTATGGCTATAATGCATACGTAGTATCGAAGTCGGTGACATCGACAAATCGACTGATCGATCATGCTACGGACCTTCTTGTTGATCTGACAAACGACCGACGACGTCGTAACACGTTGTCTCGCCCCCTCATCTTCGTCGCTCATGGTTTAGGTGGCCTTGTCTGCAAGGAGGCCATTTTGCTCTCCCAAAATAACCCAAACCGCACCCTCCAAGATTTATTTACACATATCAGAGGCATCGTCTTTATAGGGACTCCCCACAAGGGCTCGTGGATGGCTGATTGGGCCAGAATACCTGCCGCGGCTCTCGGAATAGTCAAGTCAACTAATAAATCACTCCTTAAGATCTTGGAGCCTGATGATAAATTTTTAGAGTCTATTAATATCAGGTTTCTAGCAATGATGCGAGGACAGCGTAAGGAAGGTAGGCAACTCGAAGTCGCGTGTTTCTTCGAGGAGCTACCCCTGCCTATAGTCGGGAAAGTTGTGTCAAAGGAATCGGCCACATTCGAGGGTTATGATCCCATCGCTATCCACGCAAACCATATAGATATGGCTAGGTTCAGATCTGCCGAAGAGTATGGATTTAAAATGCTCATTAAAAAGCTAACAGCATGGGGGTCAGAGATTGGTAAGGAAAACAAACAGCTTCTGTAAAAGGCAGTTTCGTTAAACTAGCCCTTCTAGGTCAGAGTATACTCGCACCGGAAATCGATGTTAAGACGAGTGTTGCTGTTGAAAGGGAAGATGACACGATAACCAGTTAGTATAGTCAAAGCATTCATTATTCTGCCACTTCCTTACTCATACTTGGTAGAACCAGCGATGCACTATCTTCCGTTCTCAAGAAACAGGAACTTGGTAGGACGTGAGAATGTTATCGCTAAGCTTAAACGGCTTCTATTCACTGATTTGGATAGCCAACGAGTCGCGCTCGTTGGGCTAGGAGGCATAGGCAAGTCCCAAATCGCTCTTGAACTTGCATACCTTATAAAGAACGACATCCAAAGCCACGAACACCGCTCTGTCATATGGATGCCAGCGCTGAGTTTGGCGAGTTTCGAGCAAGCGTGCACTACGATAATCAACAAATTTGGCATCAAGTATGCTAGTGATGAAGATCCCAAGGAAACATTCAGGAAGTTCCTAAGCTCAGATAAGGCGGGAAAATGGTTTCTCATCATCGACAACGCCGACGATATAAGCGTCTTATACAGATCGGAGCAGCAACCAGGAGGAATCGCCGACTTCCTCCCCTATAATGATGACGGGCGCATTTTATTCACAACAAGGTCCCAGGAAGTAGCTGTCCATGTTGCGCAAAACAATGTCGTTGAGATACCGGAAATGGACCGGACAGAGGCCAGAGCCCTCTTACACAAGTCGTTGATTAAGAAGGACCAAATGCAGAATACTGCGCTTATCGATGAGCTATTGCATGAACTCACTCATCTGCCACTTGCAATCATGCAAGCATCTGCATACATAAACACCACCAAGATTCTCATCAAGCAATACCTCCAGCTATTACAGAATACGGACCAGGATAGAGTAGAACTGTTGAGCCATGGGTTTCATGACGGCAGCCATTACCGAAGCGCTCAGGGCGCGGTCGCTACCACCTGGGTTGTTTCCTTCAACCAGATTCGCGACATGGATAAGGACGCTTTAAAATTACTATCTTTCGCAGCTTACATTGAGCCGAAAGCAATACCCCGAACATTGCTACCTGAACTAGGGTCTGAACAGAAGATGACACATGCAATCGGCACACTTTGTGGGTACAATTTCTTTAGTCAACGAGAGGGCAGCGATACACTGGACATACATAGTCTGGTACACTTGATGACGCGAGTATGGAACGAAGCACAGGGCCTTCGCAAAGAAATGCAACAGATGGTATTGGCACGTGTTGCGGAGGTGTTTCCGACTGATGAATGGGAGAACCGCCATCTGTGGCGACAGTATCTACCACATGCGATCAAGCTCCTTGCGACCGAATGGAGTGCCGAAGATAAAGCGTCATGCAAGCTGGGATTCTGGGTCGGCCGATGCTTGCTTGTAGAGGGACGTGTGAGAGAGTCAATGGCGAGATTAGAGGGTGTTCTTACATATCAGGAGACGATATTAGCAGAGAATCATCCAGATCGACTGGCATCACAGCAGGACCTCGCAAGAGCATACCTAGCTAACGGCCAGGTCAAGAAAGCAGTAGGACTGCTAGAGCACGTACTTACGATCCGGAAGGTAATATTTGCGGAGGACGACCTAGATCGACTATTATCACAGCAAGAGCTAGCAGGAGCATACCTTGCTGACGGCCAAATTAAGAAGGCGGTGGAACTGCAACAGCACGTAGTTGCGATGCGGCAGAATATATTAGCAGAGGACCATCCAGATCAGCTGGCATCACAGCACCACCTTGCAAGAGCATACCTTGCTGACGGCCAAATTAAGAAGGCGGTGGAACTGCAACAGCACGTAGTTGCGATGCGGCAGAATATATTAGCAGAGGACCATCCAGATCAGCTGGCATCACAGCACCACCTTGCAAGAGCATACCTTGCTGACGGCCAAATTAAGAAGGCGGTGGAACTGCAACAGCACGTAGTTGCGATGCGGCAGAATATATTAGCAGAGGATCATCCAGATCAGCTGGCATCACAGCACCACCTTGCAAGAGCATACCTTGCTGACGGGCAGATTTCAGAAGCAGTGGAACTGCTAGAATATGTGGTCGCGGTTAGAGAGACGACGTTAGCAGAGAACCACCCTGATCGACTGTCGTCACAGCACGAGCTCGCAGAAGCATACCAAGCCAACGATCGGGGCCGCGTTTCAAGTAAGTATAATCGTTCTGAACAGTGGCCCCAGCCGCCCAGTGTTGTGGCCGATGTCATTCGTTCTGCTCAAACAGAATTTGCAGATACCGACGAGACATCTACACCACTCAATCACCCAACTTCGGGTGTGTCTCCAGATGCTCGTCAGCTATTTGATAAGGTAAGTGACACCTGAAAGTTGACATGCCCATTCTCACTAGAAGCATATCTGAATCGGCGTTCTAGGTGGCATCCTCATCATTATTTGATGATGGGACGCGCATAGTTCGTTTCATCCATGGCAAGCCAGGAAGTCAAACAACCTTTTTTGATCGTTTCAGAATCGGACTAGAGAAGCGAGTAGGCCAGCGAATAGACTGGAGTCCTTTCCCTCCAATTTCCAGGCCCTGCCTCCCAAGTGAGTACAAGGTTGTGTGGAAAGTAAGTCGCGAACCAGCTCCACTTGTGTAATGTTTTTGAATTTCTCACCTTTAGCCTTAGTACGGCGGAAAAGAACTTTCAGTGATACTCTCAAGAGACGAGGCCTGCCGGTATTATATGACCTGCCGACCAGTATTTCAATCATCCAACAATCAAAGACTACCCTTCACAAATCTAGATTGCAGCCCGAACATGGGAGCCACTCCTGCTCTGGGAACAACAGTAATTCATAACCCTCAGGGGGCGGCGGATGTGATAAACCGCCCTGATCAAACTGTTGAAACACATCCCACGGCTGGGCAAACGACACCACAAAACAGTCAAGAGACAGAGATTTATTGGTGTATTGATAAAATATTTGATGAGCCCATGAGGACTGTGTTCCGCCGTATTGAACGCGCCGACCAGATTCGAGAAGACTCGAGCTTCTACCGGCAAGTGAACTACAAGTTGCAGTCGGCCGGAGGGACCGGCGTGAAAGGCTGGATTACACCTTATATTTCGTGGAAGCGTGTTACTGCTGTGGAATTTATCAAGGTGAGTAGTCTGGGTAAATTTCGTAACTGTGCAAGGCAATCTAGTTCATAGCTTTTGCGGGCTTTACTGATCCCTGGCCTATTTGCTAGTTTGTAAGAGTTCGAGGCGATTGGGTCAAACGGGACAAGGTTGAGCTCCCTCAATCTGACGATTACGACCATAACGTCGGCACTCCTGAAGGTACCCGAATGATGATATTGGCAGAGGAGTTAATTGCCGGTCTCCATGACCCGAAGGGAGCGGAAAGAGGTAACTACATGGTCAATGCGCTGCCGAAGAGAAAATGTCCACCCCCTCTCCCCACTCTACGAGGAACCGAGGCTTGGGGCCTTCATGCCAAAATGGGGTTCTCAGCAGGAAGGATAGTTTGGTGGTTCACCTCATCTATTATCTTCTTGGTAGCTTTTGCCACGGTGTGGCTTGCGACTGTCGATAAAACAGATGTGCAAACCGCCTTAACGCCAGGGACAGTTATTATTACTGCTCTTACCTTTATACTAGGTATTTTTCAAACCTTAAACCAATAAAAGCTTTGGGCCAGATACTGGTATAGGTACCTTTTTTAATTATATTGTAGGAGTTAATAGTTTTATGTAATATATATAGTTACCTAACTTTTAGAGCATATAGTTATTGTTACGATTCGTGCCTGTAACAGCGCTGTAAGGCTTCTATAAGGCAGCTGTAGCACACCCATGATTGCTTGCATAGCGATTATGGCCCGATCTTTTGCCCTGTGGTTTAATGGCTTGTGCAACCGTTACACATCGGTCCTTATGTTATCAGTGGACCGAACTGTCTGGAAGGTCGGTCCAATGTGAGGTGGTGGGTCTGTTCCTGTGATTGGAGAAAAATAATGGGGCCCACGTGACGTAACCGTTGGGGTCGTAACAGATTAGCTGTAGTTGCACCTTCCTGAATATCTTATCTGCGTCTTATATAAGAGGTAGATAAATAAAACTTTACTTAAATAGCTTGATAGCAGTAACCTTAAAGGCATGTATTATATTATAGTGCTATCGGATATATAGGGTGATATTGGTTTATAGTATAATACTATACTATATGCAAACAATAATACGCCAAGAGGGATCGTAGTAAAAGATAGAGTAGACCAACCTCATCCCTTTTTGTCTTTCTTTTTAAAGCCAACTCATGGTCGCATTCGTAGAAGACCTCGTTTTCCGGAATGCTCAAAGTGCAAACGTCGCACCACCGAGATGACTCGTAATTAGATATCGGGCTCACCTCGATAAAATCGTCATTATTGCAAATTGCTATACCTCTCTTCTCCGAGTAGTCTCGTAATGCTTGCTGGATGTCGGTATTTCGACTTCTTCTAGCCCACCACCATAAAGTCCGACCGAAACGATCCTGAGAGTTGAAAGCGACTTCTCCAGTAGCCAGCAGCGCTTTGACTATCTGTGGGCGACAATTTCGTACAGCTATTGATAACGGCGTCGAACCATAATGATCTTGCTGGTCGAGATCAACAGATTCATGGCTAAGTAATGCCATAACGATGGTATCATGCCCGTTCTTGGCCGCAAATGACAATGTGTGTTCGACCTGTGTTATCTTCTGTATTCGCACTACACTTTGCAAGCAGCAGCTTGACGATAGCCTCGCGCCCTTTTACGGCGGCCAGCCAAAGCGGCGTCCGACCATCATTATCCTTCGCGTTGACATCTGCACCCTTCTCAAGCAGCAGCTTGACGACGATCTCATGTCCCCCTTCAGCAGCCCACCATAGCGGTGTCCGACCATCATTATCCTTTGCGTTGACATCTGCACCCTTCTCGAGCAGCAGCTTGACTACGATCTCATGTCCCCCTTCAGCAGCCCACCATAGCGGCGTCCGACCATCATTATCCTTTGCGTTGACATCTGCGCCCTTCTCGAGCAGTAGCTTGACGATGGCCTCCTGCCCCCGTTCGGCGACATACGACAGCAGCGTCCGACCACCATTATCCTCCGCCTCGATGTCTGCGCCCTTCTCGAGCAGCAGCTTGGCGATGGCCTCGTGACCGTTCTCGGCGGCCAGCCAAAGCGGCGTCTGACTATACTCCTCATCCTTGGCCTCGACGTCGGCGCCCTGTTGGAGAAGTAGCTTAACAACGACACTATGTCCAAAATGCGACGCTACCATAAGTCCCGTAAACTTGGAAACTAGCATGAGATTAGTCTCCCGATAAATCCTAAACCATACTGAGTAGCTCTTCGAATCCGGATCACAAATTCTCAGAGCGGAAGGTACAATGGCATCGTCATCCATGATATCGGCCTCGCGGAAGTGAGTACCCCAAGTTTGGGCCGAGTATTTTAAAAAGGCATATCTGTCGAAAGAGTGGTCCTCTTCCCTATTTGCATCTGTCGGTAAACTGTCGTTGGAGTTGAAGAAGTCTAGATAGAGTACGCAGACCTCTGCAAGAACAGCGTGTGCCTCTTGGATAGTGATGGAGTGATGCCAGTGCAGCGCTGACGAAACAGTTCTGGGCGATGCCAAATCTGCTAGAAGAAACTCGCGAGCTGTTTGGTGAATGAAATAAATATTGCCTTGATGGATTGAGACGAAGAGTCCGCACCAAGATCTGAGACGCAACTTGAAGTCCTCCTCGTCCTCCAAGTCGAGGCCGTGAAAAGACTGTGATGTGTTGTCTATATTTACTGCATTGTTCATTTCTGAGAGTGTTAGTGGCCGACCCGCGGCCAAGATAATACTCAAGGCCTTTCGAACCATCGGGTCTTCCTTAGACTTGCTAAGGATCCGATCATATGCCTCATTAATACTCCTCGGGAGTGTTGCAATAGCGGACTCAACCCCTTTTGGTGTCCTTTTAAAGTCTTCTTTCTCCAAGTAATCGAACGCAAGGTATACCCAGAGATAAGTGCGGTGGGTAGTCTCCTGTAGCCTTTTCTCCAGGTGACTCTTGATTTCGGGTGAGAGGCGCTTCTCCATGGACATCTGGTTGACCCGGCGCGTAATGACGCGATTTATCTCCTGAGTGATCGTTTCTGACTCTTCCTCTCCTGGTATACGGATATTTGGAAAAGCGTCCAATAGGTCGCGAAACTTGGACACGATCTGGTCATACGGCCGACACGTTAGAAGATACTTCAACTTGCCATAGCCCGACTGGTCGCTGCGGAATTGGCTCTTAACATTCCGCATCAGGTCCGCAAACTCCGATTCGGCACATTCGTCTAGGGCATCAAGTACCACGATTACAGGCCCCGCCTGGGGATCTTTTATAGCGTTTCGTAAAACCTTCCAGAGCGATTCTGTAGAGTTGATCAAGCCTTCCCCATCCTTACGGAATTGTGGCATGGCATGTTCGATCAGGGACGGTTTCAGTGAGAAGAGCTGGTGGAGCAGTGCGCAAAGCGCTTGCCGGATGGTATTCTGGTCTTGATCTTTGAAGAAGAAGTAGCAGATTGTTGTCGATTGTGGGAGGCCATGATCGATCACGTACTTGGCCAACACCGACTTTCCGCAACCAGGATCTGCCGTGACTAGCAGGGGGCCAGAGTCCTGTTTCAACCACCTCTGGAAGTGCTCGTGCTTGAGGAACCATAGGCACGTACCCTCAACCCTTTCTTCCACTCGTTCTTTATACCCCTCATACGTAGAGTCCTTGCTGCTGGTTGTGAGGTAGAACAACTGGTGACACTTCTGTTCTTCTTCAGACAGCTTCGCCTTCGCTCGGTCTTTCTGGGCTTGTAGCTGCTCCTTTGCAATGTTACAATGTTCCCTTGCAACATCCCGATGCTCCTCTGCAATTTCTTGGAGGCCTATGCATAGATTAATAGGTATTCATAGCATAGTTTTAAACTCTTGAATTACCGGAAAGAATATCGCCTAACTTCTTCTCAGCTTCAACTTTATCTGGAGCTATTCGATAGAGTAGATCCTTCGCATATGCAGCAGCCACCATTGCGGCATACCCTTGCCACTCCTTGTTCTTATGAGAATCAGAATAGTCGCATATACCGCGTATAACCAGACATGGGAAGTGGTTCATCAGGCCTGCTGCCTCCATCTCGAAGCAAAGGACGCCCTTTTCTGCCGCCAACTTGTCCCGCACAAGCGCATCCTTCATCAGTTGATTGGCACTAGCGATTAGCCCGTAGTGGATGGCTGGGTTGTCGTCTTCTTCGTCCCGTTCGGCCCGGCTTAGTATATGGCATGAGTTGTCGCCACACACCGCACTACAGCCTTCAGACGAGTTTGAAGGATGTGTGATGTCGGATCGGTACAGTCTGTCGCTACTCGCAGGTGGGCGGGAGTACTTCTTTCGCTTTTTGATGTTCTTTAATGCCATGTCCACGTCCTCGTTAAGCCGGTGGCCCTTCAAGTCATACCTACCCTTGAGGGCATTAACTGCCGTCCGCAGCACCATCGGCGGTTGGTCTAAGACCTGTGTTTCTTGGAAAGACTGATTCTGGATTGTCTTGCCAAAATCATATTGGAATACCCCGCCTTCCCCGCCGTCACGGCTGCTGACCACAATGTCGCCGAGACGTATGTCATGATTTGGACTTGGCGCACCACCGCCGATACCGACTAGGAGTCCGATGCGGATATTCGGGAAGCTGCTAAGCATGTCTCTTGCTACGGCCGCGGCAACGGCCGTACCGTACTCCCCGTCGGCAAGACGGCAATCACAATATTATGATTCCCGATCCTGCCCAAGGCATAATTGTTGTTATCGTTCTGGGCCACTGCTCGAGGGCCCTCGTGTTCTTCGTCGAGGAAAGCCTGGGCAGCGACAGACTCGATGGTGAGGGCGCAGATCCAGCCAACTGTGTAGTCCTGGGGGTTCGCCATGGTTTGCGATATGATGCGGGGGAAAGCAAATTACTGATTAAGATAAATTGGTCGACCATACGATAAGCAATAGTTCTGAAGCCGGAGAAATAGGATGCAAAAATGCCAAAAAGTGAACAGAGACAAAGTGACAGAAATTCTCAATAGGCAGAAGAGAAGGCTCTCACCAAGCTGCATGGTTGAGGGGGTGGCGTAATTATACGCCACTTCTCTTAGTGCTGCCGCAAGCTGAACATCTCCCACGCGTGATTGGCGATAGGCGTCTATACCAACACCATAGCCTCTTTATTTAACCGCCGAATACGAGGGCTGAAGCCCAACCTGCAGAGGTTCCAGCTCAAAAGCGGCGCACTCAAGGTTGCTTGTTGCAATCAGGTTGACCAACTAGCATGCCCTGATCGTTGATTTTGAACAGCAGGAGAGTCTTTATGTGGCACGCGTTCAGACGCGTCGGTAACGCGTAGAGTGGAAATCGATGGATGGAAATAGGTCGGAGATAGACGCATACGTGACAATGAACAAGGGGTACATGACAACTAATAATAGAAGAGTAGGTATAAAGCAAATGAAAACAGATTAGAGCAGATGTTCGTATTGGAATAAAACGCTTTTACGGCCATAGTCAGGTGTCGCACTGAGCGTGCTTATAGGGTTAAAGTAAAAATATGTTGAGCAGCAGCAAAAATATGTTGATTGTTGTCTTAAGTTATCTCTTGTGCGGGGTATTCCATCCCGCAGAGTTACTTAAAGCATATAGCTAGATTACTAATGCCTACCCTGCGACAGAATGGAATAAAAGTGGGAAGTCAGAAGCACGAGGTGCGCACGGATAAAAAGGAGGTAAACAACTGGTTGTTTTGCTGAACCTGGTTACCATATCGATGTGCACGGACAAAAAGTATAGAAGCTACAGGCGGTTTTACGGCAAAACGCCAGGGAAATTTGTAGTCGCCCGGGTTGGCACGGACGAAAATTAGACAATGCATCGGGATTTAGTTCAACCTTTGTATAGTAGTAGTAGTAGTAACGTATATGATAAGTGAGTGTGACATGCAAGTGAGTGTGACACTTTTCCCTCCTACACCTAACTTTGCAATTGATCAATTGATTTATCAACCACCAGATATGTCAGACCCAAAATATGAGGCTAGAATGCTTCTTGCCCTTCAGGCCCTTCAAAATGACCCAAAGCTAAGCGTCCGACGCGCTGCAGATATATATAAGGTCAATCATATGACCTTACGTCGCCGTCAGAATGGCATTCAATCAAGACGCAATTCTATCCCAAAATCACGCCGGCTATCTGATCTAGAGGAAGAGATTCTTCTTCACTTTATTCTTAACCTAGATTCGCGAGGATTTCCCCCCCGGCTGCGTAATGTGAAAGATATGGCTGATCAATTACTTGCCGACCGCGACGCGCCACCTGTTGGCCAGCGCTGGGCTCATAACTTCGTTATACGACACCAAGAGCTTAAGACGCGTTTTTTTCGTAAATATGGCTACCAGAGAGCTAAATGCGAAGATCCAACTGTTATCCGCAATTGGTTTCGGCTTGTGGCGAATATGATCGCGAAGTACGGCATCCGATCAGATGATATCTGGAACTTTGATGAGACTGGCTTTCTTATGGGTATGATTGCAAGCGGGATGGTCGTTACAGGTTCAGAAAGGCGTTCAAAGCCGAAATTAGTGCAGCCTGGAAACCGGGAATGGATTACAGTTATCCAGGCGATCAATGCAGAAGGCCAGGCGATACAGCCGTTCATCATTGGCGCGGGCCAATATCACCTCACTAATTGGTACCAAGATAGCAACCTCCCGGGCGATTGGGCTATTGCAACGACCCAAAATGGCTGGACTGATAATAAGACCGGTCTAGAGTGGCTAAAGCACTTTGACCGGTGCACAGCCAAGCGATCAAACAGTCGCTATCGTCTTCTGATCCTTGATGGCCATGAAAGTCACCACTCTATCGAGTTCGAGAGATATTGTGAGGAGAAGAAGATTATCCGGCTTTGTATGCCACCTCATTCCTCTCATCTACTCCAGCCCCTTGACGTCGGGTGCTTTAGCGTGCTGAAGAAGGCTTATGGTCGAGAAATAGAGCA